GTGGAGTTGCCATGGTCCATAAGGCAGCTATGGACCAGCTGCTGTGGTACAGCCTTGGATTGGCTGTACCCCTTTTTTAGATTAGTGTTGCGTCTTACAAAATTCGGTAGATTTGAGTAGTGTTGCGTTACAGTTCGCGTTTTCTCTTTTTTTCTTTTTTTCAGCTTAGTGTTGCGTATAATGGAGCAGCCTTCACGCGTACGCTTTTGTACATATTATATAATTAATGAAATTAGTGTTGCGAATGAATTCGCGATTGTTATTAAATTTTTTACTTTTTTGCATTTATTAAATTAGTGGAAGTAACTATGACTCACATTCGGTGGGAATCCATTGGATTCCGCGGCCTAAGACCGTGAACACCATCTCTGGGAGATATACCCATGCATTACTAGGCCTTTGCAGGCGCAGTTTTAGAATACGGAACATATGAAAATATGTTACCATATTCTAAACTGCAGTCCTTTTGTCTATACTATGGGCGTCCGTCAATCTGACACCGTTGGATGCAACGTGTTGGACGGGCGGGTAGCGCTCTTAGCGAAGGGGTGCACTCTGTCCTGGCGTTACGACGTCCAGGCGGGGTGGGTGGTATGTAGCGTCTGGCGTAAGTCTAGGGGGCGTGAGACCCTTCGTTGCCAGCCGATGTTTTGTCATAGTTCAGAATGTTTGCAATTTGAAAATTAGTGTTGCGTCTGATTTCGGTTTGTTTTATAGGGTTTGCTTAGGGATTGTTCTTATGGGCAGTCAAACTTTTCTTTTCAGGTTCCTCTGTACCCTCCCTCCCACTGCTACGCCCCCATTCTCTTTTCTTCCCTTTTTTAAATTTTGAAAATATTGAGCATTCGTTTATTGGAAATATTGTTAAATAATATATGAATTTAATGTTTTCAGGATATTATTAGATACGATAAAGTTTTAAAGAGAACTTTATTCAAAGTGTTATTTAAAATGAAAATTCATTTTATTTTTTGATGATTGGTGATAAATTATTTCAAGGAATATTTGTTCATTTGAAATTGCTTATTTAATTTTAATTGTACTTTGTTTAACCAGAAGTAGTGGATGATCGTTGTTCAGGTTGTTCAATTTTAATTTTGAATCGCGATATTTAGTTTCAAGCTTACGGAGAAGCTAATTAATGTAGTGTACCTTTATAAATTTTCAAATTCTTTTTTGGAAATAAAGTCCATCCGCGATCCTTTTTTTTTAATTTTACAAATTACATAAAACTTGCATTAAAAAAGTGTATTGAATAATATAATGTAATAAAGTTAAGTAGAGTCATAGTTGTACGTTTATTGCAGTAAAAGACAGTTGTTTCAATTAAAATATCGTGGACCATTTGTCAGAAATGAACGAATATTATTTACTATAAAATGAAATAATTAATCCTTTTAATTTAAATCACTTACTGAATAATAATATATTTTTCTAAATCTTTATTTCTTTATTTTGGTACTGAAATTTGCTTTCAATTCATATTATGTACTCTACTGATGAGTCATTAACAACCACTCTGATTTTTGTCAAAGGTGATTGTTATTAATGTACCCTGTCTACCTGTTAAATTTTTTTTTCTCTTTATTTGGATTCGATTAATAAATTTCTGTTGCAGAGAAATATTTTCAACGTATTCAGATAATGTAAGAATGATTGAAAAACAAAATTGTATTTTATTCTTTTTGATTTGTTTCAGATAATGTCTTAATAAGGTAACATGAATCTTGTTATTTTTGAAAATGATATCTAATCCTTTTTAGTTTGTTTCGGGAACTTTTCAGATAAGAACAGCAATATCAACAAATTTAAGGTATTCTTTTAGATTTTTATCTAGTTGTAAGGTTGTAAGTTTATGATTAAGGCACTATGAACTTTATTTTTTTAAATTTTTAATTATGTCTAATCCTTTTTGATTTATTTCAGAAACTTTTCTGGCAAGAAGAATAATATCAACAAATTTATTATAAGTATTTATGTTCGTTTAGTTTATAAGATAGACCATAATTGGTTGTACATAGGTCGTAATTGATAAGTTACATTTAAGCGAATATCTGACATTAATACGAGCGCTCGTATAGACATGTATCTTTAGTATGTACAAATAGGTATGACAAATATGCAATTGCATATTAATAATTACAGATCTGTAATCTAAATAAGAAAAATGTTGAAATACGATTGTAAAATAAAAATATAAGTAGATAAGTAGTTAGGTAGGTAGTAAATACAAATAATGCTCCTTTTGCTGTACGTTGCAAAACAGTCGAAGACGTTTTGCAAATGTGCATCAAGAGGATGATGTTATTAAATATGAATAAAAATTTGCATAAATGGAGGGTGGATGGGAGAGGATAGGGCGGGTCTCCACACCGCAGCAACCTCCACGTGGTGAGACCTGGGCAATCGGAATTATTTGGTGGGTAATTAATAACTGCATTATTATTTTTATAGTGCATTTATTAATTATGTAGCAAATAATCCGAGCGAATTGGCTGCGAGATTCGTGGTTTGCCTTTTATTTTACCTCTCCTATATTTTTTCTTTATTTTTTGCATTACCTTTAATCACTTTTATCTCACTTTTTGATATTATTTGTTCTGTATAACTTACTGACACGTGTAATACAAGGATCGGTGGTTCTTGTATATGCTAATTGAAATATCGTTTACAGATTTCTACTCTTTTACAAGAGTTGGCCGCGTGGTGCAGCTCGTTTTGTTAGCTTTGTCATTCAAGATTAGATGGTGCTAGCAGCTCGTTTTGTAAGCTCGCATGGTTATAAAATAAATAAATTCAGTAAAAATTAGGCTCAACAAAGTAGTTATTTGCTTACAATGGAATCTCTTCAAGAAATGAGTCAATTCTTAAATCTAGATACTCGTTTAGATTTAAAAACAATTGCCTTGGAACATGTACTCAGTAAGCCTTACGCTTAAATAAAAATTTTCCTAACCTAGATCATTTTATTAATCTTGAGTCATTTGTAAATCATTATTATAAGAATTTGAAAATTGTAGGTGTAACTGGAAGCGCTGAAGGACGAGAGTTGCTATTAAAACTTCCAGACATATTGACACAACTAATTGCTTTAACTCAAGATTCTTCTGCTGCAATTTCCAAGGATGCGGCACTGGCTTTAATAAATATCACTGGAGATGAAGCTGGAGCCAGTGCGTTTTTATTGATCTCTGAAACACAGTCTAAAAATGAAAAACAAACTTACAATTTAATACATGTTTGTATGAGGTAGACACACTTAAAAAACAGCTGTAATTCAAATGTTTCTTATGATTTTAATTCATTGCTGTTTATTGTAGATTTATAATGGATAAAGAGAGTACACTAGCAGATCCATGCTGTATGATACTCTCTAATATGACTAGACCATTGCATTTAGTAGATAGAATTATGTCACTCATTGAGAAAAGTGGATATTCATGGGATAGTATCGTAGCAGCATTCACTGCTAAACAGTATAATAATACTGGTGCTAAACTGCACTATTTAGGTTCAGTTTTTAGTAATCTTAGTCAGTCTTCACATGTTAGAAGGTGCATTATGAATTAATGAATATTATCAATTTAATTTGATGATATTGTTTCATAAATATATTTTACAATTACAGATATTTAACAGATAGAGACCATAATGTTATCCAAAGGTTGCTTCCATTCACAGAATATGAAGACAGTATAGTAAGACGTGGAGGTATTGTTGGTACTTTAAAGAACTGTTGTTTTGATATTGAAAATCATGAATGGTTATTAAGCCCTGAAGTAGATATATTAACATACCTTTTGTTACCACTGGCTGGGCCAGAAGAATTTGATGATGAGGATAATGATAAGTTACCAGTTAGCTTGCAATATTTACCAGAAACAAAAAAACGAGAACAAGACTTAGATATTAGGTGAGAGCCCGATTTTATTTATTATTTTGAGAAAAATGAAATTCTTAAGCTCATGTTTGTACCTCATAATTATTTTAGGATTATGCTGCTGGAAGCATTAACTCAACTCTGTTCAACGAAAAAAGGTCGTGAAATATTAAGAAAAAATAATACTTATGTAATACTTAGAGAATATCACAAATGGGAAAAGAATAAAAATGCATTACTAGCCTGCGAAAACGTTGTAGATATTTTAATCAGGTACTAAAGACATTTCCAACTTCATCTTTATTTTATCATCTTGTAATTTAATTTTTTGAACTTTACGAATTTTTAGGACTGAAGAAGAAATAGGTTTGGACAATTTAAAGGATGTGGAGGTTCCTTCGGAATATACAGAAAAATTTCATAAAATGGATCAAGACTTTATTAGCAATACATGATAAAACGATATTTTATCAATTTATTGACATAATGTACATATTATAATAAAACAATGATATGCCTCACAAAAACCGAGGCTAATTGCATAATCTGCAATATTGCACTGTTCCCTTCTTTAATTTATTAAATTATCCTTGGTTAAATTAAATTATCAGGTCCAGTGTAGCAAGAAAGGAATAATAAAAAATCGTATATACGTATGTATAAAAAAAAAATGAGTGATCACATTAGCCATCATTAGCTTTTTAATCTTTGCATGTAAATTAATAGTATAATTGTCAAAACTTGATGTACTAAAATAAAGCTTACAAGTGGTAATACAGGTACTTGTAAGATATTCGTACACACATTTCTCAAGTATCGCGATAAATACTTCCTGTTTTTTTCATAGTGTTTCAGGTGCAACGAGTAAATTGTTAATTTTAGCTCGTGGCTGAGTCAGAACCACTTTTGCTGAGATCAAGTCCCGCAGAAACGAGAATATGGGTACCGTTACCAGAAGGACTGGTACACTTCTGACACATTTCTGCGAAGCATGTAGATAACAGTACCGTTATCAATTAATACCCGTATACTCGGTATGTATTATACACTCGATTCTATATCAATCCTGTTTTACGTTAATTAATCTTACAAGGTCAATTATAATGTGTAACCGAGTGTCCAAATTTTGTATCTCATTTTATTTCACGCATAAATCACAATTTCTAAGTCCATCAATAATTAGATGTATCTTACAATATGTACATCTCACTGCCAGCTAGTGTTCTGTTAAAAGTGCTAAAATATTTTTATCAGCCTATGCAGAGAAAGTTCCAGGTAGAGGAAAATCGATGATCATGGTAAATATCCTAGACCAGCCTCCAGACTGATGGAACTCCTGATACTAGATGCATTACTAGCTCGTCTACTGATCCTGTTCGAATCAGCTCCAAAAATAGCAGCTATTTCTGCGCTCTTCTTAATCGAAAGTGCTTCGTGATGCGCTCCAGATCTGCTGGAACAATGGGACAAACACTTCTTATCCCTTTCCGTGCCACCAACGTATACCAAACGTCCCTGAGTGTCTCTGGCACTAACGACCAGCACCTTCTCACTGTCCGACGATTGCTGAGACTTCCTTCCCGGATTAAAGAGGTCGTAATCCAGGGCGAGGTTATTCGAACTGCCGTAGCTTGACGACGACTGCTTCTGGAAGTAAATAGAAACGGCAAAATTTCGTTTTATGTCGAAAGTTTTAATGTTTCTCTGTTACAAACCCTTTGGCTGATTACCTTGAGTACATCCAAACCTTGAGAAGGTGTTCGACTTCTGCTCGTTTTAGTCGCTCGAACTCTATCCGGACTGCCCGCTCTGCTGAGGGTACTCTCGGAGGGCACGATGCCTCTTTGTCTTAGCTGTTCGAGAATCGTTGGTCGAATAGGTTGTCGCGCACAGTAACATTTGTTGCTTTCCGAACAGCTGTCCGTGTCGCAGGAACACACCACCGTGTTCGGGGACACTCGTGGCTGCTCCGGGATCCTCCTGGACAGGGAGCAGTAACACTTATCCGCTGAGACGCAGGTGCAGGACTCGGAATCATAACTGCACTCGCTGCAACTCACATAGCCGCTGCTGCTTCTGTTGGCCGCTGCTCCTGTACCTCGACTTAGTCGTCTACCTGTGGAAAGTGTAGGATCTTAATTAGTCTTTGGTTACTTCAGAGAGAGGTTCATGCTTTCTTACATGTATCACTGTCCTCCGAAGTGGTATGGCAACCCCTACCCTTGCTCATCCTCCAGGAAGACCTTCTTTTCCCCAATCTGTTGGCCAGCACTCGGTTCCTATGATTATTCCTCGCGTCGCAGGAAGAGCTGCTGCCGAAGCTATCGTTCAGCCTTCTCGCTGGGAAGATCACGGAAGTGAACTCCGTGGGCCCGCCCTTTAATCTCGACACCGATCTCTTAATAGCCCTGCCAAGCAGGCAAGATGGACGGCTCGATCGCCTTCGTTGCGGTCTTCGACGTCTTCTCATTATGCTGGCCGATCTCTGATAAAGCTCGTCTTGCGTCAGCGTTGCCGCCAGCTTCAGTAAGAACTCTTTGTACAGAGGTTTCAAGTCGTTGAAGGACATCCCTTCAGGATCTAGACACAGCGTAGAAATTTTACGATATCTGTTGAAGGGTGGGGTCATTTGTAGTATGTAACGTTTAACAGGGAAAATCTTTGAATTCTATCAAGTAGTACTTACCAATGATAGCTGCCAGGATGTCGTCGACGCTGGTCAAACCCTCCTGATTCCTAAATTCATCGAATAACTCGGTGAATCCCAGTGGAGTGCCACCCTTGAGGCTATTCGGTCTCCTGGCACTCCCAGGATTTAAGAAGCTTCCTCTGCGGGGTAATTCAACCCTAGTCATCAGATCCCCTCTGTCCACGTCTATGTCACTCTGAGATCTCTTCAGTCTGCTCTCCTGGAGGATCTTCATCGCATCTTCGGATCGACTTACCGGTGGTTCGCTACCGGCTCTGCTTCTCTTCCTAACTCTGGGCTGACTATACTCGGGTAGATTCAAATTGGACGTAGAGTCACTCAGCTGTTTCTTCAGAGGTTTGTCCATGGTGACCACTCTACTCACTCGTCTTCCGGACGTCGATCTCTCTTGGTCCCTCGATTTCCTGCGTTCCACGAGCACCGAGTTCTCTTGAACCAACTGATAGTTGTTGCTCTTCGACCTACCGAAGAAAATATTCTCTTGAGAGCTTTTTATCTTGGTCCGATCCAACTTGTTGCTAGTGTAAAGCTCTTCTTGGGTGAGAGTATAGATCTTGTCTACATCTTTGAAGTGGTCCTCGTAGAGTCTTTCCTTGCTGCTTTGTCGTTTACCAGCACGCTCGTACAACGAGTTCTCTTCACTCTTGCAACCTGGTTTCTCGATTCTGTCGTAGATCGCAGCATCAGGTCTCGAAGAGAGAGCCTCTTGTCTCTTCGTTTCATTATGAGAGGGATTCAAGTCGTACGAGGCGTGTGTCTTTTCGTAGATCGTCTCTTTAGTGTCTTCTGATTCTTTAATGGGACTCTGTGTCTTTGGATCATCATTCTTATCTGTCCTCTTCATGACGGGAATCTTTTCGTACCTGTTCGAGACCCTCTCGTAGAGAGTATTAATATCAATGTCGTAGAGCTTGTCCATCTGGTTCTTGGAATGGTCCGTCTCAATCTTTTCCGGAATGCTTAGCTCCTTCATGCTGTTATGCATTCTGTTCTTCGAGTTCTGTCGTTCTTCTTCCCTAGATATCTTCGAGTTCAAATCTTTTGGGATGGAATTTAAGTTCTGCAACATTGGACTCATTTTACCCTTGGGATTAGGTTCTCGTCTCTTCCCTCTGGCCTCCAGAATGTCCTCAGCCTTCACGTCAGAGTTCTTCTTCTTTCTTCTGGGAGCTTTTAACAATTCCGCTGGTTTCCCAGTCTCTTCCTCCGTAACCGAGCTACACACCGAGTTCTTCTTGGTCCTTGGTGGTCTTACTGGTTGCGTGGGAGTTGATCGAGCTCCTTCCGACTGCAGGATGTTCGTCCTGGCACTAATTCTGCTAGTTGGACTAGGCTCTCGAACGCTGGACGCAACCGACGCTAGACTAACGCACCCGACGCCATTCGCGTGCCTCGGTCGGCGTCGATTCGCGTCCAGATCCGCGAGGAGAGCCCTGTAGAGCGTCGCTGCAGCCGCCACTGCGTCTTCTTCAGTTTCGCAAGCGAACGCGTGGCATTCCAGCAGTCTGGTCGCGCCTGGACGGCGCATCACTACTGCGAAGATGGGCGGATAATGGTCGGAGCTGGTCTTCAGACCACGCATTGTTCTGTAAATGATGAAATTTCGAATTTTCTATCTCCTTTCCTTAGCTCGCCTGACAAATCCAAAGCTGAAGTTATTAATTTCGTGTCGATTTCTTCGGGATACTCACCTGTATAGATCCGCATGCCTGTCTTCAGCTGTTTGGCTTTGATCGTGATCGCCGACCAACGGCAAGAAAGCGTGATGCAAATCACCAGACGGGGCTCGTTTAGCGCGAAGTCTAAGCGCACTCCACACAGCTATTCTACGAAAGGGGTTGTTTTTCTCGCAAGTGTCCGTCGTGCGGAAAGTCAAGCCGCGTCGAGAAACCTCGAGCTCCGCTCTCACCGAGTACTCGATCCGTTCCAGCAGTTGACGAAGAGGCTCTTGAAGACCTCGAACGCTGGCCACGCGGCCACCCACTGGTGCTGCTCCCATGTACTTCACCTAAAATTGTTACTGATTAGTCCACCGTTCAAGGGGTTACGCTGAAAGTTTTGAGAATTTCTGCTCGTTATTTTTGAAGCTCTTAGCATGCCAGAGCGCCATATTGTTACGAAGGGAAAATAATCACTCTATTAAAACACACTTTGCTGTGGTATGCGCTCCGTAATCGGCGAGATAATGAAAGTTCATTAAGATACAAATGCGGTGTACATTATGCACATTAATCGATGTGCTATTCTCTTATCAAGAGTTTTCATCGAACACCTTGCCCATCCAAACCACCGATGCGAGGTAGTTCGCTATTGGTAGCTTAACCGAGAGTAATTAATTTATCGCAGAATGATTTTTCGCGTCACAGAGTCAATTATTGGTAGGTGGACTGTAAGTAGAGCCTTTATATTTTAATTCAAAGTTGAGTATTGGTTTTTAGTCTTATCCCCTAGATGTCAAGGACCCAAATTATTATCGATGGCGCAACGAAACGACGCGGAAGAAACAGCTCATAAAAACGGGGCAATAAGAAAAATCCGCATACCGATGCAGCAACGAAGGGGAATTTTTCAGTGCTCCAAATAGTCGCCCCGTCACGCTCTGCGAATCGTGAACAGAATGAAAGTGACGATTAACAATGCCAGGACGATGTCTGCTCGAGGAAAGTCTTAGTTTTTCTTATCCTCGCGAAAGATTTGGGTATTTTTTTCATTGCCATTCTTCCCTTGGAAAATTAACCATTAACTGCTCTGACGAATGTTTCAGATCTCGTATTTTAAAAAGTTTGTTTTTCCAAGAGAAATTAACGTTGATTTACAAAAATTAATCATATTTTATTTTTTATTTTCTTTATCATTTTGTTTCGATCTTGTTGCTGGAAAACGAGGCAAGTTTGATGGTTTCAATCTAAAGATCGTGCAACACGAGAAAAAAACAAATTATTAGAAATAATATTTTCTTGTTTCTCGACGAAAATTGCGCTCGACCGTATCGCATAATTAGTAGTCCGCAATATTAAGTGTTACGAGGCTCTTAATCTCTGCTGGCACGTTTGTTCTACTCTCATTCAACGATAACTCGCTTGAAGAAAGAGGAATATTTAATTCAAAACGACCTTCATTCAATTAATTATACCATCATTTTCAGATCGTTCGATAGAACAGTTTATAAAAATGAATCAATTTGTATACGAAAATATTCGAACTGTAGATTCGAAGTAAGAATTTCTAATATTTCCGAGTCCTCGTTATTTCTACGCTTTGAAAGTCGCTTATATCCGCTTCCTTCTTTTTCGAACCAGCAATTAGTTCGCGACCAATTATTCGTCGATCTATATTTTACCTGTACTCGAATAAATTTCTCAAATTTGACTCGATCACAATAAGTGTAACACCCTGTGATTCTATCGACGAGGTGCAAACTCGTTTCGAGAGTAGAACGAACGTTCGTTTCCCGAGATTTTCTGAACAAGTCCTGTACGATCGGATTAACATAAGTGAAAATCGTCTAGTTCTTCTTGATCCTATCTAATTGTAGTGAAATCTTTGTGTGCAGATTTCTGACGGCGAGGAACAGAGAGCGATTTATAAATCACCAAGAATGAGCAAGCTTTTTTACTGCAATTCCGTGGCGAACGATGTTTCCGGGGATTTAATTAACAACTTCATTAAAGATATTCCCATTAAAAACTTCCGAATCATCAAATCCAGGTATACTATTTCCTTTCGGTAACTTTTAAACGATGGAGGAAGAAAGAACTCCGCTTTACCGATCAGGAATCCCCGATATTCACCTGCTACCATGGTTACCAATATAAAAAACAAAATTACTAGAACGTTTTAGGTGAAAGAAATGATGTTCCAAAGCAACAGAGAAGTTCCCGAGGTGTTCGATGACACACAAAGTCCGGAAAAAAGTAGGAAAGAAAGTAATTGATGTATTTACCGGTAAAATTGCAGCGGCACATTCCCCAGGTGTTCCGCTTTCGGCTTCCACGGAAGCGAACATCGCCTCAATTCGAGCTTGCACAGCACTGTTCACTCTCCTCTGCTCCTCTGTGCTCATGTCTTCAAGGTGGTTCGAATTCATGGTTGACACCCCTCCGTACCACCCTCCCATGGTGGAACCATAAATCGATCTGAAACGATAAGTGAAACTTTTTCTAGACAACACCGATCGATACCAGTTTAATCAGAAATTTTCTATATTAGAATCTAATTTTCCAGATTTTGAACGACGAAATGGGAAATTGGTACCTGGAGTCCTCGAACAGCGCATCGATGCGAGCTTTGCTCCTGAGGGAGCATTCCGATGCAGGACCAGCCAACCGGAAGCCATCCTCGTAGCAGGGCATCCCCACACAGGACATCTCGATGTGACTTAAATTATTTACAAGTCTTGCAAGCTCCTTGGAGCTTTTCTTTTCGTCCTACTTTCGTTGAACGACGTCATTCGTTCTGAAACAGATCGATCAGAAAAACATAAGTTTCAGTTAGGAATAAAAAATGTATAGTGACACGCGCTGATGAAAAAATCTAAAGGATCTCGCCAGGATCTCACCTCGTTTCCACGGAGCCTTGCCGTTGATAGCCAGTCTGCGGTAAATTTATGCGAGAACTGGCTTCACCAGACGGCTGGTAATTAAAACTATAATTGCAGACGAGATCGGGGAAAGAATTTTTGATCGACCATCTACGCCGGTCCCGAGTAAAAGTGACGGGATCCATCGTGGTACTTCATGATGGATCTTTTATTAAATTTTTTTTTTGTCTAGCTGAATATTTAAATGGTTTAAGATTGATTCGAATCAATATTCTTTGACTGCTTGCAATTGATCATGAAACCTAACTGGTACACGTCTATTATCGTTGCGTCAGCGAATTCCAGAAGGATATTCATTATAGCTGATTACAATATAGTCATTTTGAAATCGTCGATCAGTCAGCGTTCGCGTCAAACGTTGATCTCGATATTTACTCTCCTGCCAGATAGAAATCGTAACGAGACTCGATACTCGCTCGTGTAGAATTATCGCGTGCTCCTCGATTTTCACCTGTTCGATGCACCGCGATTCTTAGAATTTCTTAAATGGAAAACGTCAAATTGCCGTTCGATCGTGAGATGGTAAATGTTTTCACCCTGGATAGTTATCGCGTTTATCCAGTATGTTTAATGCACCTCGGCAAAAGTAATTTGAACTTGAAGAGGGAAAGTTATTTTTCTAAGTTAGATAGGAATCTTGTCTGGCGTTACAGTGATTTATTGAAAAAGAAAAAGAAAATGTTTGTTTAGATATTTTGTTTTGTAATTCGAGAACTTTTGGTATCAACAACTTTCATTAATATAAATCAGCTATAATGAATTTAATTCAGTAATTTCAAAATATAATTCTATATCAAACATGGTTCTTCAAGACTAAAACGGTTAATTTCTAATTATTGATCAAATTCCATTTCAAGATGAGCTGTTGTCGACGAACGGCGATCTTTTTACAGTTACATGGTCTCGCATGCTCCACGATGCTGTACGGATTTTTCTGAAAGCGTCGATCTCCCGGCTCGATGCTCGCCTATTACCTCAAGAATAACTGTCGTCGACGAGTTTGTGAGCGTGTTCACCGCGTATAAAACGGAGACCATCTTCATTTGCTCACGTGGTTATCTTTGACCGAGCTGATTATCGAAAAGTGGGCGATTACGAGTTTTTCCATTTAAATTATAACGGGGATGAACCCTGGAAGACGAATGCAAACGATATATCTCAAGTTTGACGAGGTTCGATGAAGTTTGAAACGCGATTCAGATCAAGAATCAACTGTGCAATTTTTAATATCGATGATTAATCAACGGAGGAATATTTAAATTTGCCATCTCTTTCGATGAAATGAAAGTTCGTCATGTCGGTATTAAGGTCGGCAAACAGATTACAGCATCACGTGTCAGTGAATCGCGTGGAGAAACAGAATACATGGTCCGTTTTAAACGTGGATCGTTCAACTTACAATTACCAAGTTCACGGTTCGTTTACTGTTTGCGTTCAGCTTAATGGAAATCGAACAGACAAACGGAAGCAACTAAACACGAAACTGTCGGCGCGCCTTGCCCAGCAGGGAAAATCAAACCTTTCTCAATGTAAATGGCGAAGATCGAGGTAAAGACCGAGAAAAATTGTTGCAAGCTCGATATATCGCCTTCCATCACCCCGTTGTTAAAATAATGCCAATTCTTGCGATAATACAGCGATCCTAGATGCTGAAAAGTTAAGGGAAAATTAATTTAAAAAGTATCACAACCAAGGTCCAGGAATGATCATTTTTCTTTCGGGTCGAAGTAGAAGAGATTCAAGCACGATCGATGGAATTACAGAGCGAAACACTTTTCTCGAGTTTCTTTGTGGTCGAGAAACCTACATTACGGAACGATGAATAACATATGAATTCGACGAAGCATCAGTCATCTAATTGTACATAAAAAAAAAAGCACCGCTATGAACAATTATCATTGAAATAATTATCACAAACTTGGCTATACACAATCGAACCACCGTCGAAATCAATTCACGTCACCTTATGTCGAAGAAATTTTCCAAAAACTCATCGTTTTGCATCACTTACTTTCTCGTGATCAATTCCAGCGCAGAAAATCCTCAATTTCCCTGAATGAACTTTCGCGAAACACCTCGATCAAACATCGAACAGCACTCGCACATCACCATCTTGCGTTTCATCCTACAAAATCGCACTACATCAACTTCTGACCCCTGTCGATCGGGCATCGAAGTCACCAAGGATCATCGTTCCACGTGAGCTCTGTTTTTCTCTCTAATTGTCGCGATTTCACCGATCGAAACGGTATATAAAATGTACATTCACAGCGAAGAGAGGAAGGTGTACGTTGTTGAAGAATCGACCTTGGCCGCGAGTCGATCCGGATGACCGTCGACGTGAAACTGCCGGGGATGTTCCGCAGGAGAGACTCGAGTTCTCTAGCCGGTGAGTCGGCTCCTCCACGCTGGAACGAGGAGGAGGAGAAGATGGACGGAGAGAGCCTCTCGGTGGGTCTCTTCAGCTGCTCTCAGGAAGGGTGAACGTCTGGATGTGGCTTTTTGCCGGAAATTTCGTGCTACGTCTCGCCAGTAACGCGTAAGTATCATGGTGATTGATTACCTTTGAATGAGAAAATTAGCTAGAAGGGTACGTTTCCTGAACACATTTATACGTGTCACGTCTTTGATTTCTCGCGTCGGACCCATGATTAATTAATTGATACTTACGTCATTAACCCGATCAATATTTTCTTGTACCATTGACGATCATTAATTAGTTTCACTTGCACGTTTCACGGTAACCACGTTAATTTTAGTGTTTAAGGGATTGCAGAGAATGCTTTCGTAATGATAATAGTTGATTCGATGCCCTGTGCTTTGGTAACCCGAAGAAATTCAGTAGCAGGAAAGTAGGTCAAAAACTAGTTACGTATATTACGCTAATTACTGTACTTTAATGTGCAATCATTATCCGTAGGGAAAGGTAGAGTTATCAAGGAATTGGAGAACGCAAGACCTCTCATTACCATTATAATACGTGCTCGAAATATTTGCATCGTAAAAGAGTTACGAGAGAAACTCCGTTCCATTGTCCTGTGTTACAAGAATCTAAGTTTTCCGTCGAGTAACAATCGCTCAGGAATTTTCCCATCATGAACATTTCAAATTGCTCATTTTAATACATATTTTACGTTTTCTATACTTTCTTTGTCTTCTTCCTGTACACCGAATATACTTTGGTTTCTTGTTTCTTATAAATTAAAAATTGTTACAGTGGATGACTCAAGTGGACCATCTGAACAACTCGAAATGAAACCAACTCCAAATATTCAAGATTATCGTAAAATATCCACGGTAAGAGACACCTGGTCCATTAAAGAGCCATTTCTTGCCCCCGAATTTTCGAATCAATTCAGGTCATACACTCAGACATCGAATGTTCCCCATTTTCATAACTTCACGTCCCTGAATGATATTAGTCTTTTATATTCCTCGTTTATTAATCCAAATTCCAAATGCACATAACATAGACCCAAAAACCTCAAAAAAAAAGAAAATCGACTAAAAGGAGTGTATATAGAGTAACGCAGAGGTCAGTGCATCCAGTGACCAACATTTTTACTTGTCGATCAAGAGAGGACGTACACGGTGAAGGAAACAGAGAGGAAGGTGAAGAGGAGGAAAAGGAGGAAGCGAAGCATCAGCGGAGAAGCTGCGGAGCAGTCTTCTGGATTCTCTGGTTTCCATGGTTGGTCCTGGACGGCGTGGTAACGCCGTAACCGATAACGGTACCCAGCTTCGACGGCGCTCACCAATGTAAGAGTACTGTTATTCCAACGATGCAGCTGTCCTCTCTGTTCCACTCCTTTTCTCCTTTCGCCATTCTTCTTCGTCCTTCTCGTTCTTCCCCCTTCTGGTATTCGCCTGAGCAGTTCTAAACGCGGACCCAAGTCTGCTAAACATCTCGTAAGATCCCTCATCAATCAGCTGGGGATTTCATCATTCCCTATGTTCATTCCTTTCTACCGTCTCTCATCTGATCAGACATTCGTGGCATTGAACTATATTTAGCATGAATTTTTATTTTAATATTTTTGTAGATGTATAAGGTGTTTCAGTTATCGTGAACATTTTGTATTTTTGTCGTCTGAGGGTTGTTAGGGTTACTTATCGTTGAATTCATTTTCATACAATTGCAAATGGCAGACCGTTGCTTCATTGTGCGTTTAAGGTGCATCAATGTTCGACATTAATTTCTTATTCCACGACATAGCAAGACGAAATTTCATCACTTTCGCGTTTACGAGTGTCGTGATTAAAGGATGTAGACGATCGTCAATCGTGTCCAGTTATTTTAAAGAGTCTTGTAACCAGCGTGGTTACAACAGCGACAGCTGGCGGACACCTCTTCTAACCGGAAGTAATCACGGCTGTCGAGCTTCCAATGGAGTCGCTTTCGCAGCTGTCGTCGCCTTGAACTTTTCCCAATCCTTGATTGCATAAGTAATTATACTTGACGAAGTTTTCAGACATCTATCAAAAAAATACATTAATGTTCTATATCTTAAAAATTAGAATTTTCTTCAAAATTTTCAAGTTTTACGCGACGAGAAATCTGTTAACGAGAGAAATTATATACGTCCAAGAATTTGTGACATCGTCGAGTGAAATAATCAATGTTGCTATTATTATCCTTGATTATTCCGTCGAGAAACACGCAAGACCTTCGTTATCTCGTTAATTCAGAATCCTTTACTGTGATTCTGTCGCTTCCTTTTAAATCGGTCCGAACAACCTTTTCGCGTAATTGTCCTCCAATTATTTTTTTTTCCTGAACAAAAGTGGTACGAACTACAATTGGTGATTCTAGGTCACCCCTTTTAAAAGCCATCAATCCTTCGCACCTGGTACTCGACGTAATGTATAAAATTTTTTTCTCGCACAGATTTTCGAAACGCTTTAATTATACGATTAAGAAGCGAAGGATTTTTCCTTTTTTTAATTTGAAATACCATCGGGATACGAGATCGAGGCCACACGCCGATCCGATTATAGAGTACCGTTTTAAAATGATGAATTTTTTAACCGAATGAATTGAATATCGAGCGATAATTGTAAACGAAATTTCGCTTTATCGAGGACCATATCGTCGGTGACCCTAATTCTCGCGCGAACGCGGTACACCTGTGTGTGTAACTGTAAATTTGTCGTATTACGTTCTAACTGTAATGCACAGGTATTTCGGTGTTTCCATGCTTTTCCTTCTGGCGATAAATTTTCCACGTGATTTCTCATGGAAAACTCTTCTCACCTGTTGCGTACACGTTATTTAACCAGGTGGTTAGGAGTTAACGAGTCTTTTTAGCACATTCCAATCGGTGATCGTGTTCGATCGTAAAAATAAACTCTGTAAATGCACGGTTTCTTTTAAATTTATAAATATTCTTTTCCATATCGTTGGGCAGCCCATTTGCATAGTAATAGCCATAAGAAATCTCTCGATTCGTGGCGCCTTAATAGCATATTAAAATTTATGGATTATTCACGGTGGTTTGTAACTCTTGCTTGTAAATTTACAACGGTACCGCTTGTGCTTCTATTGTTTTAATACTGTTATACAGCGCGTTCCCAGGCATCCTGGACGATCTTTTTCAATCTAGAATCTAAAATAATTTTTCGAAACTGATAGTGAGGCAACGGTTTGATGTAATGATTCGAAATTCATTGCGACGCGAGTTGAATTATAGAGGATGCTATAGTTCGTGAAATGTTACCTGCAATCTTGCGTAATCGTAGCATCATTTGTAGCATTTGTAATTAACATTTCAATAATGTTCGTATCCTCTTTTTAATTTGAAAGTGGAGAATTATTCATGTTTTTTATTTATTACAAAGAATGTAAAAGGATCGTCAGGACGACGTAATTTTTGCATTACGTCAGGATGCAGATGCACCTCGAAGGCCAACGATTACGCGTCCGTAACTCGAGGTAATTGGAATTCTTTTTACTTTTATTTTATTTTCATTCCTTCTCATTATTTAAATCACCGCATGAATAACTTTAAATAGAAGTTGGAGATTAATTTGGTTAATTTTCTAAAATAAGTCATCTAATTTTTCTAAAATTAAATAAAAATTGTGTACTGGTTGGAGACGAACAACGACCAAACGTTTGGTTTTAGTTGCATTGTTAGTTTATTATTAATTAATTCTGCAATGGCAATCGACACGTAACAATATACATAACATGTTCACAAGTAATTCAAGAGGATAGGATGGATCTCCGATCACGTTTCGACTCCGACGATTCTTTCCCACTGTTTCTCTCGTGTTCTACAACGCTGGTAACCCTCTTCGATCATTCAGTTATTCAAATCTATTTGAAATTTCGGTCCTAGAAAATTTTTGAAAAAGAAAATGGAACGATGTAAAATAATGGTTGTAATTGCCAAGTATTTTATCAACATTCTATGTACCAGCATTCCACACGCTCGTGTCGGTGATATTTAGAAGCTAACTTACGTAAGAGGACGCGGTTACACGTAAGCGTGTCACGAGAGGAGCTCGTGCGATTTCGAGCGCAATGAAACGACGGGAAACACGAACAAGAGATTCCATCGAGTTCTTTGTGCGATAAATACATTATTTTTCACGACTAGACTGCGAATGTTTAAACAAATGATGAAAAAAATAACATAATAGCCATTCTTTTTTAATTTGAAAACTAATTATTTATCTTTATAATCCTCGAGCAACTGTGCATCAAATAGTAACAATTTTTTGCTTATCCTCCAAGTCACATATACTCGCGCCTTTTTTTTAAAAGTATATCCATCAGTCTGAGAAAGAAATGATTCATCGCATTGTCGCATATACTTTGCATAATTTAACACGTTACAATTGCATAAACATCCGCAGTTTATTCATGAGGGTAGAGGTTCGTGGGACGAGCGCACAGGCTACGATAAAATAAATAATCGTTCGCGCCTCGCAACAAAGTTCGCACATTTTTTTTCCTCGATCAACTCTTCGTTTGGCGATCTTCGTTTAATATGTTTCCACTTGATATACAGTAGTCAATTATTTACCCGCCACAACGAAGAGTTGATTTCATACAATAGCGATTGTACCGCGAGAAATCCTAAGTAACTCTAACTACTACCGATCCTTAATGAATTCGCAACCCTTTAACTGTAACGTGGAATCATTTGCCGAGTAAAACATCTCGTTCCACACGATCTAATGTTATATTAATTTTGCATTATTTTTTTGAACGAGGAAAAAACGACTGCTGTAGGGGTCACTGGTGAACGGAAGTTTTACTCAGCAAATATTCGACACGGGTTAACGAACGAGTTTCTGCTCGGTTAAAGGGTTAAAATAGAATAACTATCGTCGAGCTGAAAACACGCTGGGCGATTTTTCTACGATCATCTGGCACATGCGATTAAATAAATAAGTTCCAGTTGCACCTGTTGTCCGACTTGGAGCTCGATCACTTTTTTCTTTCACAAGATAGCCACTCGTTCATTCAACCCTTCCGTTATGAAAAATTTACAAATAAATTCTTGGACCGTCGACGAGAGTAACTCGTCTGTGATTGACAAAAAATGATGAAATCAAAGGGTAATTTGAGAAGCAGATTGGCGAAGGGTTAATTTAACTTGTGTCAAGCGCAAGAAACACGCGAGCGGACCTCTCGTTCCAGCCTGATAATCGAATGACAAGGCGAATTCGTGAAAACCCCCTCGTCATCCGTGTTAAACTCGTTTCGGATCCGAGTAAACCGGGTCCAAGAGGTCTCCGCTGAATTCAGCATGGCGAAAGGATCGAAAGAATCGGTCGAGAAGGGCAAAAAGTCGATACAGTTCGCCAAGTCGGACGCTTCACGGCGTTTGGCACTGATTCCCATGCTGGATCATTTGAGGGATGCGCTGTACCGCGCTCCTCCTCCCAATTATCAGACAAAGTTCGCATAAAACGAAGGCACTACCGTCTTGAGAATATCTGATGTTGGAAGAAGAAAATTCGTGACTTTAGCGTGGAAATTAAATTTCAGTGGCTTATATTTTATTTACATGGTATTGGTCCTTGATCGAAACAATCGGAGGATTTTTCATCGACATTGGATAGAGATAATTTCTCTCGTTTCTAATAACTAATTTGTTTTATATTCATTTTTTTGACGTTTATATCCTTGAAATACTACGAGTGGAAAGATGCAGAACTGTATAGGAACGAAGTAAAAGGAACTATGACAACACGTGGGTCGAAATGTTCTCCATAGAAAAATCTAATGCAACCGATTATGCATTAGATACCGTAATTCGGTCCATTGCACTCGGAATATCTTGAAACATTGCTTTTTCCATCGCTGTTACGAGAACGGAGAAACTCGTTACGAAACAGGGGCGACATTTTTCATCGGTAATCGATACAATCAATGAAACTCGGAAAGAAATTTATTTTTTACGAAAAATAGTCGGCTGTTGAAGTATTAATAATTAACCCTCGAAAGGTAGAACTGGACAAGTTTATAGGAAACCTTTAGTCCCTAGTTTCTTTCGCGAAGAAAAAATAAAGGTGAAAGAGCAGGTTTTATAACCGAGCCTCTCGAAACCCTCGATCCACCGTGTGTGTAATTTTTTCTCACGCAATTAAGATTAACGTTCACGTTCCCACGAGAACCGACTGAAAATCATGCGGCGGGAATTTAAATCGCTGCATTACCTTTTCCAGGAGAAAATTGCTGATACGATTGTTCGATAGTCTACGAAAAACATAGAAAAACCTTAACGTCACGAAATACCATGCGACATCGTGCAATGCTATCAGAAACGAAGAAAATAAAAAATAATCCTCCGATTGTTTCGAATACCCGTTGCCTCATCTTCGTTATAAATCAAATTATGCACGTGATTTCGTCAATGAGTTTTCAAATTATTCCCTTCCTGTCATTGGATCCACGAGAGCCTAGTTTCCATGAAACGATGATAAAGCTACTGGTTCGTTTTCTCAGAGGAAATATTACGACGTAGCGTGGACAGTTTCGTTGACTAACGAGCTCCAGCCATCAGAACAATCTTTTTCATCAGGTGACAATAATTCTAATTATGTCTAATTAACTGGCTCGTTTTTATAACAGGAAGGTCGTCTTCCGTAACATCTTCCGTCAACAACAAGGTCCGAAGGTCTCTCAAACAACAAACTAAAATTTTTATATCTAAAGAATTTCGAAATGAATTCTTATGAAGTTCTCTTCGACGTTACTTCGAACCGTTAAGGTGCATCGATCGAAGTCCTTAATTTGACAAAGACGATCGACTTTCGAGATAAGACGAAGGAGGTCACAGGTAGAAACCAGCGACGAAGATGAGACCGGGTGCCATCAGCTTTTTTCTTGAACCGTAATTTTCCTACTCGGGCAAGGTTGTTCCGAGAATCGAAAGCCAACTGAACCAGTTGAACGCTCTTCAAGCCAGACCACCCATCACGATTTTCCACGCTAACGCCGCGAGAAAGAAGTTCCTTCTTCCATCGAACAAGTGCCCTACTTAAAATTCCACGATGGACCTCACAGAAACGAGCTCAAACAGTTGGCTCAAAAATTACGAAACATCTGTATCTCATTGTGATTCAAATGAAAATCATCAGTTAGAGTCGAACGTTCAGATTCATCGGTTCGCACTATAAACTGGTTCTCTGAGTCATTGAGCAACTGATCGTCCATGTTCGACTGAAGGCATCACTCATTTTTGTCGAGCGATAGTCGTCCTTTAACGAAACCTCGGCTGAATCAACCGATGGGCCAAAGTTTACGAATGGTTGGCCCGAAGAACACGCGGCAAACGGTCCAGCAACGTGTATTCCGAGGTTCTGACGCACTTGCGAGTCAACGAAGGAAGTGGAGAGGTCCTAACGAGGCCGAGGCCTGGGTAACGGCTGGAGCTGATGTTGTTGATGATGAGAGTAGCCGCTCCTTGAGTTCACCGGAGGCTGCGTCCTCTCCGGACTGTCGTCCAGGTTCAAGCCAGCCACTAGTTGGGCTATTTCTCTATCCTTCTTTTCTTCCTTAGGTAACGCATTGCCGTTCTGCCCGCTGAATCCCAAGGAGGCCAGACTACCGTGGCTCCTGCTGCGATGTTCGGCCCGGATGCTGTAAGAAAATGCTCTCTCGTTCAGATGGCCCTTCCGTCGATAGATGCCGGTGCCGAAACGGGACTCATTCTCAGGACTGTCGGCGGCTCGATTCATCTCCGCGCTGGTTAGATCAGCGTGTGACGCGGCCAATCTCCTGGACGCTCCTAAAGTAGAGGTATCGCCTTCAGGATGGCTTCTTCTGCTTCTATTCCCAGCAGTTCCATATGTTCCAGCTGGATAGATAGCCGCCGCTGGCGGCGGTGGAACCACCGGGACAGGAGCGTATACTGGAACAATTGGAGCGGCTGCTGGAATTGGTCTGAGTCCTCTGGGATGATGGTGTGCCTTCCTGGGTAATGTGGCAGCAGGCACAAGAAGCACTGGCGCTGGTCTGGCTAGAGTTCCAGCTACCGATCGACTGCTAGGTGGTAGAGGATGAGGGTGATAGTGCTGCTGCCTGACTGGATGACCCAAGGTATGATGTCCGTAGCCATTTGTGTACATTCCTTGATGCATCTGAGGATGAAGGTGCGGCTGCTGCAGTGGATCCTCATGCGATGACCGATTTTTCAGTTTCTTTAACTTCTTGTTGGCCTTTCGACGAACGGAAGAGGACGAAGATTCCTCCAGCAGTAGAGGCTGAGCTGGAGGAGGTGGTGGCGGTGGAGGAGGAGGCGGACCAACCAGCTGACGAGGTCTGGAACCCTTGGTGCTTCGTAGTGTTCCTTGTTCTTGATACAATCCGTCAACCTCATCCCGACCTCTGGCCCAGACTTTGTGATTCTCGTCGCCGTTGTAAAGACTCAGGTCGTCGGTCGAGGTCGCGTCCAAACGCGTTGCCTGAGGGCTGTCTAAGGTGGTGCTGGACCCACCGAGGGTGTGATAGAGGCTGTTATTCGAAGGATGACCAGATGTAACTCCGTTGGTCGTCGTCGTACTTGGGTCCAGTCCCTTAGCGTAGCTACTATCCGCGTACGCGTGGAAACAACACCTGACCAGGGCGTTGGCAGCCATGTCGCGCTTGCATATAAACGCATGACACTCGAGAACCTTGATGCCGGTCGTTCGTCGTAAGACGGCGGCAAAAAGTGGCGGATGATTGGCGCTAGGCGTCCTCGCGAATGGAGAGTCGAGAGGCAGGAACCTCGTGTTCGAGGAATCTCCGCTTCCGCCTTTTACGTGCCTGACTGCGGCGCAGTAATGAAGCGCCTCAATCGGGAAAAACCTGGTGACCTTCTTGCGGTGTTCGTCCACGTTCTCCAGCAACAGGCCGTTGCTCCAGACGCTTAGCCAAGAATCGATTCCACGTGCTCCTAGAGCACCCTGCTCGGGATACAGTTCTCGAAGAGGTTCCTGAACACCTAACAAACCTTCCTTGCTCGCATGAGGCACAGAGCTGCCCAGATAGAGAACTCGGCACCGGCAGTACGGCGTAGCCGAATCTTGATTAGCACCCCTCATTTTTGAAATCGATCGAGTAGATTGAACTGGTCCAGGCAACCGGTCCAACTGTTCTAGCCTCTGGTAGTCTTCCTCTTCAGATATAGCAATAAATCAAAGCAGGAACAGAGCATACGCGATCCTGAAGAGATTAGCAACGATCGAGAACCGTCGAATCCGAATCATCGAACACCATCCGAAGAACAAGCATCGGACCCACGGGGGAATTCGAGCAAACACGCGAGCGTACGGTGCACACGGAACGAAACGACGACTCCACCCGGTAACACACTCCACTCGCGATTACGCAGTCACTTTCCAAAGACGCAGCCCGTCCGCGGTTGCAAAATACGCGTGCGTGGACGACGAGGAGAGCCGCTCTCGGCTATTTCGCAGCAGCTGTAGCCGCCGCTCGCTCGAGATCGCGTCAGGCCATTATGGCCGCCTTCTGACGGCTCCCCACCAAGGTACCAGCGTTCCTCTTTTCTTTCTACCTGGCTTCCCTTCTACCACCTCCTCGTCTTTTCTTTCTTCCACGAGGCCAGCTCTTGCCAACCTTTTCCAACCTCCCACCGTTCTCCTTCCTTCGGGGGCCAGGTCCTCCTGTGGTATGCGGTGTACACCAGTGGCGTCTACGTCCTCTTGGTCGCCCCTCACCTCCACGTGTACCGATCGACGGGACAGTAGGTAAGCACGGCACACCGACAAACTCGAACGCTCACAGACGCTAGGTTGGAATTCAACGGGCCCGTTGAGCGGTGTGTCGCCGCTGCTGGAATCCAGAGGCGCGGCCGCAGGCGTCAGCCACGCGAGCCGCTGTCTTCGACGTTCTTCCGCGCCTCATCGGCTCTAGAAGAACGAAAATACCAAGATTTTTACAGTTTCTAAACCCCAAAAACGTTGGTCCCACTATCTTTCGTCGCTTTTTCACCGTCCACGGGACTAACCGTCGCACAGATGGCGCTGCGACCGCCTGGGCCTGGTGATCAGACCTGCTCGCCAAGTTCCTCTTTCTGTTTCAGCTTTTAGCACAGCCGTGGTCGATCGATACACCGAGGACACTGCTCCTTCCGGTTTGGACAAGTCTCCGTTGATGGAACCCCCACGAAACGAGCAACAGCCAGTGGAATAACGAGCTGTGACCGCCTGTACGTTCCTCGTCGGACTGAGGACTGACGGAAGGCGTGAGACTCCGACCGACTGGGCCCCACTACGATCCATCGGGCCCCTCTCTTTCTCGCTCTTTCTTTCTCTCTTCTCTCTCACCAGCCGCTTTTCTGCCTCTCTGCAACAGGCACTCCCTGACTCGCCGTTGTCCCCGTACCTGCCTCGGGAACCCTTCGCGATGGGGTGTCCGGAATTGTGTCGAGGGAAATGCACATTCCCCAACCGATTTTACGGTGGAACGCTAATAGCCCCCGCCTGTTTTTCCTGCAGATGATGCAACCGAACGATCTATCCTCATCGCTTCAACGATCGTTCCAAGAACGACCGGTATTGAACCTTGCTATCCTTCCCGACGAGATCTAAAGCCTGATGCTAGAGATTCCATCGGAATTCTATTTATCGTACATGTTAATTTTCCAGTCTTAGGAATCTCGGGATTAACTGGATCGTGAATATTTAATTACAAATTTTATCGTCGAACCTCGTGAACAGAACTGGAACACTCGCCTCGGGCGCATTGTACGTGACGCGGCACAGTATGAGTGCATAATCTTGCATAAATTTATCCAGAAACTGTGGAACGTTGCAGCGTGTCAAGGAGCTGTACACCTACTGAGATACATTTACAATTTTAATCAGAAAACCGATTAGATCTGTACTAACGCGTGAAAAGAAAGTAGTACGAACGTTTCTGAAATCGTTAGTGGTAAACGGTTAAAGAAACTTGGCCCTAAAGTAACGAGCAAGCGGAGAAGTAATTAACCGTCAAACACTGTAGCAAAGGTTTGCGAATAGACGCGAAATGAACTTTTGAAAGCGCGACGATTAAACGCTAACTAAGTTTCTAATTCGTTAACGAAACAACGTGGTGATAAGGATCGACGAACAGTTGCAGTCTGACGCGAATTGTTCGTGGAAACAGTACACGTTCTAATTGAATTCACCAGCCATAGATTATTGTCTTCATAAATATTTAACAAAATAGTTTCTCGTTTGAACGATTTATCTCTCGTGGAAAGTTTGAAGAATCAATGTTTGAACTCCGAAGGAGTCACTGATCTCTCGATGAAATTTTAACATCGTGAAGTATTGGAGCCTAGATTTTTAAAGGCTACCATTTCATTTGGCACGTGATCGCTATTCGATTCAATGCTAATCACGTTCAATAGGTATGCCCGGGCAATCGTTGCAATGGAAGTTTCTAAGAGACGACACGTTTAGTCTCTTTGAAACTTCGAACAATGTAGCAATGTTCGAGAACGAAAGCAATCGTGACAAAACGAACGAGCTTGCGTAATCGTGGTGGCCATTGAATGACACCTGACGACTCAATTCCAGCCACGATGGAATTCACGCGTTCTCCATTTTGCGCGACCGTCGACACGGACCTTCGATTTGATCAGTTGCGCAACCAGTACTCGGGATTTCTTGGTCAACACATACGTAATTATTAAATCGAAGAAAAAGGTTACGAAATCGTTCGAATACTTCTGATTTAATATTTCATTTTGCTGTAATACTCGTTACGAGTATTAATTAATTTTCTTCAATATAATTCTTACCTCTCTGTTAGAACTCTCAGTGATAGCATTCTAAGGATCTGTATCTATGATTGATCAAATTGCATCTGTTATTTTATATAGCAGTGAACGCCCAGATAGTCTCTGACCTATAAAGGGCAACTCTCGACGGTGCGCTGGGTTTTCTTACAGGTGCGTGCATATCGAAAGGTTGCCAGTTGTCTGGGAATCTTACCTGATGAACGGTTTGTCCCTGCAAAGGAAATCCTGCCTTTTCACACGTTTCAAGGTCTCTGGACGAGGTGTTGGTCCTTTGAAAACGGTTATGGTGGTCATTGTAGCGAAGGTGCACTTTTCTATTAGAGACCTTAAGTCTGCAGGATGGAGCCAGGGTGACCGTCAGGATTTTATTGGTCACGCGATCCTGATTCTATGTTTTCTGGCTTCACGTGACGCGACTAGCGTTCCCTGGTTCTTCCTGTCTTCGACTCCACTGTTCTCGCGACTAATTACAGCTGAAAGCATAGTGGTCGTCCGGTTAGTTCGCCAGCCTGTTTTCGAGGGAACGGGAAGACGTAGAAATTGCGGGGATATCACGACGTTCGCACAGGAAATTCCAACCTGGATTGGTCGTACACGTTGGAAACATAATATACACATTATACTCTTCTTTTATCGCGACTAACATCGACGAAACAAGACTGGAACGAAATTAATGACACTCTGCAGTGTTTTTACCGCTCGTTTCCGTAATTTCTGAAATGGCACAGGACGAATTCAGGACTAAATTAATGGTTGCAATTTTATTTCGCTGTTTATTTATGACCCCTTCAAAGCTGATGGTAAAAATTCCAACCGTATCACAAGTTTCGTGTTTCGTACTTTCAAACGTTGAAAAAGAGAAGGCGTTCGAACTGGACAGGCTCTTAAAAAACACGCTTGCATTCCAGACGATCGAGAATGGCACATTAGTATGTAAATAGTCGGATTCGGGTCCGAGTTGACCGGGTATTTATTTCAGAAGGTGGATCCTCCGTTGGTCGAAGGACAACCGTGAGGTTCTACGAAAGCGCTTTACCCATCGTTGAAATCACTGGTTCCTCCCAGCATCACTATAATCTGTCTCTTCATCTTCAACCTCTCGTTTTACGACTTTTCTATCTATTTTATTTCGAAACAAGAATATCTACTTTTGTTGGAGAGAGGTTCTCTATTTATTTGTTTAATATCTTTGAGCATTGTTCCTTTGGAAAATATTGTAATAAGTAAAAATTTAGGAACTATAATTATGATATTAGGAAAAATAATTTAACAAGTTTTGAGCAGTTACTGTGTACTCTTGTACAATGTATTTTAAGATCGAGTGGCCGAATTGTGGCCCGATGTTTCGAAGGTTCCTGAAATCGAGGATCGAGTGGGTTAGTGGGTCGTTGTCACGTTAATTACGAGGAATTCAGAAGCTGTATGTACCGCGTGCAATCACCTCCTTGCATGGGAATCTTTCTCCCATCTTTCTTCCATTATCATTTCCAATACCATAAAATTGCACAAAAGAAATTATGCCTTTCTTTGTTCCTCGAACGATCAAGAATAATTAATTCCTCTTTCACGAGAGAAAAATGAGTCAACTTATTTAAAATTAAGTTTAAGTATTCTCTTCTCTTTTTCGATTTTTTAATGCAAATAAAGTGAACAAAAGAATAAGTAATAAATGATTAGCAATACAGTAGTGACTTTTACCAGGGAGTTCGAAGCCGCAAAGAAATCCCACTTATACTTCCGGCAAAAGAGCAATACCGGTCTCGAGTTAGCCGGGGAAAGCTTTTAAAATACTTGGCAATCTTCTTTCTCTTTTTCCGGGTTAACGATGTCAGGACACTTGTTGTACACTTCCTTTTTCCGCGAACCCTTGTTTCGCTACTTTAATTTAACTGATATCAATGCTCTTACATGGCGGTAGCTACTTCAAACCGCAAATTAGAGAATTTCTCTACTGAACATTGACTACCAATTTACAATGCAATACAAAGTTACAAAAGAAACTTTGCCATCGATGAAAAAGTTCACGTCTAAAATTGACCAATTTCTACCATCATCTTTCCCTTGTCGTTTTCACTTCTTCTTGCTTCCAGACACCAGTAATTCTCTGTTGATTCGGTGAAATAACCGATCAAATATATTCTTAAACAATCTCTCTTGAAACCTCGATCCTCGCATTCCGGAAATCCTTGAGCCATAGATCAATCCTCTGGAAAGCTCGTCGTCGATCTTAACTGCTTTCTACGACAACAGCGTGCCAACTCTTTGAAAGTTCCATGCAAACAAGCCCCAGGCTATGGGAAACGTGCGTAAAAATTCATGAATCTTTCGTGTCTGTTACCTAAACGTCGGGAGCGTGACATTTTGTTCAGGCTGCCCGTACTTTCCTTCTCGTGTCATCTTTGTTTCTTTGTTTTCCAGCCTCTGGAAAAATTTAACCCACCTCGAAACGCAACAATTTTTTCCGATCGTATCATTTCATCGAAACTTCATTAGAAAATTAAACGATTACATGCTGAAGAATCAAACGTGTCAGAGGTAATAAACAGAGAGCCTGGTAATCTATTCATATTTCTCATTTACATTGAAAACAGACATTCTTTCCTCCATAATTACCTCATAAGTCTTTCATGCCTGTGACACGCAATTTGTTCAGCTGGAGACTCTATTTCGCGCTGAACAGCTACATCGACGACACATGCGTGCATTGAAGTCTCTATTGTCGATTAGAATAACGGAAGCCGTTGGTGTTAGGAAAAAGAGACGAGTTACGTAGCGGTTCACTTTTACTAATGTGACCAACTTAAAATGCTGTTACCTTACCGATCTAACGGGTGTCGTTCGTTACGGTGCACCAGTCAGTAATTAACAGTTCATTAACATACACCTAAGGCACCGTTCTTGGTGGCTGTTCAAGAATGAGCTGAGAAATCGAGATACTTATTTTTTATTTGGAATATATGATACAATTTGTTGAAAAAGAATATCTTTCAATGGAATAATCTTCGAAATTAACGAGCTTCGATAGAATATATTGACAAGCGAACCGAATGCCGTAGGAGAAACTAGAAAAATTCTTTCTCGTACGCGCATCGAGAGCAACGGAACTTCCGACACGGGGTATCCGCTTTTCCGTCACGTAGCTGTGCCTTTAGATAGGCAGAGCTGGTCGGGTCGTGGCTTGCAACACATCCACATGACTATTGATGGCAGAATGCCGACGCGACGCATGAAACTCATGCGAAAGCAGAGCTGAATGACGCTCGGTTCGCAAGCTAACTTCCAGCTCGAATGCCATTCGAATTCCTTCCTCGATCAGCTTCGAGATGTGCATCGAACCGTGTTCGATTCTTTATTTATTTCTTCGTTCACGGATCTATCATTTCGGATAGGAGTAATTCTCCTTTGATTCTTGATAATGAAAGAACGATGGATTCAGGTTTCTCGTTTGAAATCTGAGAATTTGTTAAAGTGCCTGTGTCAAGATTTATGGTAATTAAAATAGATAACATCCAACGGAAGTGTCTTATTAATAAATGTAATAGAAGGAACATAACATAGAGCGAGTCGATCGAATGGAATGCTAAGAGTGGCAAGTTTCCCAGCGAATTTTTTCACTCGAGCCAACTCCCATAACAGCAGACAATATCGAAACTGCAAAGTACAAAGGCTGACATTTAACCGAGAGCCATCGCACGTGAGCATTAAAGCGTTGGGACCCGTGAGAGACCCCCCATAACAGGTCACTGCCATCGAGAGAGGAACGAGCTGGTTCGTAGCAGCAACTCCCTTTATGGGAGAATGGGATCCACTTTATTCTTGTACGGTCAGGTCGCTTCTTTAATCCGTAAATCTGTTTTTCTCACGGATCGAATGGTACGCGTTAAGGGATTTAGAAATCGAAGAGTTTTTAAAGATCGTATACCGATGGAGAGGTTTTTCTTCCTGGTTCTTACATTTCATTTCTTTCAAGGGAAAATCGAGATTCGTCAAGTTCCTTTCTATTTTTTGCTAGAAAAGATAAATTGCTAACTATTTCTCGACTCAGAAGTCGTGCCGCCACTTTTCCTTCGCGCTACTTCAAAACCAAGGTCCCATTCTTTCCTCGCGTTCCTACAGACTCATGGGTGTCACTCTTTCCTCCTTGACTCTTCAAGGCCAAGGTGTCAGATCGCCTAGAATGCGTCACCGTGACCGTTCGGAACGGTAATCAAATTTCTGAATTCCATCGGTCTCCCTGGGAGTGTGAATCTCATTAGGGACCTATTTCACGGTACCGTTCTTCGCGTTCATGAAACAATGGTCGCTTGGTACACATTCGATTGACCGACATTGTTCGTTTTTTATTTATTTATTATTTTACAACTGCTGGTTTCGGTTGATTAACTAATTAATTAAATAGCATTTGATTAATATTGCTACATTGAAAATGGTAATAATATTTTGGTATTTCTTATTAGAAAAGATAACAGTGATCGTTTATTTAACTTCACGTATCACTGATCTTTAATTAGTCAACCGATGAATTAGAAAAATATTATTCTCTTCGAAAAAATCTTCTTACGTAATAATTGAGCGGCGAGTTGCGGAATTCTATCGAGAAACTAGGAAAACCACGAGCCAACCGAGTTGGCTTAGAAATCGAGGATAAATGGGTATCGTTTTTGCGGTGAACACCGCCATTCCAGTGCAATTTGGTGGTTAATTTTTGAATCGTGATCCTTGCGGTTGTCATAGTTCATAGAAATCTCGGTTAGATCATTGTTTCTTCGGTGAACAAGAAAATATCATTTCGTTATTCGTTAAACTGTGAATTCTTTCATTTCAAAGTCGGAGATTTATTTGTCTTCGCCTTCTCGATTCAACGTGAAAGACTTTCTATTCATTTGTTATTCGTGCAACAACTATAGACACGGGAACAATGCAAATCGGCCACTTCCTGCTCCGTTAACCATGAAAGCAATTTAACGAGCCACCGTACGTGATCCCGCTGGACGTGTGCCGGTGTTCATATCAGAGAAATTTTTATGACGTGACCGAAACTGTGCTAATTATTTTATATATTCACACGATCGGCGAAAAAATTTTACAACCCTACGAAATCTACTGAGAAATCATACTAAAACCTTGTACTGTAGTCCAACTACTATACTATGAATTTTTATGGAATATTTGCCTATAATGGGGTGTTTTAATTTTGAAATTTTAATAAGGGAACGTTTTCCTGTACCAACTGTATTTTTACATAAAATTGAAAAATTTATCTTTTGGTATTTGGTGTCAAACAAATGTAGTTCTCAATATAGTAGAAGGCGCAACAAAGGGTAATAAAAGAGACAAAAGGAAATAATAATCAGAGTGCAGTTCGTGTTATGCACTTTGCAAAGGCTATCTCCATGAAACATTTATTGCGTGGTCATCCGAGATTTGCATGGCACATATATTTGGAAACCCTTTCTTTTCTCTGGTGCATCGTGCCATGAATTATTAAGCGAATCCATTCCGTTCATTGTTCCCATAAAATTTATTCAAATACACCCCGCAAAATGTCATTCTTATTTATTACTAATTTTGGTTGAAGTGCATCATATCGAAATTTAATTCTATATTTAATTGCAAAGTTTCGTGTCTTTTTTTTTAATGTTCGTTTCAATCTGGAAATGGGTAGAAGGGGTGAACGCAAAGAAAATGACAGAGTTTATTGTTATTAACCGTTATTATTGTTACTATTATTGTCAGTGTTACTGCTGTTATTATTCCTATTATTATCGTTAGTCTGGAGTCCGACGCGGATAACAATATAATGCTCGGAGTCGCGATCAAATAGTCAACAAATAGATCCTCGACTCGAGGATCTTAGTCCACGATGCAACAAAATGCAGCTTCGTAAATACAAGAATAATAAAAGTTCAATCTTTATTCGTCTTGGACTGGTCAGGGCCGACGACATCGACGTACGCAAAAATCTACAATCCTCCTTGAATTTTCAAGGATACCCTTTCGTTCTTTGTCAAACGAGAACCTTGGAAATAACACGTGGTACTCGTGCAATATTGAATATTATTTGATAAAATATGTTTCATAAGGTCCCTTAAAAATTGCATCTAAATTTGGAGCAATTAGTGATCTAATTAATACATTAATTTTAACAAAAGAAATTCATTTTTATCACTGCTCACTGGGAACCTTAATTTCTAGTATCTTTAATACGTTCTGTACTATGTGGGTCATAAGTGGGCCACGGTGTTTATCAGAAATTCGTTTTGAACATTTATTATTTCCAATTTTCCTCGTCAAAGACATTGAACACTCGGCTAGAGGTTTGAGTATTATAAAATAGGAATGAAAAAATCTCTTCCGACAAGAAGAATCCTCTTCTGATTTCAATGTCTAATTAGAGGCCTCTTTAAGACCACGTAGGAGTGAGACTTCCTAAACCAGAATTTATATTTTGACCTAGGAAGTCTCATTAAAATCTAAGTAAAATACTTGAGGAGTTCTTATAAAAATAATAACTATTTTTTAATAATAACCAATCGTTGACCTTTTAATTGGTCGCATTCCTCGAAGACGATGTTTCAAACTTCCTACGACATGATATCGATACGTCGATTAATTAAATAATTTATTAGTTAACAACGAGCCGATGGCTCAATAAGGATGTAAAGCAGCCAGGCCGAGTCTGGGCGGTTCCGCGTAGCTGTGCCGGTATCTGCTCGGCGTGGGTACGATTTCCAGAGGAGGTCTGGCACTGTCGCGATCGAGTCCTGGGTATCTTTCGTGCTCAGACAATTCCTGATAAGTCGTCGCCCTGGCGCGTATCTTCTCGCGTATTTCTCTCACGTGTGCGCGGTCTCGGAAGTCCCGAACCTGTTGAAAAAAATCCAAGATCCTTAAAACTTAGAATTTCATACGAAATTCTAAAGAAGAAAGGTGGTTCTTTGAAAGGTGGAAAGGTGATTCGAACTCGAATAGAGGGAACACGGTATCGTAGAAAATTCAAAGACTGTCACGAAAATTCCAAGGAACAAAGCCGATTCGAACAGGTTTCTCGAAGCAAAATGCTCGAACAACAGGTTGGAGAATCAATGACCCTTACTTCTCTCGGATCAGCGACGTTCCTTTGATCTCGGAAATCTCTTCCAACCGTTGGGTTTTCGTACAAGCTTCTTGGCCGAGGCCTCGAGACCTCTTGTTCTGGTGGGCGTTCCATCGCATAATGATGGGTTCGGGGCCGTGGTCGAGCTCTGTAAGAAATATCGTTCTCCCGTTCCGATACTTCCGAATGATTTCGTCTGATCAGGTGTTCATGGGCAGTCGTTGAACTGATGCTCGCTGGATGCTGACGAGCCGGTTGATCCTCGTGAATGTGCCTGGACGACTCGATCCTGTCGTATCGAGAAACGATATCGATTAAAATCAGATCATTTGTATTATCGAATGATTTCGTAACAACAAATATCTCTATAACTCGATTTCATTTAGAAAAAGAAAGAGTTAATTTTGAAATTTAATTGCAGAGTATCACTGTCACGATATAACACTCTAATTGTTTTAATATCTGAAACGTGTTAAACTTGAGAACGTGTCAGTCTCGCTTTCTGAATGAGAAATTTACAAGGTTCTCTCTGACATCGGTGCACAACAGCGGACCCTTCAGAATGCTCGAGTTACTTCGTAGGTGGTTAGACAGCTTTTACCTGAGATTGACACCGGTGATTGCTGGCCCAAAACGAACGTCAAACGGAGAAAAACACGCGGATAATTCTCGGCATTTTAAAACTAGTCTTTCTGGTCGAGAGAAATTGAATCGACGAATCGATTATAAATTCCTCGGGATTAGAAAACAGCTACGAGGAACTAGTTAAGGTCGACACTTAACTTATGGCATTGAAAGTTGATTCGAAACGAATCGAGGAAAAGTGTCTAGCGACCATTCGATTCGGAAATTATTTCCCCGCTCAGAGCGGAAAAGATGAAAGAAAAATGTTTGCATTGTACCTGTGCGCAGGATGACTTTCAACATCTCTCTGCCTGGAAAGGACAGGCCTCGCGATTGCCTCTCGCTCCATTGCTCTGAACATCTCCTTGGCATCCTGGAATCTTTCCCTGGGGCTGGTCACCTCCCCAGGACTCATTCTGGGCTGGTATTGAGGGCTCGGTGATCTTTGTCTAAATTCTGCCGCTCTGCGACTTCTGTTGCAACTCGGAGATATACCTCTGTTCACCTGAACAGGTAATCTCTCAGGACTTCTCGGTAATCTCGGTAGCGTTAAACTTGTTCCTGTTGTCTCTGATTCAGGGAGATAATCGTTCTCCTCTGCCGGTGCTCCCCAGTCGTCATCTGAAAAATAAATTTCAGTCATCGCTGAGTACGAATCAATGAAAAAATAATTGATTAGTTTGTAACATTTAAAAGAAAGTCTCGACAGTTTCTCCATGCACTTTCGATGTCTCTATTATTTCTCATGTTACTAGTAGTTTGTCTGAATAGAACGAAACAGCATGGATCAAACCAGTCCACAGGATTCAGCTCAAAGTCATCGAGTCGGTCGAGAAGAAAGAATCAAGAAAGTCCAAGGTAAAAGGCATGGTTTCTCTTTTATCAGGCAACCTGTCACGAGAGATACCAGCCGCCAGAATACTCTGGTATCCCCTTGAAGAGGTCACAGAAGTTTAAAAAGAAGCTGGAAAAGACGAAGCTGCCAGGAGAGAGAGAGGAGGTTGAAAGAGGCGCGAGGAGGCACCGGCTGCCTCGGGCTGTGGGCCGAGAATGCGGAACTTAATTCAACGTGACCTCCCACGAGGTCGATTTGTACGCGAATTCATCAACACCTTCGCATAATTCCCTTCAACGTATCAACGTGTATCGTCGTCTTTGGTCATCGTCGAGATCGTGATTATTATACTGGACGAACGGAGAGCACTCCCCTATGGAAATACACCTTTCCAACGGGTTTGCGCAACGCTCGAGCATTGCTGGAGCGACGAAATGCCGGTCTCGGTAAAAGTTAAAAGGCAAAGAGCCTGGGATCTTCTTAATATCATCGTAATGTTACGGTCTAGATACCTTTGAGAATGAATTAATATATGTTGCAAGTCTCAACTTGGGTGAAACAGAAATTGGGAGAATTAAGTTCAGAAGTTGAGGCCTTAAGTACCTTTAGGGATCATAATGCGAGAAGCATGTTGACAAAAGGCAAAAATTTCGAAGTTCCTAATAAAATATTTCTCATCACGTACATGTACACGTGCGTGATCTCCAAGTAAAGGGTTAGTCGTATAAACATAACAACTTTCAAACGCACAAGTCGGTTCAGCATAGATGGTGGCAGAAGCCAACGAGAACGTGGTATCACGTCCGTGTAAAAGCGGCTATTCAACGTGGCGATAAATTAATCGTCATGGAGCTAATCGCCTTTCGGAATCTGGGAAGCTCGTGGGTTAGTTTGTACGCGGTATGTATCGATACACAGGCAAATCGTGAACGGAGCAAAGTGTGCCAGAGATCGCGACTCGCGCGACGATCAACCGAGCCGAGAGAAGCGGCGCTTATATGGAGACACGAACGTGGAAATCGTGATCGTGCCGTGTCCCCGAGACACCTGTTGCAAAACGGGTTCTTCCTGGCCCGTAAAAGACGAATGATATAACGTCCAGAGCCCGCGATTTTACAGGAGAAGACGACGACCCCGTCAGCGAACGCTTCCAACGTTTTCTCCTCGTTGTTACGGGGGGTCGTGATCGGCATACGAGATATCGACTCGCTTTACGTCCTTTTTATGCAACATTATTCCTTCGCTATTTTTCTAGACTTTGGTTCTATCGTTTCAACAACTATCGTATATTAATATCATCCTAATAATATATTTTTAGGATAACGTGAACTTGAAATTCTTGAAAATTGAGGATGTAGCATTTACCTACTCCAAGTGTATTCATTCATGATAATCGAGAATGATGTTTGTAGGTCACCTAAACTATTCGCATCATTATAGATTATTTCCGCTCTTTGAAATTCTTATTCGTGTCTGTGACTATCCTTATCTGGTTTTACTTGTGCCAATTTGAAGATTCTTATCTTATTGATAATCTGAAGTACCTACGTACTTTTCCCCAAAATGTTCTAAATAATTCGTACTCTGAAATATCTCGTTGTCGCAAAGGAGTTGAAAAAAAAAAACGGACAAAGACCGACAGGATCAATGGAAACTTCAAAGTCAGCCCGCGTTTTCCCTCTACGTGCTTTCTTCTCGAGAAACACGTTTTTAACGGACGACTGACCCATATACCGTATAAACGAATAAATTTCGAGAAGAGGTAAAAAAAAAAAGAGTCAAATGGTATTCACTCGTATCTCGCATCGGCCAGAGACCCTGGCTTCTCCGTGTTAACTACGTGCACGAGAGATTGTATTGGACACCTGTTACAGTGGAAAGAATACCGTTAGGACGTCGTGTCAGCAACAGGTACCAGCCTACAGGTACATACATACATACAGATTGACCATCACCAGTTTGGTATCGTTTACCCGTGTGCACTGACTGGCAACCTTCGGATCATTTTTCTATCGCTAATACATAGAGCAAGTGATACGACCAAATAATATAGCGTACTATGGGCATCAGTGCTAATGAGTTGGAAAATACTTGGAGATATCTGAGATATTTGGAAACAGTAAAAACATCTCAGCTATGTATGTCAAAGAATTTTAAACTAAGCGTTAAAACACGATTAGCCAGATGGATGTCATTAGCCTCAAAGATGCATTTGCTTTCCTATGCACATCCACGGATACGGGGATCGAACGACTGTTTCTTTGTCCAAGGCAATTAAATCGCAAATAAACCGAGAATCGTTCAGCAGATTTACGACTCAAACGCGAACATACAAATGATTTTTCATCTGACGAAGACGTTTTCTAGACGTACGTGCTACTGACCGACTAAAGCTACTTTTCACCGGGGAGCATTTTTTTAGACAGGATCCGTTATTAATCTTCCGCAGATTTTCGACTCGACATAACGGTTACGTTAGCGATAGAGTTTCAGTTTGGAATTTGTTGTTCGATAATGAAATGGAATTGCTGGAATTTTGTATGGCCCGAGGGCAGAAGAGAACGAAGGAACGTGAAATCGAAAATAACTCGCTGGAAACTTCGAAACAGCGGGCGCAGGACAAAAATTTGGACGCTTTCTACCGGGCGAACAGGTGGCCGCGTGTGTTCCGCCTCGAATCTTATCTGAGCTCGTAGAAAACCGGGCGGATGGCGACCCCGTAACACAGTTTCTCAGACGAGCTACGAAAAATCTTCGTTTCTTCGTCGCCGTCCTCCTCGTTCCGAAGCTCTTCGATTTTTCTTTCTCCGGGTGGCTGGCTCGCGTTCAATGCAAACGCGTGGTCGTCGGTCTAATAACGAATTCGCTCGCGTCTGCTTTCACTTCGATCATTGCTCGACGAATTTTGTATCACCGACGAATTCTGACGATCGAATCGTTCGTCATGGTTCCACTTGGAGAAAGTTACCATTTTGGAAATTAAACACGTATGTGTGCGACGAAATGAGAGTCTCTTCTTTCTCTTTTACTCAATTCTTGATATTGCAAACATTACGGTGTTGGTGTATAAACTACGACCCGTTGAAATCGATCCTAAAAAATTGAAGATAGTAATTTCTATCCGTCGGCTAATTACCGTTCGTCTTTGTCACAAAATAGACGTTACGTCAGCAATTGCAACCCGTAATTTATTCGGCTGAGAAATTATAAGCGACGCCGAAGGCAACGCGATAAATTTCTTTCGCGGAAACGCAACGTTCCACGCTTCATCTGCTATGTCAGGGAGAATCATTACGGGATGCAGGATCGTTTCCTGAGTGGGACCAGGAAAAGAAGCAGCCTGGGACTTTCACTTTCGTGCAGCATCAGCCGGTGCAATCGCCTCCTCGACCGACGTAATGATCCGTTCCAACGGATCGCCTAATTTCCTTGGAAAACGACGCTTTCCACTTGGCAATTAGCCGACAATCACCCGCGACAATCCTCCCTTGCAACATCCCATCGTAACAGAATCGAGAAATCCTTAGAACGCAAGAGGATGACATTATTTTAAACGAGCATGTGTCAAAATGTAAATTAAGAATTTTAAAGATTTGAAGCAGAAATAAGATGAAAATAATAATATCGATTGGAAGTGTTAAACAACGGTGTGTCGTTTGCACCGCAGTCACGGTGAACACCGTACTCACTGGCGCTTTTCATTCACAACAAATTTCACACTTGCTCAGCATGACTATCAAATCGCTGCAATGTTACACGCACAACACCGAGGTGTCGTAATTCATCGACAGTTGGTGGTATTTAACGCGGTACGGTGTTTCGTTACGGAATTCACAGTCGGCGACGCGTGTGACATCATTCTCGACGGGGTTTTGTCGGAACATGCAATTCAAATATATTTCCAAATCATCATTATGTATAACTCCTTCGAACATTATCCCGAAGTTGAAAGTTGAAATTTATGTGATTTCATATATCAAAGGCATTTTAAGATCAGTTCTTAAGAATATTTTAGTCTCAGCTGAAAGAGCATCAGCTTATCTTCTTCTTTTATCAATAATCTCTGAAAAATTCTTTTATTTTCAAAAAACGCCATCTAACATTTATAAAATATGTTGAAACTTGCAATTGCACCATGCACCTCATCAAACATCTTCAAATTTCTAATTTCCACCCCATCCCTATCTCCAACAAAGTCAATCCCAAGACCACCCCACATTTATCCTTTTCTAACAAAAATCATAACATCTCCAACACTATCAAACATCCTCCAACCTCAAACTTCCAGTTCCTTTCAGGCAAATAAAAAAACAAGATCATACAACATGCAAAACCAAAGTGAAGTATAATCCACTCACCGGAGGAGGAATCTCTAGAAGGTCTCGATGGTCTTGGGCCCAAAGGATGATGACTCTGATAAGGCGGGGGCGTAGCAGCACTGTCCGAGCCTATTCCACTGCTGGCAGCACTCCTCGTGCCGCCTCTGTCAATCGTCGTACTACCACCTACGATCGTTTGATTCAGGCAACGTCTGAATTCGATGCCAGCCAGATTACCACGATGTCTGTGCACGGTATCATAATCCCGCGGAGGCAGTAGTATAGGACCCACGTCATTGTCCCCTGAATTTCCTCTGCCTGTATAAAAAGCAAGTATATCTTGCATCTGTCCTACTTCTTTTTAAATTATACTTTTCCTTACTCTCGTAATACTCCATACTGAAATTTGTAACATTTTATTTTTTAGGAAAATATTTACCCAACTTAGCCCGCAACTCTGCAGCCAAGGACTCGTATATCGTGGTAGTTTGAACCGGATCGTGTCTGAGCTCACCACTGCCTTCAGACGACTCCGATTCCCTGGTACTTCGGCCATCGCTGCCCAAATTACTGCGCACTCTACCTTCCAACGAGGTGACCCTGGCCAAATTATCGGTGTGCGAGGCGAGTGCCTTCAACTGACCGCCCAACAATTCGGCTGTTTCGACGGAATCACATCTGAAAGACAGAAGAAGCAGAGAAACTTGAAATATCAAGATTCAAACACTCCGATGGTGGAACATAAAAGCTTTACAGGATCTCACGAATCCACCATAATTTATCATTTATTATTTCCCGTGAACCGAATGAGGAAAGAAATACGGTCACGGTGAACCATTTACCTGGTTCTGATCGAAACCGCCGATTCATGAATTGAATGGCCACGTTGTATAATCCCGTGTGCCTGATTGCGCGATGGAAAATCGCGGATCGATTGAAAAAAATAACACAAACGAGCTTCTCACGCGCGTTCAAACGAATGAAAATACTAGGAACGATTTTGTTTTCAATGGCAAGGCTGTTCTCGCGGCACCGATGCGTTGCAACGAACATCACACGCCAATGGGATTAGCATGCGTGAACGTTGACTTATGAACGTTATTAGCGACCCGTTAGAATCCAGGGAAGCAGTTCATTAACGACTCGAGTGCGTGCCTTCTTCTCTTCGTGCTTCGTTTATATCGCAAATTTATATTACGCTTAGCGTATGTTTCGAAGACATCGGAAAGGTTTCGTGCGGCTAACGAACCAATCAACGAGTCAATTTGATAATGAGGCTTCAAGAAATGAATGAGTTTACTTGCACAGTTAAGTATTTCAGATTTCACTGTGTAATTTTGCTCGGGTCTAAAGTATAGTAATAATGTTGTAACACGGATTTCTAGTAACCTGTACACGTGCACGTGGACGGGATTGTTGGTGGCCGGATTTGGAAGCAGAAGAGTGGCCGCAACGACATCCTCTCGTTGCACCGCTGCAAGCACAGCGTGTCCTGGTACCAAATGCTTCACAGCTGACCTCGTCGAGCCGCCTGGATGAACCGTTTGTATAATCTTCAGTCCCTTACTGCTCACCTAACACAATCGTAAGGTAACCATGATCAGCTGCCTGTTCTCTAATTAACTCGGGTTAATTATAACGTATACACACGGTTACGAAAACGCGACAGTGTTGCGTGCTAAAATGCAAATCGACCGTTCGTGCCACTTCGCTCGCCTCGTTGCTTCATTGAAATGTGATTCAATAATCGTTAATGTCGCTTGAAATTTACTAAACCTGAACGGGAAAATAATTAATCGAAACGAACGAACGTCGATTGACAACCTTCAATAAAACGAACCACCTTATCATTGAAAAGAAAAGGCTTTCCCCGAAGACAATGCTCCGTGAAAAGTATAATTTTCTTTTGGAAAGCAAATAATGAGAAGGGAACGATGAAAGTGAAGAAGATACTACAAAAATGGTACTTTCTCTATTTTTACGATCGCAAATTTAGAAATGACGTGCGTGTAGAAACGTCGATAATTGTTACATACTTGCCTTCGGCAATGTAATTATCCTCGTATCGTTTCATTAATGGCCATGAGAATTCATTACGAATTCGATGAGTAATCCAGCGATTTTTGGCGTGGGTCGATTCTCAATACTCTAAGATAATGTGAAGGAGTAATACTTTGATGAACCAAAGAAGAAAAGCATGAACTAAATTGATTAAAATTACAATGTATCCCGGCGTCGAAGGAAATTTCAATCAGACAACGATCCTTGGATTTGCAAGAAAATTGCAAAATCCTTGTGCATTCTACCAAGATGGGCGAACAATATTATAAGATCTGCGGTTGAAAACGAAATCGACCGCAGAAAATGAGCAGTAATTTTCGTCCCGACGAGACTGTTCATTAAGGCTGTCGCGAAAATTCGGCTCGCTGAAATATTCTCAAGGCGAGCGATCTCTCGCAACCGTGCAATTACACTTACACAACAATTAGGCGGACCATGCGGCAGATTTCGTAACAATTTCACGACTTTTTTTTTTTCTGAAAAACGCGTGTACGCGCCCGCGGCGAATTCATTCGTCGACTGAATGTACGTACACCCATACGTGTGTGCAGCTGGAATCAGAGTCCATTAAGATTCGACGCCACGATAACGGCACCTTTGTTTTCCATACGATAAAGCTTCGATGCTCGCTCGTCCTTAGGGTACGTTTTCACGCGACAGTGAATCATAAGATTTAATACCATGACACTGAATTTTTTTGTTACCTTAAAAATTAGTCTTCACGTCATGACATTAAATTTCATGTCGCAATTTCAGTGTCATACATAATTAATAATTATTAATTACAATAGAAATTCTTCTTTTTCATTTTAAAGGGATGGAGTTGTAATTTAAAGAACTAACAAAGTAGCTGCTCCAAAACTGTCGATCATCGTGCAGAAATTTCATTTCAGCTGATATAAAATCTAATTATCGAACAGCAGAGTTCGTATCTCGAGCGCAATTACCATACGCAAGATCATCAATCAATGATGACGGTCTCGAACGTACTGGCGATTTGTTCGCCACAAATTGACGTGATAAATCGGCGTTTTACATCGATGTGCAACAACCCTGTTTGCAAATTTCGATTGACATGCAACGGGAATGTCGAGCAACATGCCAGGTTAACGGTCGCGGGACAATTTCGGTGTCATCCGTTTATTTTCTCTTTCCCATATCGAACAACACCGGATGTATTAGCGGCGTACTCGTTTCTTTAAGATTCGGGTCAACGAATCAGTTATTGCACTTATCTAATTAACTAAGCACCATCGTGGAGTTTATTCGTGTATCAAACATAAATTGTACCATGAACATTGAAAGGTTCAAGAATTTCTGGTGGATCTTTAAATGATCAATTATTTTATTCATCGATGCTTTGATGCATTCAGGCAAATTTGTATTCATAATAATTAAATCGAGGAAGTGATCTTCAATGATTAAGTTCTTGAAACGTTATTCGAATTCATCAAAAACTAGAAAGGAATCGGTTTGATATCGTTCCAAGAACGATTTTCTAACTTTCTGATGCAACGATCGCTCGTGGCACGTTTTCGTAACAACAAAATCTAGGTTTCTAGGGGGAAACGAAACTTTCCTAGTACCAACACGAAGCGAATTTTAAACGACCACATCCGACTCTACAGCCTATCATTCGTGTCAAACTTTTCAAACTTTCATTTCGACATTTCAAATATCTAAAAATATCTTTGTTATCATACCGAGTCACTCTCCAAAAAAGTTTTCGATTCCTCGAGTATCTCTATCAAAAAAGTAAAATAAAAATACACACTTTTCCTAAACTAAGGGCAAACCTAAAAATATAAATAACGATCGGTAATAAACTTAGTCCATTTCAAAGTAGTCTTTTTCCACCCCTCTAAAAAAAGAAAGGAATTCCAATTTTTTTTTATTAAAAACAACAGAGATCTAAAAATACAAATAACGACCCAATCCGTTCCAAAGGAATCTTCTTCTACCCTCCTAAAAAAAGGAGAAATTCCAACGTGGTCAAGTTTGGAAAACAAGAATCCCCGTTAAATTTAGCCATCACCTTAACGATCTTCTCATTTGCATATCGCGAATTTTACGCGTTGCTTTACAGCTGCTGGCAATCGCGAAACGATCGTCGAAACGTTAATTCGAGGTCCAACCCCCCAGGTTTCCTCTTTCGGAGAGGATCTCCGGGAAAAATACGAGCGTTCTTAAGGAAGCTGATTATAGTAGCGAGCAGTTCGAGGACTGCGATCTTGGTATGTAGGCTGAGGTCGTAAATTGGTGATTTTTATTTGACCTGCAAACTGCTTTCACTGGCATGTGTAAAAGAAGCGTCTCTCTTTTTCTTTACCGGATAATTAACCCCTTAACGTTCAGATATTTTTTTATCAAACATTCTCGAAATACAAAGTACACGAGAAAATGAAAATTTCAAAAATTGACGCAGGAGTTACAGGGTTGATTTAATATTTCGCGATATTTTCGGCCACACCGCGAAACCGGATCTTTCGAACGGTGGTGGTGCTCACCTGTAGCGTGACCTTGAAAGGTTCTTGAAGCCGTTCTCGTTCGAGCAGGTAAGCTATGGCACCGGGCATCGCGTCCACCCCCTTGGCCTCCCTCGCGCCCAGGTACCAAACGTAGTACGAGCTCTTCTTGACATCCTTGCTGCTCCTCAGACGCAGGGCCATCACTCACTGTATGGTGAAATAAAAGATACACGATGAGTTAGCGTTTTCTTCGAATCGTTCCACCCTTTCAATATGGAACGGCTTCAATCTTTTGCAGCCTCTCGGTCAAAAGTAATTTGTAACGAAGAAAGTAACGCAACATGGTTACTCGATGATTGATAATCATTTTCCACTGTTCGAAATGAACGCTCCGTATAAGTGTTATAAATATTAAACACTGTTAGAACGATTGAAATTCTTCTTACTTTTAATAAGCGTATACGTTAGAGCCAGTTTCGTATCTAGTTTAGATTAGAATCTTTTTATTTCAAACAAGTGGCCATAACATTTGAAGCGAGCAAAAATAAAAAAAAGACGCTAATTTTCCAGGAGGCAAGCCTACAACCGTTTCTGCTTCGCGAGGAATACGAACCAGCTTGTCTGTTCATCCGCTTCCTCAATTACTTTCACGCTTAAACCCGTTTCTACGTTAACCGTCTAGCGAGCAATCGGTTCCCACCGATCTGCAATCGCCCCGATACCGTATCTAAAGCGAAAATATCCCAGGAACCGGAACGAAACGGGTTAAGATCAATGTCGATCCCCCACGAAACGATTATTAATTTGTTTTTTTATTCTTCTTTTTTTTCCAAATCGCAATTTAATGCAATTATCTGAAAGCAATTCGTAGACTAATCAACTATTAATTAATTGGATAATTTATTAAGTCAACCGTAATATAAATCTACGAAACGGTGCAATGAAAAGGATAAAATATTATTTTGTTAATGAAAAAAAAAAATTCATTTATCCTTGAACTCTTCCTGCTGCTGTCTGAGCGTGAACGAACTCCCTTGTGATTCGATTAATTTTCATGAAAAATGTATTTTATTCGTGAATTTTTACGGTTCTTGAACACGCGTCTCTAACGTGTACAAAGCATGAACTCTCGTTTCTTTTTTTTCCTTCGTGATCGTTCGAATTCAAGTCAGTCAATAGGTATTACTCGGTTCGTGCTGAAAGCATGCGAAATAGTATACGATACGTCTGCCTGTTACGATATAAGTTTGTTCCCTTTATTTATGCATTACACGCGTTTCGAAATCTTATACGTTCGCGTGTAGCCGTAAATATGCAATAGGTTCGCTTTACCCCGCGGACACGGTACCGTTTACGACAAGACTTATGTTCCTTTTAATAATAAATCGTATTCACTTGTCTTAAATAGCATAGCATAGCATCGCGTACGCGATCTCTAATCGATCGATCTCTTCATTTCTGTGCTCAATTAATTACCTTCGTTGTTTTTTAATGCAACAGGATTGAAAATTTAATCGTGACGAGTTTGGATTATTTCAAATAGTACGCGAAAACCTTTTTATTCATTAACCGAGTTGCTAATCAGATTTTGAAAACTGGCTCGATGAATGGGAGTTACGTTACAGAAACGCGATTACTCGAACGCGTTTCGATTAAACGCGCGAATATCAGAATCGTAACTTTCAAATCTGCCGCTTTCATCGGTTCGCCGGAAGCGGTTTAATTTAAATTTCTTCGATTTCGCCTGACTCCTTGTACAATCGATTACTCAATCTACGAATTTAAATAATCGTATCGTTTGCGGTTAATCTATATTTTTTATTCTGTTTAAAACACGTGTTACAATTAGTGATGTGCTTAAGTAGTTCACAAACAAGTTTGAACATTGATTAGAATTCAATTTCTAGGGTTGATCATTATCAAAGATCATCATTTCCTTAAAGTATAATACTCATAAACATTCAAAATTGCTCCAAATTGCATTCTTTGGATATTGGTACCTTCGTGTTACATTCATTTCAAGCAAATGACCCAGAGTACCCCAAGTACACTTGAATTATCATTACTGGGGTTGATGCGAGGTAAGAGAAAAAGATACGAAATGAACTAACCGGCAGCGGATGGATCCGTGGATGCTGAGAGCTCGCGGCGCTTTTCCCCAAGAATTAAGCAACCGGTGGTGTTAAGTGAACGGATTCTCTTCGGTAGTCGGACAGTCGAGTTTCGGTGAAGAGCAGAGGAACAAGTTGTAACGATAGGTACGACCCACGTACCGTGGTTGTTGCAGCATGCGCGACTATATTACGTGTGTGTATACACGAGAATGTTGCACACCATCGACGAAACGAGCGAGCTAGCTCGATCTGACAGCTGCTCGCAGTCCGATGCACTTTTCCACGATCGCTGCTCGATTGAAACGAACCCGACGAAAAAGGGTTCCTTTGGAATTCGAAACCACGGGGAAAATACGAGTAGAGAAAAAAAAAAAAGAACCAACATGCAGTAGCGTCACTTGAAGGAGGATTCACTCGTCAACGACGCGACGCGAGTGGTTTCGCGCGTACCTAACCATCACGGGATACTGACTCCACGGTGGAGATCCTCTACGAAGAGTTCGAGTGAAACGCGGACGAGAGAGAGAGTGAGCGAAAGAGAAAGAGAAAGACAGGCAAGACGGTCGACTCGAGTCGAGGTTATGTCTGTCCTTTGCCCCTCTCGAATGCCCGTTTCGACGGGCCCCGATCTTCTTTCTCCTCTCTCTTTCGGACGAACCGCCACACCTTCCGCAGATCGACTCCCGATCACTGGCAACGCGTTCTCCGCCACCAGCCTCCACGACTAACCAGACAAGACGGTTTTCTGTCCTGAATTTTAGTCCCCGTGGCACTTTACCAGACAAAGACTAACCAGACCCAAAGAGAAAGAGAAGCACTGAACGGGAGGTGGTTATGGTGGTGGAGGAACAGACCCCTTCTCCTTTCTGTCTTTCTCTCTCTTCTCTCCCTACCCTTTTTCACTCCCTCGACTCCCCTACTCTGGGACGTTTTAGTCTCTTCGCTGCGCATTGCCCCTGCAAGACACGGCAGGTTAAGACCAAGCAGGTAGAAAGAGGCCCCATTGATTAGCGATGGAAACAACGTGAGGCCCAGTGTTGATTACTTGTCAGCTTTTTTACCTTTTATCCTTTGAATGTTTGCGTGCCAGTTTTGACACTTTGATGATTTCTATGTTCAGATGAAATCAAGTAGTATGGTTTATACTTGGGTGTACATTTGATAAATCAGGCCCATTTTTGTAGAATCAGATTCTAATCATTTTCTAAGAATTGTTGAGTACTTCTTTTTATATTCGAATTATTTTGTAGGATTTTGAAATTAATAGATAAGTATCGAGTCGGTCCCATCACTACCGTTGATACCAGTAACAGACCCATGGCGAACGATTCCTCCTTTGTATACGACTAGCGCCATCTCCGGCCCATTATAGTCGTCTCTCTCTCTCTTATATTCCACTGGTTGCTTCTTCTTTGTCCAGTTTCAAACGGGCCCCCAATACACGGGGCCTCCAACAGGGATCGTGCCCCTTCCACCTACGCTCTTATATAGATACTCTTCGACTCGTTTAACCCGATACCAGCTGCCTCTACAGGGTGTACCGATTAACGAACGATCCTCGAGATCAAAGGGTTTGTCCGAGGATGCTATTCCTGGTAATTTTATTTGCTTTCGGCCCATTGTGGAGCCACAACCAAAAGAACTTAGGATGATGGCATCGAGGTGGTATGCAAGTTTAACCTTCGAATGGTGGAGCTAGGCGAATCGTGGAAGCGGACCTACGAAAATAATCATTCGAATTTTTTAATGAATTATTCTCGTATATCGAAGAAAATGATACCTAAGGTCTCTAAAAATGTCTCAAGTTGATTATCTCTCCACCACTCGAGATCCCAGGGGGAAATTCCTCGACGAGCAAGGAAGAAAATTAAATTACAAGCTCGCGGTTATACGCGATTATCCTTGCTGTTTTGAACCCCCGAAGGGGTTTGCGTGCACACGATAACGTGCAAATCAAGACGAGTTCGTGCGTTAATGGCGCAATCAAGCATCGCGAAGAAAGGCCCCACCTGTGTGGTCTTATTAATTGAGAAGCGAGGTAGGCGATTCTGCAAAGATGGATGCACTCGTGATTGCGAATGCACGGAGCCTTCGAATAATGATATCATCATTATCAGTCTCGTAATCCGATTATTTAATCGACGAAGAGTCCACGCCTCGACTTGTATTATTATAGTAACAGATGATATTTTTCAAGCATCGAATAATACGATAAGAATGACTGATGTAGAAATATAGTATGTGAATTTCTAACGGGTACTTGTTTTGTGGAAACAAGGAAAGCACGAGGAACTGGAAAAGAAGCTATGAATCAGTGGGCTGTCGTACGGATCTGTCTAACGCAAAACAATTTAATCGGCCGATCGCGCAACATAACGTCATACATAATTCATAAAATGCCATAAACGTTATGTGGTTGTGGCACAAAAATGATGTAGTCGTAGAAAGCTCAATCGACACTTTTACAATTTCTTACCGCACGAAGGACGAATTCATATTCATCAGCGTCACACGATAATTTCGTTCATGGTCGTTCGAGATTGGCAGATAATAATGACTCGTGTTTCTTCTTTGAAAATAATGTACTTTTTTTATTTCATTTTTTTTTTTCATATTTGAAATTGATAATATTGAGAATTTGATATGGATATCTAGTTCCATAATTGAATAAAAGCTGGATATTATAGGATATAAAAGTGATGGTATTTGAGAAATAAAGAAACATAAATGGACTTCTTGGCATCCATCATAATTTTACGTTGCATTAATCCGTTACGCGTGGATTAGAATCAATCAGTGAATATAAATGAAAGGCGACGCTAAAACCGAGCCCCGCTATTTATCTTTATTATATATTCAGGCCAGCTAATATGCGAGACGATTCGCAAGGACGGATTACACACTTAGGTCTAGGTGAGGTAACTTATTTATCAAATTCGACCTATTACACAATTGATCAATTATTTTTCTAATAATGTTCGAGGCCAGTGACTCAACTGGTGCGTCTTATCCTATCCCATCCAAAAATAGAAATTTTTTATTTTCATAATGAACAAAATGCAACGTTGATCGACATGAAACGTTGTAATTTTAAATGTGCAACGAAATCGCAGACTCGCCCACACTTGCAAAATCTCAAGTCAATTAGAGCCGCGGCCTTTAGCCAGCCGGGTTGCTCAATCGGTGAGTATCGGTTTGCACGCGCGATCGACCGTATCCAATCGCGAGTATGAAAACGGGTGAAAAGAAATTGGAGCTAAAACGCCGCTCGTATTATTTATTCGGGTCACCCGATATAAGAGACCATCCGCGGAGGCGAGTCCCCTCCGCGAATGCTAACCAGGTGCATTAAATATCATTGACAAGATTCGTGTTTCAATTCGGTTATGACATACCAATTTTTCCTTGAAGAAAAAATTCTTGAGAAAATCTTTTTTTTTTCGCGACGCGTCGAGCCACGTTTCTTGGATAAAATCCAACGGGATCGATGTGCAACGAAGAAAAGGAAAACGAATGGCGGAAGAAGGGAGGATCCTTCCAGCGAACATCTGAAAAACAATTTCCGAGTGTTGCTCGTCCGCGCGGAAACGACGAGACAATTCACTTAAGTCGCGCAAAATTGAAGCCTGTTGTTTGTACTGTTATCCTCGTTACATCGGAAATTGTCCTAACCCATCGTTTCCGGTAATCTGTGACGCGAGCGTCCAACTATAGAAATCATCAGAGGTTTACAGGGAAAAATTGAAAATTCATTTTGTATGTACTTTTAGAATTATTTTTAATCGTTTGATTAAATTAAGCTCATAGTGGGAATTACGAGTAAGGGAATCACTAGTAGGGAAGTGAATGTCTTAATACCTAAACTCCTTAAAAACCAAGTTACTGGTTGCAAGATACTAAAGTATTGTTCAGTTTCTATCACCGTAAGGAGTTTGCAGTTCTCATGGTGTCTCATCACTTTTACGACCATCTTTCTCATACAAAATGGAAAGGGTTAACAAGGTTCCCTCGTCGAAGGAAGTTCAATCCCATCAAAGTAACGGCTTCCAGGGAATACCCACTCTGAAACTGATGAAACTAAGCTTGCATAATTCTTTTTAACGTATCCTTCCCCTTAGTCGCGTGTTCTTTACGTGTTCCTGGAAAAAAGGCGGGAAAACAGAGGAAGGGACATACGCTGTCACTTCAGTCACGGTAGATCAATAACGAGAAAGTAAAATGGTCTGAAATGCAATTTGATAAGATGGCACGTGCTGTTTTGCGATAATAGATTGTTTATTTTCCTGTTCGAGGAGGGATCGAAAGAGTATGGAAAGAGTATCGGCTCGGTCGCGGCTAGACTCGTGGCATTCCTTTCACGTGATTAAATGTCGAGAGAGGAGATTTTTTATAACAGTACTCGCGAAGAGGATGTAGAAAGTCTCGCGAAGTGACGTAATGTTCAAACGTAGCATTAATGCCCCCGCGAGAATCTTGCATGGTTCGAGGAAGAAGGCAGCGAACACGCTGACATTGCGTTAATGCTCCTCTCGAGTCAGTAGAAATAACGAAGAAACTATCAATTACAACGTGATATTAAATCAAAAGACGGTAGTACATGAAATATTCAAATTAAATTGAAAACAGTAGTTAGAAGTTGTGCTACTATTTGATTTTAATTTTCAGCACATAAAATATCATAATTAGGTATCCTTTTTAATGTGATTTGCAAAATAGTATTAGTTCCAATAATATTAAAGGCATTGTGCAATCTTTATTTTTGAACCTCCTCTAAATTTTATATTAACGCGCGTCTTAGAAATGGTAACACTACTGTCATCTAGTGGTTGGCGGGAAAATCAATGAAACATCTTGCTCTTTTTCTTTCAGTATCTCACTTTTACAATCCTTTAAGGCTTCGTAAAGCATATTATTAATACATTATATAAAACATATTATCAATATAGAACGTCTTTTTAAATATAACAGGTCGTCAAATTCGAAAATCTTAAAATTCAATCAGATTTAGTTCGGGGCTTTGACCAGTAGATGACTATAGCATTTCATAATTTGTTCGAAGCAATTTTATCAATTTTCGAATATAACTCTTGAAATATCAATTAATTTCAATTAAGCTTTGGTCATAGAATTATATAAATGCATCAGTAATGTTCAGAAATTGCTTATGTTGAAAAGAAACGTGATTTTCGATTTGACTAATTTTTTCGCGCACCTCCAGATGGTGCTGCTAATATTATTTAAAAAATACGCGCGGATATTGAATCGAAAAACAAGATTTAAACAATATTTTCAGCCTGTTGCATTAAATAATTTAGAGTAGTATGGTGTTTTCTAATATTATTATTGATATAAGCTCTTTTGCTTTATACAAGATTAAAAGCTATTCGAGATAAATATATTTATTAAAAATTGTGCAAAATTAATAGTTGTTTCTCCAATATTGAGTATCACCATAAACTTTACGTTTAATAATATAAATACAATCTGTAAAATCCTACATTAGATTCAAATATACATTTAATACAAGCGATATTATTTCATGCAAACATTAAAAATATAGAACGCTATAATATTATACTTAGTGATAAGAAATTAATTAGATTCGTATACATAGAAATATACATTCCTTTCACACTTTTCTATACAGCCCAATCTTGAAAATCTGATTTATTATCTAACTCTAGACACCAGTTCCAAACCCACAGAACTCACTAATAGAATAAATAATATATTATTTAAACCCTATTTCTCTACATGTAATAATACTTTATGGGACTAAAGGAAAGAGTATTGTGCCATTTAAATAATGGATCCTACTATTAGAACAACTTTACCTTACAACTATAACTTTTCCTAGAACTAAAGTCATGTTTTTCTAATTTATTCAAATTTTCAAGATTATACCGTATCATTAATTATAATAGATCGAAGGTCTTCAGGAAATAAAATCCTACTGAGGTATTGCTGATATCGTTGTGCGATAAAATTTAATCAATTGCACTCTTTCCCGGCTGACCTTCTCGAGGCGTCTAAAATTCCGGATAATTCAAGAACGTCCTCGACTTCCGGTTCTTTTCTGGCCACATCAATCGTTTCGATTCGTGGACCAGAAATAACGGACGGGTCATTTGTACATGTCTCTTATTATTACCATAAAATTGCATCAAGCTTATATCTGAATAATATCAATCACGGTAAACATTGTGCAAGGTCGTTGTAATTTTTTCTCACAATTTTTCTTCTTCAACACTGCTCAAAATAATCGATCAACCATAAAAGATGGTCGTTAATTGAATATTGAAAAAATTGTTTTTTCATTAATGAGAGATTCGAAGGTGTTAAACGTATTTCATGGTCAACATCATCTTAAGTTCAGCAACCTGTTATGGTGAAACGATTTCAAAATACCTGTATATAAATTGGAAAGTTGAATTAATTCATCTTAGAATTGATTAGATCTGCGTTAGATGTTGCATCATCGCGTGTTACGTTTACCTACGATGATCTTGAATAATTTTGCATAATAGGTCTTTGAACTCGTTTCAGAAGCAGACGTTGCATTATTAGGTACATGTAAGTTGAACTTGAAATTTCTTGATACATTATACACCTTATCCTGTGTTATAATACTTTGAGCAATGTTTTTCCAATAAAATTACAACGTCTGTGAGTTAATCTAATTTGCATTGAAATCTACGAACGACATTAGAATGCAAATATTTAAATATCTGAGCTATCGAGGAAAATAGAAAGTCGTAAACCTTTGTAATTCGTTGGTACTTTGTAAAGCTATTAAACCATTGCAAAAGTGGCATTAATTTCAGTTTAAATACGAGATTGGTGGAATTTTCAAACGAAAACTAGAGATGTTTTATAATTAGGAAATTCATTGTTCCATTAGTGCTACTTTTGCAATAATTGAATAGGAAGAATGTCATTATCAATGATATGCAAGAAACGCGAACCTCCTTTTAGTAATATCAGTAAAACCTTCTTTCGTCGCAGTTTGTATAATTGCAATCTTTAAGCATCGTTCTCTTTTCCTTCCTAATCTTTGGTTCATCTTTGCTCACAGGAAGAGAAAAAGATTGCCTTATTTTAAAATCTATAATCAATGCGAACGATATAATATCATTAGAAGATTAAATACCTACACCACTATTATTTAAAGTCGCCTATATGTTAAAGAGTAATATTGAGCAGCAATGGTAACTTTATTTAATTGCACGCATTTTTTTGGAGATTTCCAACAAATCAGCGGTCCAGATAAGATTGTCTTAAGAATGATATAAAGATATAATTCAATTTTTATAAAAGCTCAAAAGAGTACTTTCATAGAGTACTTGAACCATCGTTATTTTTTCTACTATGATTAAAGAATATTAAAATGAGCAATTATAGATGGTTCCATTGCGTTCATTAAGCTTTGTAAATAACCTGCTGACGCTGTAAGTAACGTTTAAAAAACTCTTTGTGTTTCGAACGAACCATAATCTTAAACGAAGACAGTCCACGAAGAACATGGCCTTCGCGTGCAATTATCTCGCTCATTGGAACTCTGTTAACTGGCAACTTTTTCAAAGACTGTCTGGTCCGCTCTTCTTGCGTTTTCGCAATAGCTAGTTGATGTTCAACGGCATCAACGGGACGTACTTGTCACTGGGCCGGAATTTGTACTGGGAGCAGAGTCGATTCGACTCAGATTCCGCATAGCCATTTCTGAAATCAAATGAGAAGACCACCATAGAGATATCATGGTTAGATTTTGCAACCCTAATCATCCGATTATGGAGTAAAAATGTTAGTACATGTTATTTGAAAATATTAGTAAACATTAGTTTCAAGCCAATCTAATTAATTTTTCATTTGCACGAATTGAGGATGAGTTGGATCCCATAAGCACCATCACCACCATCGTCACCAATACCCTATGGACCCTAGTTTCAAACAAAATTACATTGGAAAAGTGTTTCTTCTCACGCGTAGCCACGAAGAAATTGTTCTTTCTTCCTGAGAATCTCACGCATCGCCTGCAGGAACATCTTGAAGAAGAGAATCTTGTGGGCATAATAGTCCCGAGGCGATTTGTTGATCTCATACCGCGAAGAATGTTCCCAGTACATGGGACAGCTATGGAGATTCGATAACGCAATCGTTAAAAGCGTCTTTAAGTATTATCATCATTAGTGTAATTGATCATTCCTCTATAACGTTAATCACCCTTTTAAGACTTGTTCGTTTTCCGAAGGTTGAACGAACCCTATATCCAAACTAACGTAGAATCTTTTTCAGGTAAAATCCTACCTTTGCCATTGGGAGCAAGGACGTCGTTCTTTGAAGCAAGTCACTTGTATGACGTTGAAGAAGAGGGCACCCAGGGTGTTCGCCACTTCCGTATTAAGATTCTGCAGACATCGACGGAACTTCGCGTCGCAGTCGCAATGGGATCGCGTGAACGGTGAGTTGTTGCATATACCATGGATGCATTCTTGCGGTGATATCACATATGGACAATGGTCGTGTTCTCTGCAACAGGCGTCCTCTGCTGCGTGTTGACCCAGCTCGTCGTACGATTTGGCCAAGGTACCTGGTCCACACCATTTGGTTCCTGGATATATCAGACCACCTCCTGGTGGTTGATTCTAACAAGAAAATTTATCTCTTTTTTTTATTTTTAAACTCGGTAGGCAAAATTATTGAAATGAATTCGTACTTTTCCTTTATCGTAAGAGGCCTTGCAGGTCTTCTCGAGGTCAGTGACGAGTTTGCTGGACACTTGCATCACCTTCCTGGGATCAGCACCTAGGACCATCTTCTGTATGACCCCACGATCGGTGTACAAGGCACAGAATGGAGGCACTGCGTTCAGTTCCACCATTCTGGACATGGTGTTGTCCGCCACGAGAACGCTGGCCTCGGTTTCATCCCCCCACAAGATTGGTATTAATAGCAGAACCACGGCGAGCATCTGTAAGGGAAGGTATAAGACAGAATGAAATTTTCTGGAATTTAGAATAAGAATTTTTGGAAATGAAACTTGATGGCATCTTATGGCTATTTAAAATTCCATTATTCTTGATTTTTTTTGAGAACTCGTTCAGTAGATTAGTGCTTATTGAATGCGTTCGTTGCCACGAAGGTCGCAGATGACATCACTCGTTGAAAGTAAAATCTCATTTCTAATTCTTTATTACTTTACGATACAGCACCCCTGTTTGTCCTTCCTTGTCAAGTTATAAGGTTATCGAACAATTTTATCTAACAAACTAACGTTGACTTTGCGTTAGAAACTCGTTAGCCAAAATCTTGAAAGCTTGGCAAACACTTCGGACAAGCCGACCTCGTGTACGAGGGTCATTGTGATCCTCTATTATGACGACACGAATTTAATGAAAAGTGACTGCGTTACATGACATTTTCTTTCTTAATCGAACATTAATCGTTGCTCGTTAAACGGTCAAACAGATTGGAAGCTAACAGGAATTCCGGTCGGTTTAACGAGCAAGTTGGGGAGTTAGATCGATTAAATGTCGGCGGGTTCGTGAACAGATCGAATCACAGTGATCGGGGATTTACCTTGGCTTTTTCTTCGCCAGACGTTCATGATCAACGGTCACTTTTTTTTTTAATATCCTTGACATAATAAACGACTTGTTTCTTTAGGTCCGAATCGTTTTAGTTGATTTTTCAATGGTACTCGATTTCTTAGGCGCATTGGAACTCTATTCAAATTGGATAAATTTTGATCTAGTATTTGAATAATTTGAAATTTTATAAAATACAGATTTGTATTGATATGAATTGACACGATTACAATAATAACGAGGAAGTTGTTTTGCATTCGTTTAATCTACAAGGCTGCATCGCGATTAATTATTAATCAGAAAAGCAACATTGAGGCGTTTTTCTATTTTCTCGAGGCAGAAATCAAGGTTCCTAGGTTTGTGCAATATTTTGCCATTTAAATAGCATTGCCAAGAAGTTGCAATCAGTTTGCTTTGAGTAATATTTATCTTGCAAACAATGAAATTCAATATTGATCGAGCGGGAAATTGCAAAAGCACTTACTGTTAATTTGTAGAAATTAGCACGTTGCAAGGACTATGTTGCGGCACGGATGAAAGAAGATAAATTAACATTTCACCTTTCTGTACATTCTTTTTCACTTCGATGCACGCATTATACTTCGATTTTATTAAAAAATGAATTTCTGAAAATTCTGCAAAAAATATACAAACGTCGTTCAATCCCTGGAACTTCACAGCACTAAAAAGAAAAGAAATGTTATATCAGAAAGCTATCGATATGAACATCGATACTCGATCCAGGAGCAAAGAAATTCGAAGCTGTGACTTCGAGGAACGTTACACGACTGATGGTGCTTCACCTTTCTCAGCCATCGTTACCAAAGATTCCTCCAAGGACGGTATTACGGTAAGGTCGCAAAGAAGATAAGGAACAAAGACCAAAACGTCGAAGGCTCCTTACCGGTTGTCCTTCCCACTGACGCATCGAAATCGCGAAAGAAATCGGACTCAGTTTCATCGGTTTCACCGACTAGGCGCAACGATACGAGAGCGTTGAACGTCCTTGCTAATCCCTGGCTCTCGTTATCCGCTACCAAATGATTTTCAATGAATCGAAAAGTAACCTTCGTGAATTAATGAAGAATTCGATGGAGGATCGTTTTCGACAATTACCTTGTGCGAATCGTGGAATGCAAAAATACAAGAAATAATTTTTGCAGTTTCGAGAAATAATGAATTCATTCGGAAGTCATTGAAATAATTCGAAATTCAACGTCTAAGAGTAATTAATAGCTGCAAGATGATTGATCGGAACGAACAGGGATGAAGAATCGCAGGTAATAACGCTGCTAGATAATCCAATCAATGAGATCGATGATTATTCAACGGGAAAACTCGTCCAATCGATAGAGATTTAATTCGATTAGCCCGATTAGATCGTCCCAGTTTGGGGAGGCGAGTGATCCATCGAACGTCACACGAATCACCCCACGCTCGGTGAAATTGAGCCAGATATCCGTGAATCTGGGTCAGCAGGCCTCGTTGACGAACTTGTCACTTGAACCTGTGTGCTCTCTATAACCGTGGCGGATCAACAACTTTGACCCACCTTCGTGGATCTGTGAGGGTCAATCCATCGCGTTTAATCAACCCCTTCTCGAGGAACTCTACTATCGAAAGTGAGAAATGATTTACACGATGATTCTACAAATTCTGACAGTGTTGAAACGTTGATTAGCAAGTGACTAATTAATACACGAGAGTGCAAGTCATTGTTAAATGAACTTTTAACGATCGATTGTGAAAAGGAAGAAAAGTAATTTGTCTGAAAGGCTAATTAGTTTTATCCTTCCTACAAATAAACGACTTATTTATTAATTATCAATGGTAAAAACAACACTGAATGATAACACCTGTTCAAAAATCTTCATGCACACCCGTAACAACGATCACAGTCCATTCATAACAAGTTATTAGAATAAGAATAAAAACTCAAGTGTTGAAACGACGAGAAAATCGGTGAATTACTTGCACTGACGTCAAAAGGACAATTCCCGAAGAATCGTCGCTCGTTGCGATAGCAAGCGGTTGCACGCGTCGCTAAATCGATCAATTACCCTGTGGAAAGCTCGTACACGTGTGATGGCGAGCATGTGAATCACAACGTATCACCGACGGTGATCGCAGAAGATCGTCGAATAAATCGTGCCGAAGTATACACCGTTTTCGACGAGGACCCGAAGAGCCGAGGGTTGATCTCGAACAAAGGGTTGAAAGCTCGATTGGACGGAGAAGACGTACGAGCCGGTGGAATAACACGGAACTCACTGAAAGAAGAGAAAAGGTGTGCGAGAACGAGGGGTTGCACGACCGACACTCCCACCCCCAGCTGCGCACCCCCGAAACCGCAACGCGACTCGAGCTGCTGCAGTGCGCAACAACCCCTTGATCAGGTGACTACAACCACTCCGATCCTCTGATATTTCCGAAGGAAATTAGCCAGAAAATAGCTCGATTAGAATGATTTGCCAAAGGGGTGGTTTCTGAGCTGCTGCAGTGTGCAATCTTTGCATACAGATATTAGTTTTCTAATCTTGTGAAAGTTTTGAAGAAAACTACCAAGGAAATTTTTTTTTTATCTGAGTTCAAAGGGGGTGGTTTTTGAGTTAGTGCATTGTGCAACCCTTCTTCATGATTCTGTGAAATTTTTGAAGGATTCTTGTAAGCCCAGTGGAATGTTCTATTGAAGTTGAGTACAAAAGTAGGGTGAAAAAGATAGAATAGGATAGCAGAAACACAATTAGTATCGTCGCGTGATTATCTAATTACTTTAAAAGGTACAGACTATCGTAAAAATAAAATGCACTCCGTTGTTGAAATACGAAAAATATTTTGAAAATATCGTCTATCGATTCGTCGCACGTTCACGTTAAAGGAAATATATTTTGAATAATGTATACGTATGAGACTACGTGTCCAGCATGTTGCTCGATCGTTTTAGGATAAAACAATTGAAACGAAAATTGTTGTAACGATAGGTTTATAGCTTTGACTTTCGCGTAAATTAACGATACGTGTTCCGGGGATTCAATCGTTTCCTGGTCACGTTTGTATGCGATACTCTTGGTTTCAGAATCTTCTCACAGGATCGATCGACGTGAACACATTGAAATTTTAATAATATGGAGACAAAAAAGAATTAGAAATAAGTGATTTAGGAAATTCATTTTTTTAAAAGACTTTTTAACGGAGACTGAAAGTGTCAGAAGGGTTGATTGGTACATACGTCTATTCTATATCAAATCAATATACGTACAATGAAAAATTCTGATCTCGTTTAATTTCCAATGAGAGGGATCGATTGAATCCTTATAACTCCGCAGGATCGAGTTCTTCTAACGAAGGCTCCTTATCGGGATTCTATGGAATTCGTAAGATGTCCTCCGGTTGGTACAAAGATTTACTTTACTCCTCAACGGTTGCCATCAGACTGATCGTTGAAATGGTTCGTCAGGATTACTAATATTCCGTGAGGTATATAGATACACGAATCCACTTGGTCCAGATTACACGGGGGAGATTCCGAATCACGTGATACGCCGTATGTTTATAACGTATATAAGTTGACAATTGTAAATAGATCGGATTAATTTGTTGCGACTGGTCGCAGGACACGTGCAGGTGACGTTCTTCCTTCCGCTAGACGGTTATCCTTGGTGCATTCTGATTCAAGGTGAAATGACCATTGTTCTTGAAATATTAATAAAAATCTCGAAACGTATAAATTTTTTAGAAAACAAGGAACTGTTTGTAAATTGACGAAAAGATTAAGTGTAATTAATTAATTAATCGAGAAGGTCAATGCAATCATTTTCATAAAAAATTTTATTACCAAAGCATTTAGCGTTTATTTATTTTAATATGCTGCTGACTGCAGATTACTTATTTACATATTATTAACAGGTATCAAGGAAAAAAAACAAGTCCAATTAGTTTTGAAAATTTTTATTTCATTTGCAATGGCATTTTGCAAAACTTAGTATACAATTTATTCATCGAGTAGTCTTTGGTTTTTCTACTACTGTCTAACCCATTCACCCTTGATTACAAATCTCAACCCTTTCATAAAATTGAAAAAGAAATTCTCGGTACTAAAATATTTTTGGCAGGAGAAAATTCATCGAGATCGAATCATTCTGAATGACTAACTCCTCTAAGGGATCCATCCAACCTCGTTCGTTTCGAAATCCTTATTCATGTTTGCTCTGGTGTTCCCTTCCGGTTTACTTGTACTCTCCTCGCTTCCTGCCAGTTTATGGTACACCTTGCTTCCTGCATTAGCCACCCATTGAACACCATCGCCTAGTTTCTCACCGGCTTTGCGAACCGCATTACCCAAGTTTTCGCTGGTGAATGTATTAGGATCGACGTTGATGTCTAACGTGTTGTTGCCTTTCGGACATCCGGATTGAGGAATGATGCTCAAATCGAAAGCATCCACGCCAAAGGAGTTTAATTGTTTGCGTATCTGGTCCACGTAGATCTTGTCCAGATCTCGATGTCTGGAGAGGATCGTCGCGCTTTGACGATGGGCGAATGCTAATTTTTGGCAGGAGAAAATAGCTGCGAAATTGTCGTAGTCTGTGTTGAACACCACGTGGGACGCACTTCCGGCTATACCTTGGAACAAAATGGCGCGAGTTAACCCCTTTAGAACGTTAGGTGGATATGGTACATTAAATACTACATTTAAATACATCTTATTATTAAAATTAATAAGTTACGTCATTGCGAAGCAAGGGATTAATGATTATCCTCGATCGTAATTGGGCAATTTGTATCATGGATAGGGGCTGTTTAAATGTTTAATAAGGAGGGGAGGGAATTTGAGGAAAGTCTGATGAACTTGATTTTGATTCATTAAGTGGTAATGATAGCTGTTCGGATAAATCGATATAGAACATCGATGTTTCTAATAATTTAAAAATTAGTTGAATCCATTAAGGTCAGATTGCTAAAATATACAACTGACGTGAACCAGATCCAAAGGTTACGAGATTATAAGTTTGTCTTCAGATAAGAATTAGTATCGTGATACTTACTTAGAGGAAAGCGAACTTGCATTCGACCTGGTGTACTCGGTTCCGGAACGCTCAATTCACCGGTGTAATGATACTCGTGCTTCAATGGCGTAAGACCTGCGCATAGAGACGTCTCTTCATTACGGATAATTCATCCCACTTGCCAGACAGTTATCCTATTGACATGCTTTTATGAGTCCCGATGGGATCCAACGTTCTCCTTCTTTATTAATTCAAAAGCTTCCAGCAATGTATATAGCGCCACTAGAAGGTGGATATAAAAGGAAATCTCCCCCCCTTTTCCAGCAACCTGCTTGGCTATTGTTCGAATCTCTTCTAATAATACTCTTTCTATCAACATATTTCTTTGAAAAAAATTTCTTTGCGAAAATTTTACCTAACACTGGATGATCAGAATCCTGGGTTACAACGTATTCTCCTGCTTCCTCGCCACGAGTGTAATTGTAAGTGATGCATTTGCTGGCAGTTGCTGTTTTCTGTATCACGTACCACACTCCTAGGAACTACAATGTTGCACATTAGATTTTGTAGAAAATGATAGAAGTGTGTTTCATGTGCTTACTCGGTTCATTTGGAATCCTTGCATCGGTTCCACGATGGGACAAGCGCCCATATGGTACGTGTGTGCTTTAGCGAGAACAAAGCATCCAGCTAGGAATAACAAAGAGTTCAGTGTCTTCATCTGAAATAGAAATATTAGAATGGTTTATTAATAATTCGACTATCAGATTGGAAATTCCAATCGTTTCATTCACATTTTCCTTATACGACTGAAAAATCCACTGGGATAATTGCAACTTTGTTATATCTTCGAATGTTGCATTTAAAAAAAAAAAATGATATTTTTAACTATGTTCTATCCAAGATGGGGATTGACCTTGATAACTTCTTGAATAACAAGATTTATCGACTCAGACTTTCCGTGTTTACTATAAACAACGAGAAGACGATGCGCTTTGTGCTTCCGAGCCGCTAATTAACAAAGCAGAACACAAAGAGCCACTTAAGCGAGATTGTACGAGCAAGTTACATTTACGTAAGGAAATAACGCGCGGAGTGGTTCAAGATTTCTTTCGAGATCTCTTTTGTCCGGGTGATAATGTTTCTTTCATAAAGTGGTAAAAAATTAATTATGAATACGACTATCTTAATTTCTGAGCAAACGTATTCCCTTGAAAATTTTAATATTAAAAATATTCATTTTGAAAACGTGAATCGACTAATAGTATCCAAAAAAGAGTTGATTATTTATTATATTCTATGAGAATGTTATGAATAATAATTCTATGTGACCTTTTTTGAAAAAAAAAAAATAGTGGAGGAGAATCATTATGGAAACGTGTAAATATTTATCAGTTACTGACCCCTCAGGCGATATTCAAAGTGTAAATGCAAAAATGGATGGCAATACGATTGTGTAAAACATGAAAATTGTCAAAGAGGCATATACTCACTTTGAAGCGATGTTGTCAGTCCCTGAGCTGGTACTGTAAACACTAGATTCATTGGAGAAGGACTTTATGAGGCGTGCCCCACTCTGAATCCAATTATGGGTCACGCACACTTCCAATGGACTATGTGATGGTCAATACGATATACGTAACTTCTTCAGAATTATGTTGCAAAATGTATTATCAGAAGAACAGAATATCTTACTAGATGTGCAACATTAACACATTAGCAAGGCAAAAGAGAACCAAATGAAAAAAAATGGCAAATTTTGAAATAAAAATTTAGAAGACGTACTAAGTCTTCTAGAAATTGTTGACGTTAGCAGTTCATTGATGCGACACAATTTTATCAATCTTATTACATTCGAATTAAATTGACTGTCCAGCCAGCTTCATTGTCTTCTATTGGACCACACAAATTCATTTAAGCTCAATGAACACATTTTTCTCACAGTAAAATTTAAGCGAAGGAGCAATAAGGAACGGATTCAATGTCTAATTAAAAAAATACCAATGGTATAATTAAGTCACATGTGTTTATTCATCGTGATACACGTTTTGAAAGTGAACGCGAACGATGTGCTACACCGACCACGTTGCTTCGCTCACTGCCATCGCGTAGACACTTATTCGTACAGATAATAGGATAAATCGAACCTTTGCGGATAAATATATGCGTGTAATGAATTTCACGAACGACGCGACATAATTTCGTATTTAACGAGCTGATGTGTAACACACACACACATGCACACATACATACACGCACAAACATGATAGCACACCGAATGTGTATGGTACTTAATTCGCGTAGTGTATACATATATTATCTGTTTATATAGAAATATCTTATTTTGTATATATATATATATATATCATCTATACGTATGTATACATAGAATTATTTATATAAAGCTTCGTTTATAGAATATATTAAATTTTAATGTTTCCGTGTGTTCGCGATGGAACGACATTGAATTGGCATTTTGTACATACACGAATTTGTGATCCTCTTCTTGAATGAAAAAGATTTTCGAACACGATTTTTCATGGTACACAGTACAACACGAACTGGTCCCTATGATTTTTTTCATTTTTTATTTCTGTTAAACAAACTATCAACAGCACCTTAACTTTTAACAATTTCATGGAACAAAGGATCTGGTTTGATCAGTTTCGCGCCATGCAAGGTAAATGTAGAATCGAAAATTTGATTTGAATTTTATGGATGAAGATGAAGAGTGAGCTTCATAACACGAACATTTAACGAATTTCGTGTAAAAGCGCTTTTACGTCGCAGAGATTCAGCTTCGAGCTTTAAATAGCAAAGGAAAATATACGGAAAACGCTGGTTCGTTTCCAAAAATACTTGGAGTGATCCTTTATCCGTTGCGTAGTTGTTTCTTTCCCAAAGAATATGTTAGAAAATTTCTGTCTTCCTTGCATGGCATTCGATGCATCGAAATGATTCTCCCAATTAGACCACGGATATTTATGCAAATATATAAATTAGTTAACTTTACTTAAACAATCAGTTTACTTCCGGTATTCTCAATGTTTTATTTTATTCTAGACAGTACTTGTTTAGTAAATTCCAATATAATTGCATAAAGATTCGTAATCATCTCGTTGTATAACTTAAATTAAATTAGACGATTTTTCGCAATAATTAAGCCGTTGATCGAATCGATACTCTTTATAGAATAAAATATGAAAAGTTTCATTTCATTTATTATTCGAAGAAGATCAATTGCATTATCCTTAAAATTCTAATGGAACGAGCTTATACAGTAACGAAAGGTGGCTCGACAAACGATATTCGTTTCACAAATACAATGTACAAATCTATTTTCGTCACGAATTAATTATATTCTAATCATTTTCTAAACGTAGTAATATTTCTCTATCGATCACGATCAATCGTGTAATACTCCTAGAATTCACGATCGATCTTGGACGAAAATCGAAGGATTAAACATCAACAACGCAGACCTTTAACGTTCAGTTCAATCTTGTTAAATACTTTAGCGATCGATGATGATTAATTTACCTCGTTTATCGAACTTCGTGGCGAATAATCGTAAGCATATAAAAGAGGGAACAAGAATTCGATCTTCGTTTAATTAATAATAATGTATGCTAATACAGTTTGTTGATTGGTAGGTCATCAATAGTTCTACTCAATGGCGATATCTGCTATTTTATATTGAAATAAAAACGCTAAGAATCTGATTTCTTATTAAATATTTCAAAATTAATGCATTGTATGTTACGGTAGAAAAAGATTTCATTTTTCAATTTGCTACTTTACAAAATTAATATTTAGGATTTTCTTGATTTGTTTCATCGATGACCCCAATTTTTCATATTAAAAAATTCTTCTAAATTGCGTTACAGACTTCCTAAATGACGTCTGTCACGATCTTCCTTAAGCATTCAAAAATAGAAAGTAAAAAATATTAAAAGAGGGAAAGAAAAAAATATTCTAATGGTTATTCACAAGGGAAGAAGCATCGAATCAAGGCACTCCCGGTACTAAAAAACCTTCATCGATTCCTCTGGGAAGACGACGTCGATTCATAGGCAAAGATCGAGCCTTTAAAATACTTACACGATCCATTTTCTCTACGCGAGGAAGACTTTACAGGAATGTAAAGGAATTGCACTGTTCCCTGGAAAATAAGTAACTCGCCTGTAATTAGACGAGCTACAGGACGTCGAATCTGTTCGATAAAACAGTATCGAGGGAAAAGAACAGTTCTAATTTCGACGATCAGGAACACCGTATTACGAACGAGGAGGTCAGAGACTCTTTTAGCCTCCAGTCTTGATCAAACTATCCTCAATTATATTTATCTCTTTCTCTAAGAAACCTTTGGACCATATCGATGTCTCGACATCGAATTTCGATTGATATCGTTGGCATTTTATCGTTTGGCTCGAAGTTTACGAGGGAAAAATAGGGGATCTAAGAGTTCTGCATTTGAAGCAAAGCTTGTAGACGTTGTAGTTCCTTCAGCAACTCGCGATTCGTGTCCTCGAGGGCGGTTAGTCGGTCCCTGTACGAGGAATTCTCGTTGGTCAACATGGTAACCCTTCTTTCTAGGCCGTCCATGTATTCCTTCTTCTTCCGTCGCGATTCCTGCGCTGATATCTGTAACAAGAATCGAACGATCGTGCGTCGAATTTCGTGCTGTCCTCGAGTATATTATCGATCGACCCGATACCCTTATCGAGTCCCTCGGGGTTGATAATTAAAATATCTCAATTAGGGATTCGAAAACAAAAATATCCACCTTGTTCTTGATTTTCCTGCGAACCTTCTTCAGAGACTTCTCTTCCTGTTTGGTTAACGGCAATTTCGTAGGTACTGGATAACCTTCCGCGATCAACGTCCTCTTTTCTTCCTCGGTCAACGTTAGGACTCCGGTAGATCCTTTCTATAAAATCAATTGCATCCGATGTTACGTGCATAATTCAATGATCCCGCGAAACTAGCGTCATCTTCTTTCGTTTATGCTCACCGGCTGACAGGAAATCAAGGGTGTGTGTATGGGCTGTCTGGTTGTGTGTGTACCGTTCGTCACGTACAGCCTGGGCGTGAGCAAACCCCTGAGATTCTGTGCGTGCGCGGAGCTCTGAGAGTCGCGTCGTTCCGGCGAGCAGGAAGCGGAAGCGGTGCCCTCGCTGTCGGAGCTTGCACTGCTGGGCGGTGTTGGCGGTAGACCTTGTCTGGAAGCGTGCAAATTCCCTGGCTTTTCGTCGCAGCTCGCTTCGTTGTACTCTTCCACTTCCATGCTCTTTAAAAATAGAAATTTTCATGTTTGGTAATAAAATTATCAGATATCCTCAATAAGACCACCTAAGTGTGCTAATGGATTAATTACTTTTCTACCGTGCAATCGAGATAAGTCGAAGTACCATAAACAGAAATCTACCTGATAATATTCCTCGTCATCTTCTTCGCTGTCGCTGGTCTGTGCCAGCTGGTTTTTGGAAAAATGTAGACTTTGAGGGAACATCATTGTTATCGTGCCTTTGTCCTCGACTATCGTCGTTTGACAAGATTCCGATGGACTATTGGGTGCGCTGATCGGTTCTCCTTTGATCTCGGTGCACTCCATCTCTTCAGGTACTAGACTGTTGCTTCTCTTTAGAATAATTGTTGAGGTAGACGAGGACGACGTCGAGGACGAGAGTTCACCGCGTCCCGATGCGGTGTTCATCGATATTGCCGGGAAACACTCCTCCTCCATGTCTAAGAAAGAAAGATTCTTTTCGATTCATTTCTAAAAATAAATGCTGTTGATGGATTGCGTCGATGGAAAGAATCCTTGAGAGGCACGGTACTTGTAACACTAAGGACAGTAATCAGATCCAATCATTATACGCTTCTGATATATCACGGCGATCGAAACGGTGTCGTCTTAAGCAGTTAATGGATCCATATCTATAAATCAAACCAGCGACATATTCCGTCTGCATTTCTCTCAGATCATCGCTATTATCGACCGTCCGCCTATCTTGTAATATCATACTTTCCTTATTAGAGATTCTGCGAAGCTGTAACCTTTCAAGGATCCGACTTCATCGTGCATCACCATCATTCTATCATAGTCAGAGTAGTCGTATTTCAAAGTTCACCTAAGGTACATCGAGAACAAGAATCCTTATTGAAAATTATTTCGCTTACCGTCGATTCTGCTACGAATGTCCAACGATTTATGGTGATCCAAATTGCTCGAATCGATAGAGGAAGTGGTACTCGAGAGGGACGCGCCAACCCTATCGGCTGACGATCCGGAGTTAGGGGTGTGAGGGTTGGCACCGGGTGTCGCGGGGCTTGGCGGAGGGCTGGAAGCCAACAGGCTGTAATTGTGTTCCGATTTAATCGGTCGTGGACCTCCGAGGGCGGCGTCCGTCATCAAACGGTCCCTCAACACCACTCCTAGAGAGGACTTGTCTCTTACGCTCAATCCATTACCCCATTCTTCTTCCTTGGCCACCAGTAAAATGTCCTGACCGAGGCCCTATAAAAAAAAAGGAAAACCAATATTCACTGTTCATTTTATAAAATATTCTTTCATTTTTTTCAGATTGGTATCCACATTTTTAGGGTACCATATTTTACTGCCAAGAATAAGCAACCACCCCATAGAAACCACGACACCGTGCTCTCCCGTTTGCCGTTAGAAAGGTTTCTTCTCGTTCACGCTCTCTTGGTTGCTAGGCATAGGTAATAGGCATAGGTATATTCACAAATAGAGGCACATGGGCATAAATAGGCATAAGCAGACGAACAGCGCTAATCAATGGACAGGGGAATAACGTTCGAGGTTGTCAATGGCTACCAGTTGTCTCGAGCGAAGGTGTCAAGGACCCTGAGCGTCTAAAACTGTACGCGTACGTATCCCGAAGCGGTCACGGCTCTGACTCGAGGAGAAGGGCGCTCGTCGAGCGGTCAAGTTGAAGGTCGTGCTGGCAGCGCGCGACTCGCGACGACAGCTCGCCCTTCTTCCAGCAGAGCCAATGATCCTTCTCGCCCTTCCCGCACGACACCCTTTAAGCCCGAGCAATGCGGAACTCGAGGACTCAAGGTCGAGGTACCAGATTCTTCCTTCCTTATGACCCCTTATTTTCGTCCAGCTCGATCTTTATCACTTTCGTTAAATTTTCTTCAATTTTATTTTGAAAATGACATTTAGGCTTATTTAGAGAGATACAAGGTTCTTTTAATGGTATCTCCATTTTTATTGTTATTAGTCTATAATAAATCATCTTTGGAACTTTGAACCGTTTAAAGTCCATTTCAAGTATTTTCTTTTTAAAGGATTATGTAGATGATTAAGTAATGTGGAATTTGCAACAAAGGTCAAGGAAAAAGTCTTCTTTTTCTTCTTCTTTGATGAAAGAGCAAACCATCTTTCATCTTTGAAATCTAAGAACGCCTTTAATCATCTGTCCTATTTAAGTTAATGTTACTGAAACGTGTTGAGAACCTCTGCTACGTATTACATCAACGAGGTCGATAAATCCCAACTAACGATATGCCTCCGGACTAGAAAGTATTCTTTTTTTTTTTCTTTTTCAAATACAATCCTGACTTTGCTACCAGAACTCTATACAATCATCCAGTCCGTATCTTCATCAGCTATTTCAGTCGCGTCGCGTCGCATTTCGTTCTTTCCCCTCCTCGTTATGGCTCGTCTCTCTAACGGAGAGAACAAAGCCAGTGATTTTCCAGAGGCAACACGATTATTCTGCCCTAGACAATTAGCAACCAACAACCTGAGACTACTGTTTCAAGCGTCGCGACAATTTTTCCCTCCCTTTGTTCCTCGAGTACGAACGGTTTTATTCAAAAAGACAAAAGGACGGTAAGGAAGAAAGAGAATCGTTTGTTTGAACAATTCAACGAACCGAGTCGTACATTTTAACAGATTCCTGTTGCAAGGATCTAAGCTCCAGATCCTAGAGTTAAGTTATATAGAAATCTTGCTGTATGATGGATGTGAAATCATATAAATAACAAGGCAAACGAAGAAAATATGTTTGTCAGTTTTGAAAAATAAGAAAATGACTAGGGTACAACCGGTTGCAAAGCGTTCAACGACTGGATCCGCAGGATCTGTTGCGCTTCAGCAATGCGGAACTCGAATCCAAGGTCGCGACATGGCTCTTCCTTTTTCTCCCTATCTTCTTATTCGCCTTTCCATCCCTCTGCCTTTCCGTTATGCTTCAGTCGCAGCATCGCCACTTATCTAACGCCTTCCACGTCTCGTTTCCGGCGGAAGCCAGCCGGTAACGGGTCATTTTCCTCTTCGTCCTGCGATATAAGGGCGCTTCCACTCGCTAAGGAATTTCCATATTCTCTTTCGATAGGATATCGATATAATTCCAACGCTACATTTTCTGAATAGCTATTGTGTAAGTTGATGGAAATGCGATGGCGCACGTCTCGAGAAAGTAATTGTTGGTTCGATTGCGATTTCACCATCGATATTAATTTGCCGAGGAGTCATAGGGGAAGGATCGACAGTATCGTGGCTCAGCAATTTTCTCCGACAGTTATTTCGCTTGTTCAGCCGGTTCATGTCAGTGCCTTCGCGAAATCCTAGCAATCTATGGTTACTAACCGACAATTTCCGGTTCGACGTTGCGACAAACCATTTTTCTTTCGCGGTTTAATCCTTTCTTCAATCGTTCTCGCCTAGGTTGCACAAACTTCTTTACTATTACGAGAGAATCGAATAAAAATGTTAGCTTCATCGTCGATTAGACGATTTTTCATTCGATCAAACACGTAAACGGTACTCGAGTTCATTGAGAGAACATTAATTATCGGAAAGAAAAGGTTGAGATCTAAGATAGCTTTTCTCTGTTAATTACGTAAGAGAATCACAGTTACGAAGATTCTTTCTTCCTCTTCGAAGCGTGGAATCCTTCGACGCCGTTGAAAATAAAAATAAAACGCGTCCAAAGTTTCCGTAACCTGTGAATTCTGTAGAAATCACCGAATATTGGAAAACAGGAAAACATTTCAGCTGTTATGCCGAGAATTTAGCCTGACTGACCTTACAGCCAGTTCGCCATTAAACTTGAATGCGTCGAGCGTGTAGAGAAATCGAGTCACGGCCATTGAACAAAATTAACCCTTCTGGCATAGAAGAAATCGAGCTGAAATATAAGTAAAACAATATTTTCTAATGCTGGGAATTTTCTGATTCATCGCTATGTTGAACTTCCTTTTTAGACTCGTGAAATTTATGATCGTAAATCCATTCGCAGGCGAGAGATTATGCAGTCTGATACGATAAAGCGATTTGTTATTAAACGATTACGAGACTGATTGTTGAACCTGACTAATGTTCGTTCATTACCGGGAGAAAAACACTGGTCGTTCGAAGGAAAACACATTGCGCGAGGCTACACGATCAAGCGTTCCTTCGTTACATAAATTCTTCATCTTCTTTCGCCTCTCGACAAACGGGAATTCCAATGTCTAAGATTTATAAATTCATTAATTCAATTTTCAAATTCAAAATTACCAAATTCTTAGAATTTACTCCAGAGCATCGAAAACCTTAAAATTTCCAAAATTTTTTAAATTCAAAATTACCAAATTCCCAGAATTTACCTTCGAGCATCGAGAATCCTAAAATAACCAAAATTTTTGGATTTAAGAAGTGAAAACGTTCTCCAGTTCTCAGAACGTAAAATCATAACTATTCCCAAAACAGGATTCAGTTGAAAAATTTTCCACTGGACTGCCATAAGATTCCTACGGGCAATAATACAGATAGCCAGCAAGCCATGTCTATGGGATTCTAGCTGGCAGAAGTCACTTTTACCAGCGTGTACCAGCCTCGATGAAGTCACGAAAAAAGGTGAACGTCCTCGAGTCCCATCGAAACCGTCCCGTCACTAATCCCCTCTACATTAAACGGGCTCTTCTACGATCTACGAAGACGAAGAGGAGGACAGATCTTTACCGACACGGTTATACGACTCGTTTCAAAACCTGATCCCTTCCTAAACAGGTACTCCTCCGGCTGACAAGTGTCTCAGGAAAGTCGAGAAACTCTTGGAAATCTTGTAACGACCAGAAATAAGGGAAAATAGATAGAGAGAATATCCGGCCTGGTTGTGCTTGAAATACCGGAAGTACGCTTCATCATGGTGCCTCGATGCTTGTTTACGCTAACGTCTCGCGTTTTTAGTTCAAAGAACTCGACGGACTTGGAATCCTACGACTTTTTACTGCTATTTTCTAGCGTTTGTTTATGTTACTTGGAATTTTTGCCGAGGATTAATGGGGGTGTTGCTTTGGTTTATAGACTTGGCAAGTATCATGAATTTGATAGCTTCAATTTGTGTTTATTAACACAAATTTTCATTTATAATCATTAATTCCTGCTTCGAGAAACTACTCCCATTGGGGAAGAAAATATTTATACCTAAGGGTCCTGTTCCCAGGGCAAGTTAACGTTTTCCTACGAAAAGATTCTAAAGGGCAGGTAGCTAGATGTCCAAAAAGAATCCTAGTCGACTTAAGGAACAGGTCGATCGCTCCAGCTCGTTTCACTTGCTCGCCCTCTGGAATTCTTCGTCGAGTTCTCACGTATATACAGGGTGTCTCAACAAGGTTCTATACATGCCCTGAAAATCGTAGATTCTTGAAATCGAAAGAAATTAAAATTGTCCTTCATCATTTTACAATCAACGAACCTGTTAGAGACTAGTTAGAGATTTGTTATTTGAAATTTTAGAAATTATTCGGGTCTAAAGGTTTGTTTAACAAAGACAAATGGTGTCGAAAGATTTTGAAATATTCTCTGTTTATCTTTTTATTCGGTAATAATAGATTTCGTTCTCATTTTCTCGTTTCCAGCTGTCGAGCACGGTAACGATCGTTTTCGTCTACTATCGCGTTCTATTTTCACGTTTTCAGCCGACTGAATTTATTCCATAGAACGAAACATTGTTTCGTGCCGGTTATATCGGAGGAAACACGACACGGTTTTATAAATGTGCTTCTCTGTGAACGGATTATTAGAATACCATCAACTTCCGTTCACGTGAACATTGTTGATCCAACTGATAGTAACAGACAGTTCTCGAACAGTTCCTTCCATTAATTATTCGGTAACAATAAAATATGTATTTATAAAAATATTCCTCGAAGCTGAAATTGTAAATAACTAACTGGTTGTGTGATCGATAACGGATATTTTCAAGATACTCTTCGGCTAAAATTCAATTGAGCATGATAAACACGACGCAGGTGGTTTTCGATTAATTGAAACATTTCGCATCTAATGATAATGACTATTATCCAAACACACGTGTCTCACAAAACGGACCACGTGCACGATAAAACGAGGCAATACCTCGAATGTATTATTCTTGGTATTGAAAAACACGAAACAGAGTTAATATTAGAAAGCAAAGTAATTTAAAAATGTTTTTATCGAAGAGTATACAATTAGGCAGGCACAGTATCAGCGATTAAAAAGTGTATCTTGAAATTCTGCTTATCTACACTACGATATCGTTCGTTTTTTCAATAATACAGAACACCTTGAAACACACTATTAAATCGATCTAGGAACAATACTACGTGTTTCGGTACGAATTCAGGTATTATTATAAAGCACTCGTAACACATCGCGATAACGTACACGCTCGCGCAATTGCTTATCATCGTTGAATTGATAAAAATCATAATTCTCGGAATAATGATATCAAGCAACAAGGTTCGACCCTTAAGCGTTAATCGAGCGGATCTTACGTAATACACCAAGAATCTATGCATTTCGTTGCAAATACATTGCTGGCTGTCAACGCGATAATAATGTCATAAAAAGGAAAAAAGAATCAAGGGTAGTTATTTATGTTCGAACACGACACAGGTGATAAGTATAAACTACACATTGTAAAAATTATCTGGAAACGCATTCCGTGTCTGCCGTTCCGTAGATAACGGGTAATGAATTTTAAAAAGTTATTTCGCACAACGCGCGCGAACTGAATAATGATTGTACCTAGAGTAATAAGCGTTTCTATCATCGCGATGCAATTATAATTTAGTCTATGAAAACTTTCCGACGCCATCGGCTGAAAAGTTATCTCGCGACCGCTTAAACTTCACCTCGTGATTTCTAATCCGTCGATCCGAAACGATCGATCAAAAAATGCTCGAAATTGCAAACGTCCCCATGTGTCAACGACGACGGAAAAGCCAACAGGCTTGAGTAAGAATTAATCGAAAGGAAAATGGAAAAGCGAGCTGGCTCGATGTAAAGCCACGGCCGATAAGTCTGTTATCAACGAGCATGTGAATACGTATACAATACACCGACGTGTAATTTTACAGTGGACCTACATACTTTATCTTGGTTGTATACCTGCACCATTCATTGCTCGTTTCTTCTTCTTTTTTGCACGATAAACGCGCCCCTGTTTGGAACAAACACACGGTCGAAACTGTTCTATTTTATCAACACGATAGTAATTAGAGATGATGTTAAAAAGTTGTTGAAAAAATATCCATCTTCTTTGATTACATCACTCGTGTATCTTTAATTACAGATTGGAGAAATAGTTGAGTCATCCTCTGTGTATTTGGTGTTAAAGTATCGAGTTATAAAAATTTTCAGCTGTACAATTTCGGTGGCTGGCTATATTTGATTATATCACTTGTGTCTCTTTGATTAGGGAAATCAAAGGTTGTGGATATTTCATAGAATCGTGTGTACGTCCGGCTTGAAACTAGTCTAAAAATATCAGCGGTGAGATTCCATGACACTGTAGTTATTCTTAAATTCGTAGTATGATGTAATTTATTTCCTTTTTTCCTCGTCAGATTAGCCGGTGTTCTCGCAAAAACAGCAAGACGTTTATGCAAATTATCATACTGGACGTGATTTCACCGCGATTAATGCCTATCGACGTGATTTTCGATCAAGCTTTTCAACATTCAAACACTTTGATCATTGACTGCAAGAATGTATTTAATGAAAGTACGGTAGATGATAATTAATGATATCGTTTTCATGTGTTTATGAACTTCTTTTTAATTATGATTAGATAACTTATTTTCAATGAATTTTTTTTTTATGAAAGAAGTGATTGATAACGAAAGTAAGGAAGATTTGTGAAATTCTGGCAAGAAGAGGATTCATCCTCTGAAAAGAATCGTAATAATTCAGAGAAGCAAGAAATCTCACGGTCCCTTGTACCATCCGTTAAAGGGAAATTAACACCGACCAGCTAGTAATTTACCATGGTAATTTCGCGTCAAAGTGAAAAGCGAGAAAGTAGAGTTTATCATTCAGCTCTTTCAACGAAACTTTCGATTCGCTCCGTAAACGTTTAAAAGGATCGCGTAATTGGATGCAACAATTAATTGCAGACGATGTTTACGTAGAAAGGAAAAAAAAAGAATTGTATATTTTTAAAAGTTGTAAAATTTGAAACCACCCTTGTAAGTAATTCAGTGAAAGTTGGTCTACGACCGTAGATTGCTTTATCTACTTCCTCTGATAATGCTCGCACAATGGGTGATAAAAATAAAAAAAGAATATAACAGAGAGAAATGTTATGGACGTCGGAAACGAAGGGACGTTATTCAATCAAACGCCACCCACGCGTTTCAGAAAAAGCCTGGACAGATTGGACAATGGAATCTATCGTCATGCTTGAATATCTAGTTGAATAGAAATTGAACGAATTAAGTTTAAAATTTGGGGAATGATAAGACAGAAAATTACCGATTTTTGTAAATTTTGCAAACACCAAATGAAGAAAACTTTATAGTTGAGAATTTGAAATCATTTTTTAAAATTCAAAGTTATTGAATTTCCAATTTGCTGGATTCCTAAGAATTGCAATGTAATACATAATTTTACTAATTATTATATTTGCTGATTATTAGAGGAATGATACAGCTGCTTCGCTTACAAACTGGGAAGAATTGCGAACGTTTTGGCACGACAGTTTATCTGCATTGGCAGGCACAGTTATCTTGGCGTCCTTGCAAAAGCGTTCGCGACCAATTATCGCGTCGATAATAGCACCATTTTGCGAAGGAAGCATTTTTATCGATGTACAATAATAACAATGTGTTTGCAATGTGAAAAAACAAAGGATACCTAACAATACTTCGAGTCATCGAATTCGAAACGACTTGAAATTCTAAAATTTCAATTTTATCAAACCTCCTAATGGTACAAGTTTAAAATGGGTAAAGGTTGGAGTTGTTCCTTCAAGTTTTCCCGCTTTCCATGTTCACACGATTGAACGTGTCGCGAGTACACGTGAGTTCGACTTTCTTGATAGAGGAAAAGTGGATTTCGCGACATCCGTAGATCCTAGAAGAAGGTATTAGACATTAAAGGCCACGGTACGGTGAACCCTCGCGAACAACCTTCATCCTTTCCAATTTGTTCGTACGTGTTGTACTGATGCGTGACAGAGACCACGGAAGCGAGACCAACGTAAGAAACATACCCGTGTGTGCGAAATAACAACCGGTGAATGAATGCTGGTAGCGAGATCTTCTATTGCCATAGCGTATCGTTCAGGATGAGATTGTATTGGAAACTTTGAATGTGTTCGAAAGGATTTCAGCTGGAGAAATTGAAGGGAATTTAAGTGAGCCGTTATGTCTTAGAACATAGAAGGATAATTTAATGCTTCTAAGACGTGAGAAATGAATTTTACAGAGCTGAAGGAATTTGAAATTTTATAATTCAATGAATGGACGATGAAAAAATGTTGCAACTAAAAATTTTCAAATTCGTAGGATTTCAATATTCAAATACTGAATTACTAAAATTTTTGGTAACTTAAAATTATGAAATTCAGAAACTTTTTATTTCTAGAACTCTGCAACTCAAAATTACCGAGTTCTTAAAGCATGCAAATGAATTATAGGAAATAAATTAGAAGCGAATTGATGAAGGAAGAACTATTTCAGAAAATAAGCTAAAGATCAAGGCTGTTCTAAAAAGTGTATAATTGGTTTATGAATATGAATATTTAGATAAAACAAAACATGTTTGAAAACAAAACATGAATTATGTACGACTTGAATACTATACACGATACAAAAATAGAGGTTCGTTATAATTTCATTGATACGTCATCAGGAAGTATACAAATGATTGGTAATTTTATTACTTCGTAACTTTATTACTTTGCTGATTCGAAAATCAATTCCACTCCCACTGTCTGTTATCGCCTTATCTCACAATTTTTCCGTTTAGAAATAGCCATCCATTAATATCGATTGGAACAACGTTATCAATCAAGTCAGCCATTGAAGATCAACTATAAAAAAAAAAAAAGGAAACTCGGTGTTACGGATTAGTAGCAAGATCATTCAGCAATTTCTCTCTCCGCGAAATTCATCTCGTTCATTTTCTCGAACATGGCGAACGAACAATTTTGTTGTCAGCATTGGTTCAATTCGCGTGGTACGAGTCCTTGGCGAGTCGTACCCTACTTTTGCTGCAATTTGGTACACACGATACACGTCCCACATCGTTTCAAATCGTTACAGACGTCGAGTGCACAACGATTTAAGCGTTAAAAATAGCGATGCCAGGAAACGAGACTGGTATGGAGAAAATGAAAGAAACGATACTTTGACCCCGTGCAAAACCGACAATTAACAAAACTGACAAATAATTCCGAGTAGAGATTGTTTAAATTTGTTGGTGATGAGTCACGTTTATGGCGAAACATTAGAAACCTATTGTAATTACCTTCGGAAAGGATAATTAACCCTGAACAGTCGAGAGGCTTCGCATTCTGACTATTAATGTTTATTTACACACTTTATTTTTTAATACCAATCAAGATTTCCAATCATGTACATCTTAAACTAAATACGGTTGTGTACGATTGATCATTTTAACATGATAAGCTATTGGATCGGGTATCAATTAATTTGAACAGTTTCATTAATGAAGTCTTATCGATTCTATTGCAGATTCGAGTTCGATGAGCTTACACTTTAAGGTCGCCTTAGTTTCTTCAAACGGAGCCGTACGTTTTCATTAAACTGCGCTTGTTACTCGTTCCAGGAAGAATTCAACTAGCTAAATAGCACGAGTTTCTAAAAGAAACCTTTGCGGGACATAACCATGAACGATGGCGATAAATTAGCCACAGCTTTCAGCTTGGTTTCATCGTGTCTTTCATAGAGCAGTATGACGTGGACTTGCGAAGTATAAAAAGGAAGGCGACAATGACGAACAAAGCAGCATATGAAAACCGTTGACCTATGATAAAAAAAAAAAACGATAGAAAATTTAATCAAACGGAAAGGAACATGCGAGTTGAAAAATAAAAAGGAGGTTGAAACTATTCTCTATCTCCTTCTTTCTTCCAAAAGCAAACGATTTTCTCCGAGAAGCTTAAAAACAACCGTGCACGTTCAATCCAGACGTACTTTGTTAAAAATACCGTGAAAATATTTAGTTTGAAAACCCTGAAAATTCAAGGTAAAATAAGGAGCAAGATGGAGACCGTAAGACGGAAGGTAACATTTGATACTCATAAGAATGACCTTACTTGCTTAATCATAAATAATCTTATTAACTACTTCTTGGGATAAGTAAGTCTATACAGAGTATTGTTTTAATCTTTCTTCTTATACGTGTAGAATTTTTCGATCCAACATGGATTTTCGCAAGGGGGTAACGAACCCCCTCATAGACTTTTCCTACCAGCATCACCGTTAAGTTTAACGACTTTGCTGGCTGGAAAGTGCTTGCCTCTATAATACGCTCTAAGAGATGACGTAATTGAGTAAAAGGGGACTAACTCCCTCCCCCAAATATGACGTGCCATCGTTAGTCAGCAAGAGGCACAGATTGCCTTTCAGTTTCTATCACGAACAAACCGAGATTCGCGATGCTAGGCTTCGAAAAACTTGAGGCAAAGTTCAAAACGAAATTATTTATCTTTATTCTATCCACTCTGAAACTTACAAACTGACAATGTTTCGACTTGAAGACTACGATCGTAGAAAATAATATAACAGACGTAGAACGACTTTTATTTTAATTTTAAAAGATACATTTTGTTGAGCACACTTTAACCTTTCCAGATGAAAATATAGCGTTAATGACAATTTAACGATGGCACAGAATGATATGCCGGGTCGAAGATTTTGCACTTGGAAGGAACGAGATCGTGAAGGGAGGTTCGTTAAAGTGGACGACAGGTCAATTGATAAGGAAATTACGCGATGAATATTCGATAAAATAGAATTCCGTCGTGGCTCGCTAAATAGCAATTAGTAAACAATTATGCAACGATTGTGTTAAGAAAAGGGAAATATCAGTGGAAAAACGTAATCGCTGACTAATATAGATGTGGCGAAACTTTTATGAATCATACACGTTTGGTAGGTCTGGGTCGAGGGTTAATCTTCAAAAATACAGTGTTATAGACGATGCCTTCGATAGTGCACTTGTTCTATTTATTTAAAGAATACTCTCATGCCACGTGAGAGAAACGAGGTACATATATGACCGGTGTGTCTGGTGCAACTGTAAAAATGAACAGAGATTATACTCACCGGTTCACAGAGGTAAGACTCCCACAATTCCCTAAGGTCGCTGCTTCCCACGTCGTAGAATTCCATGATCCTAGGCTAGCTCGTTCGTTTTTAATGTTTTCGTTGCCAGTCGATGAATCGTGCTGTTTGCCCATGGGGGATGAAGAATACCAGAAGAGTATAGACACGATCACTCCTCCATTGTTTTTCAAGGATACCGGCAGACCAACCACCACCTTTTAAAAATAACGTGCTATTATTAGGAACGATGTTTAGTTTCTTGTTCTTGCTAAATATTAATCCCACTTAAAATCTTTTCTTTTAATTTGTGGTGCTGGTCACCGATGGCATCCGTACGAACAGCTATGTACTTAAAATACAAATTTGCTGTGTTATCTCAAAGTGGAAACTATTGAAGGTCTTTGACCGTACCTAATTACGAACAATTATGTATTGAAAATTTCCAAAGATAAGTTCCTTTTGTCGTGACAGAAAGAAACGCGATACGGGGAAATGGAAATGGACAATGCGAGCTGGTAGAATGCAAATCTTGCTCCGTTATGGGCGCGCACAGTTTGGCATTTAATACCGTCCTGTTGTTTCACGTTGCAACACGATGTACGACTGCATCGTGGCCGGTTGCATGCTGTAACGAGATCAATGGACCTGTCTCTATGGATTAAGCGAGCTGTTCTCGCGAGCGGAAGGAGAATCGAACGAGTTGCAAAGCGAATTAAAGTAGTATAAGCGTACGTTTGAAAAGAGGACGAGATTCGAAAAAAATTCATTTCCAATTAACGAAATGATAAAGTTAACGCGTTTTATTTTGAAAGAAAAATATATGGAACATTTTCAAATCAAAGCCTCAGGGTAAAAATATAAAGTCGTTTGAAAATATCATTATCGTTAATAAATTCATATTTCATTTCAATCTTAAATCAACACGCCGCGCATAAATCACTGACGCAAACGAAGTATTGTTCATCCTCCGAAAGGAGACGAATTTTTAGGTCGATAAAATAAAATTTTCGACAAGCTACGAAAAGGTCTCGTTACAGCTTAGCGGCTAATGTTTGCGCCCGCTGTTTGCACAGTTCCGATAATTATCAACAGCTGTGAGTATTAGCGAAATCTGTTATTCTTCCTGAAAACACGTCGACGAATATACGTCTAGACGGGCTCAGACAGCAGGTTGTCACTTCGACTCTAATTTCTCCTTTTCATCCATTAAGTCCACCTCTTTCGTGGAAAATAATCGAACGCGACTTTCGCACAGAGCGACCTTTCGCTGAAGATTCCACGTGATCCTCGGTATCAATCAGAACCGGTATTACAAGGGAAATTCGAGTCAGAAAAATATACTTATCGAATACCAATTGTTCGTGCATGAAGTGTTTTATAAAACGAGCGAATTTTTAAATCAAGAAGTCTTGACTTTTTGTCAAATTTTCAAATTTTTCAAATAAAATTGTAAGCCGAATAAACTCTTCGTATCTTGCCTGCAAGATTAGGTTCGTAAAAATCTGGCCCTCCGAGTTAACTTCCGTCCTTGAGTCAGTGTTTACATTCAAACGAGTAAGCGATACTAAATCCACGACTGATCAAACATCAATAGAATACTTAGTTATTCGTCATCGATGATTGAGGATATACTGAGGAAAGCATACGAATCAAAAAGTAATGAAGTTAAATTAAAGAATTATATTCTGTTCAATATTTTAATGTACGTATTGTAGAAATTCAGGTGGTGCTAGTAGAGATAACATTTCAAAACCGTGTAACGTTTATCTATGTTAATTCAGTTCCGATCGTGTGAACCGGCCTTAAAACACGAAACAACGCTTTCGAACCGAATGTAACGCGTCTATCCGCCCGCATTTGGTTTCCACATAACGCAGCCGGTATTCTCATTAAAACTATCTTGGTATTAAAAGTCTACGTACACCATGATGACTCTGATATGGAAAAATATTTTCACGAAACTTCTGTTAAATTCGCGCGCTACGTTCAAATTTAAAATAATTTCAAAAAGAAACGCTAACGCGTTAATCTCCGGTCGGCAGCCCGCGGAGAGAGCGATAATTTAAATTTAAGTCTGTATTTTATACTATTTCCATTTTCTAAATTTTATATTACAGCATTGAATATGTTTTTTACAAGTAACTTCGATCGAAATACCGTTGGATCGCCTCGTAAGTCTGCATTACGATTGATCCAGCCTCTACCGCTCGAGGGTTAATCGAAAACATGATTACAAATGGACTGACGCGACACGCGACAAGTGGTTGCCCACCCTTATGTCATCATAGATAAATGAATTTCACAGAAGTACTATGGACGCGCATTGACGCGGTTCTTTTCTGCATTAATCATGAACAGGGACACCTCCCCGCCTGATAACACATCTATTCGATGCGATCGAAATGCACCAGATGGAACGGAGCACCGGCTCAATGTGACCGACTTGTTAAATGCACGCGCGTACACGTGCACTCGATTGCAGTACGCTATATACCGCGATAACGTTATATTCGAGAAAGAAGACAGCCCACGGCTTGTGCTCACCAATAAAAAATCCGTCAGACACGCGTTCTTGTCCGTACGAGAAAGAATCACCCAGTGGTAACGGGAAAAATTGCACAAATATCTTGAGCGTAACAGTAAGGCCACAGCACTGATCGAACGGAGCCCGCACTGTACCATACGACGCACTGTTAGCAACCGAGGCGCCAATGAACATGCAGGAAATCGGGACAGAGGGATCGATAGCCAACACCCGTGCACCTACGAACCGTATAGGGTAGGGCCACCAATAGGGAAGTTTTCGCGCTCACAGAAACAAGCTCTCCTCGAAAGCTCGTCAGCTTTGTCGGCTGACGATCTAACCTTCGATCGGTAAAGTGGGCTTCTCCGAGTAAATGTACGAAACGATACACGCACGTTCACGGCCTCCGCGTAAATGCAGAATGCACGGATCCGTTGCACGTGCTGCCCGCCGGAGCTTTCCTATTCCCGTTTGTTGACCAATCAGCGTAGACCACCTGTTACCAGCGCACTAACTTGCTGCGCATGGCGACGATGGACGGCTGCGCGCGCATCTTGCGCGGTAACTCAGTTCCATGATGGCTGCCGGTAGTTTGAAATCGCGTTCGCGCGTCTAGTCTTTACGCGTCCGTCTCCGGGTAATGTCTGCTGTTACGAATATATTTCAATCGTAGATAAGCGTACTCGAGTGCGGTGTCTATGAATAGTGAACGCTTTTGTGCAGCAACTTCAGGTATACAGTGGATGGTGCACTTGCATGGGATCTTTCCTGTGGATCGACAATGGACTTGTCCTGCGTTCTTCTACTTCAGCAATTACTGTAAGTAGACTCATTTTATTGATCTATCTTCATTATTTGTGTGTTGTAAGTACTTGGGTATGTGAATTGAACCTATTTAATATCAAACAACGACTAATGGAACATTGACCATGTGTCGAAATCTTGCCATAACATGTGTAAACTTAACTTGAGACTATTGGAATTCTACATTTTGAATTACTTTGGGACATTGCGTTAGTTTGATGCTGTTATAATTCTGTTTAATACGTAATTAATGCTTAAAATATTAGTTGAAAAAAGTTAGTTGTATCCTCGCTGGTATTAAATTCAACATGGCTGCCATACGTAGATCTTTTCAATGGCGGTATTATTCAAAACACTTAAATTTTCAATTCTTGAAAATAGAACAAATAATTGCTGAAATATTTAAATCTATTTTTATATTTAACTTAGAATAGTAAAGAAAAAGATGCTTTTTCCCAGATACTGTTGTTTTTATTAATAAATCAATTACATACTTTGGGATTTATAATGCATGTTTAATAATACTAATAATAAATTTTTAACGCATGTGTATACAGTATTTCTATAGTTCAAAGTGAAATGAGCAATCAGAAAATAACAATGAATTACGTATAAAGCATAACTTCTAAAAAAATATATTTCATTTTAATATATTATATATTCTACATTTTAATTAATATACTATGCACATTAGTAATCTTATACGTAATAAAAAAAGAATAAGTATCGTTTTTATAAATCTTACTTAAATATTTTTAACTAATTTTAAAAGCTTATTTATTACTTGATAAATTAATAATTTATACGAGGGTTATATTTCATGAGCCTATTAAGTACAAAAATCATTCTTGATAAGTGCATTTGTTTTCATTGTTTAAACAGAGAAAATATATTTGAGATTTACTAGAATGACTAACACTAACTAAAATCAACATAGTTGTGTTCTATTGTTGGTAGAATATTTGATAAGTGTATACGAAGAAACTACGTTAAATTTATGATTCGTTTGTAAACACAGGAATCATTGAATTTAGATAAATGCATTTATTGGTTGTGGTACGATTTTATTCATTTTTTAAAACTTTTCTCTTTTCTATAACAAGGAAAACAAGATTTTTTTCCATAAATTTTGAAGGAATAGCATATCGAATAATCAAGCTAAAAGGTTTACATTCATACAATCAGTTTCTACAAAAATAATTTTCTCTACTAGATGGTAAAAGTTAAAAAGCGTTTTCTTTATTCGAAGATTAATTGTACATCATGCCGCTATTGTGCCCACGCCAGTAAAAAAATTATATTCTTTTCCATTCATAATTTATCTCGTTCCGACCTCTATATTTATCCTTTTCTTATCAGGTACAATACAAGGCTGAACAAAATATGATTATGTAATCTTATTCTCGTTAAACTCTTAAAAGGATACAATTTTTCAAATTTTCCCCAGTCTCCTCCATTCTTTAAAAATACTTCATTTTTCTTTTTTTTTTGCTCATTTCATAACATGAACGATAACATAAAACATTCTATCATATAGACTTTATAAAACATTCGTAAATAAAAATGATCTTTGAAAAACTTAAACACAAACATTGTGCAACAAACATTTACATAAAATAGTTTAACGAATACATATTCTCTCTGAATGATACAATGCTACATATTTATATTAAAAAAAATCCAATAACATTTTTTTTCTGTTTTTGTTTTTCAAACTATACATTGAAAGAAATTATTAATTACACAAGATGTTAAAGATTTGAAATCATTGTTGATATTAATTAATCGTAACGATATGAAACATATAGAAAGTAATGCATGGTGTTTTACGTATATGACGAAACGTAGAACACTCGAAAGAAATAAGGAGAAAAAGAAACGATGAAGAAAAACAAAAAGTTCAATAAGTCATTTGCTTATGTTTGACGCGTAATGAAACGTTTCTTAAAAACCGTAAAAAGGAAACGGTGTTTAGAACTCCTTTTTCAAAGCAGATCTTAACAACGCACTGCGCATGGATGTTACGAGTTTCTCGAGTTCTTCCACTTTCATCTTCAATATCCTGTTGTCTCGTTCCAATTCGATAGCTTTCATCGCCATCTCAGACTCTTTGGCTTTCTTGTTCATACGTGACTTTCTCGAAGCTTCGTTGTTCTTTTCTCTTGATTCACGATAATGCACCACGTACGGTCGTTCATCCGAATCACTTTCAACGTAACGTTTTCGTCCTGTTTTCTCGCGTCTCACCCTGGTGTACGGTTTCTCCACTACCCTACTGGTAACCTGTGTCCTTAATTTTTCTGTCCTTCGGGATGTTATTGGTGTCTCTATAGAAGACGAGGTGATCGTTGATGCTGATGCTGTTGCTCGACCATTTATGCTTTCCGGAACGGTTGTCGTGCCGTTCCTTTCGGTTTTCACTTTCACGTTACCGTATGGAATCGTTACCATAGATTTCGCGGTCGACCATGGTGGTTTCGATATTACCGAAGACGAGTCTGTTGAAACGCTTCCTTCCGACGAACGAACTTCATCCTGTAACAAATAAACATTGTAATTAAATGATCGTTCTGGTACGAGAATTGACTTTAATTTGTTTGTCTCGCATATAAACTCACATCACAAAGATATGATAACAAATCAAATGAATCCGACCCGGTGGTTTCAACTGTACGCAGCGCGTCCCATGTTTCACGTTGATTATCGGTGGAATCGAACGAGGTCGGACAAGCATCATTTACATCAACGTCTCCTATGTGATACCTCGGTTGAATTGGTGTACTAACTTCAGTGTTATTCTGTTTATTCAATGAACTTGTGTTTAGAGTAGCTGTTGATCCTTTCGATAGTTTTAACCACACGTTAGATGGATTTGATACCGCGGTACTATCTTCTTTCTCGTATTTAACACTAGTTATGTCTGATGGAGATTGTATACTTTGAGAATTATTGTTTATGTGCTCGGTTGTCTCAGCAGCATTCATTTTCATGCTCCACTTATCTTCGTCTGCTACACTTATCAAATCTTTCAATACCCCCTCTTCAGAAGACAAGACACTGTTACCCTCGTATTTCGTACCTGAAACAATTCAATTCGATTCTGATGAATAGCAAGAATCTCTTCCTTGAACGTTCCTCTTGGAGGATAATTTAAAATTGAAATACCCACCTGATAGTTTAAACGTAGGTGATTCACCTGTATGAAAATCGCATTGGCCCGGGAACGTCTCCATGCACCAACCGCTTAAATCCTGAAAGTTTTCCTCCCACGTGGAGGATGCTGCTTTCTCCTCTTCTTTTGTTGCATTCGATTTTTGCTGCGGGAATATCCACGGTTCTTTCATCAACTCCGACTCCATCGTCGGTGTCAGCAAAGGAATCGTCGTATCCATTTTTGATGAATCTTCCCCGAGTGGCCTCGATCTCACGCCACGAGAAGCAAATGACAGACGCAGCTGACGGTTGCATGGCTTTGATACCTAGAATTTCATCTCTTTACATTTTTTTTTTTCGCCACGATTTGGTTGATCAACGATTTCCCTCTTGGCTAATTGGGAACTTACGTTAAACACGCCTCCTTTCTCAAATGAAATGTTGCTGGCCGTGGGGCGTTCGTACACAGGAGGGATTTTGGATACCTACAAAGAGAATAATCGATTTATACATAAATTATAACGTTCATAAGGACTATTTTTTATGTACTCTATTTATTTAGTAACAATTCGTATGTTATAACAATTATTTGGTCTGAACCATTCAAAGACATTAAAAATATCTTAATATAACAATTACAGACATACAGATAAAAATTATCAGTAATCCCATCTATCAAAGTTGATTACTGTGTAACAAGACCAATGCTAATTTATCATGATAACAGTATTAGTGTTTCGCAGAAAAGATAATGTTTTACATGCCCCAAGAAAGTGCTATCTATACTATCATGAATGATATCAAAACTTTATTAGCAAAACATAAAGTACAATCGAAAATATAAAATTTACATAGTCTGGAGTAATTTAGTTATCATAACGAGATAAACAATTGATGTACGAATATCTATTTTTAATGGAATTGTAAACAAAGATTTTTTTTTTATCATTGTTAACGTGTACATGCAAAATGAACATTTACGTACACAAGGAGCATGCATTTACAATTGGTGGGTTCTTTTTTTTAATACGAAAAGTATCCGTGATCGAAAGAGAACGTCACGGGACAACGTGTACAGTGCTGCGAACAGTGCTCGACTCATTGTCAGACCTGGTACACGCTTGTACCATATCGTCTGGCGACCGTCCAAAACGATCATGTTCGCAGCAGCTACGTTTTATCGAGCCGTCTCGTCTTTCGATATGTTTCTTATCGACCAGCGGAAGAAGTCTGTACATACCGTCGGGAAACGTTAATTTTACGTTGCTATCTAACTAACCTCTTGTTACGTAATGGAGAGCATCAACTGGGCATGTGACTATGAAATTTTCGCAAACCGGCTCACGTTACCGGAGTATTCGTTCGGGTAACGTTGCCGAATTTGCGTAGAAAACGAAGGGGGGAAAAAATGTAACTCGGAAGTTTCTGGAATGATATGTTTGAAATATATAGCCTAAAAGAGTAGCTACGACAGACAGACTCGCACACGTTTCATCGATCCGTAGTACAGTGCGCAGTGTAATATCAAAACGTTCGCAACCACGTCGATTAAACGACAGAATTAACTCGAAGAACGATGGTTATATAATCTAGTACCTACGAACAGAGTCCAACAGACAAGCACCAAGTATACATGAATACACGAAATTTAACGTATCGTCGATTCAAAAAATTCACTCACCCTCCTTGACACGTTCGATCTTGTCGTACTTTCCACCTGCAACGTAAAGAATTCGATTTATTCGGTGATTTGTAACCAGTTCACAGAAATATTTGTTCTACGATCCGGCAATGTCGTGCGCAACTAAATCACTGACTCTTGAAACTACCGAACCTAACCGAATCCTCGCCGCGGAATGCGAGCTGGAACGTCGGTAGTGCGGGATTAAACGCGTCACCGCGCAGTACTTGTCAACACTGTACACGGATTGGACGGTAGTGTACTCTGAGTACGTCACTTTCGACGAATAAGAGCGTGTATAACGTCAGCGTCGACCAATCGGTGCAAAGCACAGCTGCAGTGCTAAAAATTGGACACGTCACGACGGGGAATTTGGGTACTCGTTCAGTCGATAAACGTTTTCTTTTTCGTTTCTCAACGTTTTTAATTTATTTCAAAGATACATTCCTTAAGGAAAATTATTTTATTGTGATGCTATGATAGATATTGATTATTGAATAAAAGCTTTCATGCCGTCGAACGATAAACGCATTGGAGGCGGAAGAAACAAAAAGTCACTAAACGTTCAAATTGGTTTGGTGACACGATGCCGCATGATGCAAAAATCTCGGCTCGTTACAAGGACGTCGGAACAATTAGATATTACGTGACGATGGGTTAATTACAAAAAGATATAATGTATCGTGTTTCTCACGATTACGTCTATTTTCGAGTACCGTCGCCTTACAAATGTAATGTTATCGTTAGAGTACATCAATAGTGTTCGTACTGAATACAACGCGGTTACTAGATGGAGTTAACAGTACCCTGTTGCGTGTATCGCACGTGACATATACGTATTTAGAGATAGAAATCGATCGTAAATGTGGATAGTACATATTTGAAACTGCGCGTCATTTTATTTCGTATCCGAACGTCTTTCGTTTGCTATTTTCTATTCCTTTTTTCAAAAGTGGAAACGAGAAATCGAGTGGACCAACATGAGAGTGACGCATCCGGAAGTCTTGTTTGAATCGGGGGGAAAATGTGTGTTGAAATAACAAGTTTTTTATTTTCATTTGTTATGTTTTAATATTTCCATAAAATTTATGGACACACGTTGAATTCATAAACATTAGAAGGCATAATTTTAATTTATATCTATATCGAAACAATGAGTTGTTTCGACCAAACTTTTCCATCCACCATCATCCATTAACCATATTTCATTTTAATTAATTAACCAAAGAAAAAAGGAACATGTTATCCAACAGATAACCATGTAATTAATTCAAGTCCGTCTGAGGAATCCATAGATTACGAAACAGGATAATCTTAAATACAGAAACTCGTGATGAACAAAACAGATTCCACCGATCTTACGAATCGCATTAAGGTGATAACAATGGTGAATTACAATTACAAAACCGCAACGAAATTAACGAATAGTTGAAATCTTTCAGTCGTTGTTGGAGATAATGACGAATAATTGTTCAGAAGGTAAAATATATTAATAAATGCAGGTCGAATTTAACAGTGTTTTCATCAGTTTTTAAATGATAGATAAAAATTCTGAAGATGAAGAGTATTCTATCAGTTCGGATGAAATGAGCTCGGAAAATGATGATAACGACGATATTCAATCTGATTTAAGCGAAACTGGAGATTTTTCCAACGAAGACTACCATTCCACCGTATTTCGTTTGAATAAATTTTTTCGAGACCACGTAGAGAATACAGAGAAACACCTACCTTCAACCTTGAATAATAATGAACCTAATAATATACAGTTCGAGGAAAAAATGTACAGGGTTATCCCGTTAAAATTGGACGAGAAAGTCTTGAAATCAAAGATCCCGTTCGTTCTAAATAAAAATAAAAATCAAAGGAAATAATGCTAAGGAAAACCACGGTATATTATCGAAATACATTTTATTAATAAAAAAAACAACCGTTTGTTAAAGTTTTTACAATACAAATGGAAAACAGCGTCGTAGGCAATGGTTCAATTGAATTGTGAACTGTTCAAAAAGTCCTAAGAATTCCATATTTATATTTATACATCAAGGGAGATGAGAAAATTCATTATCGAAGATAAATAAAATATACATTAGGGGCAGTATACGGTTTCCTGTCTTTGTTTCTGAGTATTTTCATTTGCAATTAGTCAATTAAGATTAATCGCACATTACAGAGAGCTATATTTCTCTGTAAAAAGTATAAAAAATAAAATTCCTAGAACTTTTTGAGCAGCAGACACTAAGGCGTTCGTGTTGCCTCTTCGATCGATCTGATCGATTTTGATTTTTCCTCAAACTGGGTTCACCATATATTTGGCAACGCTCACAAACGATCCTCGATTTACGGTATTCGAGGTTGAACCGTTTGCCACACGGCATTATATTACAGCGAGTGTGATACATCACCTATAGTAACAAACAAAATATAAATCCGCTTATGTATACGGTGTACTGACATACATGCACACGCTTCCTTCTCTCGTTCGCACCACGTTAAATCCTGCGGGAATTCTCGGGGGTTGAGGGGCTTTTAGTTAATCGATAGAAGATAAAGAGTCCTTAACGCCTAAGTTGGTATTAAATTACAAAAAATTACAATCTCGTACACGTAAGTCTTGTCGACGCTCGATACGCGTCCTATTCATCGATTACCGTGCAATCGACCGGTTGGGTGCCGAAACAACGATCTCGTGGAATCGATAGATCGTCGTTCCAGGACTCGATCGTCTGGTGGTCGATTAACACGCACCGCTTCGTCTCGTACACGTCCGAGGGAGTTGAAACACGACGAAATTTCGCGAACGTCCGCGAACCGTCGGATGGGTACAATTCGTCGTTTCAGAATAATAAATAAAATTGTTCGATGCGGCGTGATGGTTATTTTCTTTGAAATTTCTACATTGGTAGAACGCGGACCGCTCTTCGTGGTCACTGGCCCTCGCTATCACTGTCGCTCTTGTCTGAAAAAAATAATTGTTCGTTTATTATTCTTCTTATCGACGTTTCCACCCATTCGTTCTGCGTAAATAAACGTTGGCCAGGCGTGAACAGAACATGAGTCAGTGTGCATCGCAAATAAAAATGTACGATTAATGTTCGAAAGAAATACCAACCTTTTTTACCAGGATACGCGTGACGCTTCAGTCTGTCGTAAAGATCGTCCTTCGTTCCATAAATGCTGGCGTTGGAACGAGCAAGACTGTTCATTTTACCATTGTGCAGGCTCTCTAAAAGTAGCGATAAAAGGACACTCGTGAAACATCATTTCTCTGCAATCGGATGCACTTCCTTCATGTTGGTTATCTATTTTCTTCTTTATACTGACTCTTACCTTTCATGTAGGTCTCGTTGTAGAAGTTGGGCATTTCCCAGCCATCCTCTTCATCGTCGTAGTAATGAGCGTAGGTGCTGTGATGCGAGGGTGCTATGGATTCCGCGTATGGCGTGGGTGCACCATAATAGAAGTTCACCTGTGAACCGTTCTGATCGGTCGCCGGAGTAAGCATCTTCTTGGGTTCCTTCTTTCGCGAAGCTCTATAGATACAAAAATTCGTTACTCCACTATTCGTAACTTTATCTAATTAAAAAGATTAAGGTTAACGAACCTAACGCAAATCATCCATACTAGTAGAACGACAAAGATAATTAGAATGACTCCACCAGCGATGCCACCAGTGATATAAAAGAATTCAGACTTTTCTGTGCATCGTTTGCCAGTAAAGCTTCCGCTGCATCTGCAGGACGGTTGTCCTCGCGAATCCTTCAGACATACGCCTTCGTTGTCACAGTAACCCATGCACACGTCCGTGCACTCTGTTCCGGTTCCGTTGTATCCTGGCTTGCACTCGCACTTGAAGTCGCTCGTTTCTGGTATCAACAAGCAGTATGCATTCGCGTCGCAGTGCATCTCTGCGTCACTCGTCTCGCATGGATTCGTGCAGTCCGTTTTGCTTGTCTGATAAGATGAAAAGATGGATATTTAGTAAAATAGAGATACAGCAATGTTAAAATGCCTACTTACAGCTTTTGTTCCTTTGGTGCTGGTATTAGGCGGGCATGGTATACAGAAGGTCTGTTGAGGCTCCGACTGATAGGTTCCCTTCTTGCACTCTATGCACTCGTTCAGCGTTCCATTCAGATAAGTGCCTGGTTCGCATACTGGTAGAGAACACTCTTCGATAGCTGCAGAGCCCATGTTTGGCGTCGTCCTACCTACAGGACACGCCTGGCATGCAGCCTGAACACCCTGAGTCCTGTAAGTTCCTCTAGGACAAGGCTCGCATTTTCCTTCCACGGCTAACTGCTGTCCAGAACCACACTCGTCTCTGCACTCCTCGCGAGACACCGCCTCGGCTGTCCTGGTAGTTTTACCCAAGCCGCATAACAAGCATGAAAAGCTACCCTCGTTAGGTTGGTAGAAACCATGACCGCAACTTCGGCAGAGACCAGCCATGTCATCGTAGTACTTTCCAGCCGGGCAACGTTCCTTGCAGTCTGCTGCACTTCGGGCACCCGGTCCCACCGTCACGCTAGGACGACCCGCTATCACGGGACAGGAACTGCATTTCAACTGACCCGATTCGCTTTGGTACTTTCCGACGGGACACGACAGGCACTGCTTCGTTTCTTCGTCGTAGTACGTTCCCACGGCACAGGGCACTGTAGTATGAATTTAAGTATCATTTGGAAGTTGATATCACTCAGAAATTACTAATTCGAATTTTTACTCACCGCAATCAGGCGCCATAACGACTTGTCCCACGGGGCAATCGTAATCAGATTCCAGAGTCAAGGATGCTGGATCAGGTACAGTGTTCGGTAATATATCGTGAACGTCGAATTGGTCCTCTTCCAAGATCAATCTCTCCAATAATTGCTGAACAGTTGCTCTCTCGTTCGAGTTAGCGTTCAGAATCGGATCGCTATAAAACACAGAATCTTTGTTAAATCTTCGAATTGACCATCCATTACTTTAGCGATAGGCGAAGGAGAGTATGCGCAAATATGTACAGCCGTTATCTGAAGGTAAACAGGCAGCCTTTCCATTGGTTCCTCGCCAACAGTGTTGTCTATCGACACCTATTAATCGTGTACCTACGTTTAATGCTAAACGTATCCTGGAACTCCGATGCATTACATGTCCGAGTGTCGTTGTAATGTTTAATGTTTTATTACTGTGAACCGAAGCTGTTTGGTACTCGAAATGATCGAAAATTTTTATTTAAAATTATATTCATAGTTCGTTTATCGACATGGGTACATGTACCCAACAACTTGATTCAATGTCCAGTGTTACAAAACCGTTCGAGTTACGTTGTTATTCTACTATCATATCGTTGGTCCCTAGTTAAGTATCCGTATGAGGGAGTCCCATTGATGCTAGTCGTCGTGGGTGAACAGTTAGTAACAACGTGCATGGTCGGTTAGGGTCGACTTGACAAAGTTGTCAGTTTCATTCGTACAGTTACGACAATTTGACAACCCTTTTGGTGCAACATGCTAATAGAATCTTTAATTACATTCTAAATATTTTAATTATATTTTGGATACCATCTACGCTTGTTAGATGGTTATAATCATCTCGTCGTACCGAAAGGGTTAAAATCGACCTTGTTCATCATTCTCCTTATTCACATTGACACGGAGAATATGGCATTTCAGGTTACTTGTCGAATTAGTTTGAATTTTGTGAGTAACGTTATGCATAGCGTTTCGTTTTCTCCGTGTATGTATCGTTCATGCATCGCGTCGCTTAGAGATGGTACAGTTTTGAATGTCGCTAGTATGAATTTTACACATGATATACAATGATATGTTTTGCGCATGGCGTAAATCGAGCTGTTCTTACTTTATCGCTGGGAACGAGATCTCCACCTCGTAGGTATCGCTGCCTTGCCGCGCCTGTCTCGTTCTACGATGCAACACAAGTAACAAATGCTCAGTACTAAATCTTTTCACTAATTATCAAGCTGAACAAAACTTCATTCTATCTAATTAAACCTCGTCGAAATGAAAATCTTATCAGACGCAAACTCTTTGAAAGGAGATAGTTAATGCAATTTACGAAGAAAGTATAGAAGGATAATTAATACTTACGGTTCTGCTGGTACTACTGCTGAAATGATATAAGTGCCACCATCCTCTTCGCTCGTCTCTCTTGTGGTCCGTGCTCGATGGTCGCATTGGACATCGATGTTTAAGTCCTTGCACTCGCGAGTGCCTGTAAAATACACGTGAGATTCGATGAAGTTGAGGCAAAAAATTTAAATAGTAAAGATGACTTGCCTTCGAAAGAATATGAACAGAAGTTCCAGTCTCTGTTCAGAGAGTTCACAGCATCTCGAACCTTTTTCTTCAGCACTCCTTGTCCAGCTTCGTTACAGAGCACCGAGGTTGGGAAGTTCATTTTAATTCTGAATACTCGTTGAGCGGATGTAGCACCTGGATAATGCAGGAAATGTTATTAACCCTTTCGTTACCAAGGGTGCCAAAGTTTTGTGAAACTAAAGCTTACTGGTGCAAGCAGGATAAATCAAAGGTAGAGATGGATCGTTCGTTGGTCTCCAAAAACCTTCCGCTCCACAGGTGTAGAATTTCGGTACTTCTTGAGAGAATCTAAGTCCAGAATTGCAGAAGATTTCGCAAACCTTAAATTGCCCACCTGATCCCCAATCTTTACATTGTTGGGTTCCTCCAATCGGATCAGCCAGTTCCGGACAAAAGTCGGCTAATGAATAAAATAAATGAATTATCAAAGAATAACGAAGTAAAATAACCATGAAAGGTTTACTTACACAAGACGTAGACCTTGAAGTTGCAACTGGCAGAATTACCAGCCTGGTCATAAGCCACGTAACTAATGTCGTAAATGCCCCACATCAAAGTCTGTCCAGATCTGTGTCCGTTCTTCTCTTGAACTCTCACTATGCCCACATTATCGATGAATCGTGGTTCATCCCAAGTGACAATAGACGAACCGTTCTTGGCAATTACCCAAAGATCACCAGGGCAGTGTTCTACTTTCGGTGGAATCTTGTCAGACTCCAATTGTTGGCATTTGCTGCCACCGTATCCGGGTGGGCACACCCTCTGTCCACAGTGGGATGGTACCACTCGTTCTACCCCACCGATAGTCTCGTCGTAACCTGCCCAAGTCAGCACCAAACCTTGATAGAGAACAGGTTCGGTACGACAATCGCGTACTTGTTTCTGGATCTCGTTGGTCACGTGCAAAGCTCGACTCCAGATCTGAACTTTGGTCAAATGGCCCTGGAAACCCGATTCGGTGTAGCCCTTCGCATTTTCACTCTGTGGTTTTCCTAGTACTGCCCAAGCACTGGAAAAATTCAAATTTTAATTTTCTTGATTTTCTTGAGAACATCCCTGCGATCGAGTGTACCTGATGTACGGTATACTTACTAAGCAGGCAGGGATCTACCGCTTCCATATCCTTCAGTCTTGCTAGCAATTAAGCCCTCCGTAATCAAGATCAATTCACCGCCATTCTCCCCGTTCCAAACTACTGCTACGTGATGCCATTGACCGTCGTTAATGGTCGCATACTCTCTGAATGGTAGGTAGACATCTTGAAGATCATGGAACAGAGAAACCTGAACACCGTTGCTGTGTGCTTGGATCATAAGTCTGCGATTCATTGGGACATGAGGCGAGCTGTGAAAAATTAAACACACAGACATTAGAATATTACTGCTGAACGATTTTCTGGAGCCCTTTTTATGAGAATCTACCTCACGGCATAGAGGGTGAAGAATATTCCAGCTTCGTCTTTCTGGGTATATTGCACCCACATGGCTACCGTTAAGCTTTTCCTTGTTCCGGTGAAGAATGGAATCACTTGAGCCGCGCTGCTGCGGGCTGGATCGCTGAAGTACAAGTCGTAATCCACTTGGATGGCTGTACAAGAATGATTAATTTTACATTGTTTAAAGTTGAATCCTTTGAAGAAAGTCTTCAAGTATACTTACACTTCCTACAATCGTCGCCAGTTAGATTGAAAGGGCACTGGCAGAAGAATTTACCAGTGAGGTCGATGCAAGTCGCCGATGGAGGACAAGAATTCTCTTTGCAATCTACTATATCATCTTCACACGTTTTACCTAAACAACAAATTATATACATGGTTAAATTCCATTGTTATTACAACTGTGAGATAAATTATGTGAATTACCTGTGTATCCTGGTGGACAAATGCAAGTGAACCCAGGACCTTCATCGATGCAAGTAGCTCCATTTTTACATGCGCCAGCTTGGCAAGCATCGTATTCGTACTGGCATCCAATTCCAGTGAAATCATCAGGACAAGTGCAGTTAAGTCCTGATCCAAAGTCCTGGCAACGTCCACTGTGCATGCAAGGGTTTCCAATGCAACGTTCTGGGGCAGTTTCGCACTGTTTCCCATCCGTACCCGATGGACATCTGATTCATAAAAAGATCATAATCAAAGATACATTCAGTTATGTGAACTAATTCAGTCTCCTGATGTTAATGCTACTTACACGCAGAAGTAATCCAAGAATAAATCCACACACGCTGCGTCATTTTGACAAGGATGATTTTGACACATGCCAACATCGACCTCGCAATGGACTCCAGTCCAGCCTTCTGGACACATGCACTTGAAACCACCAACTTCGTCCCTGCATGTGGCGCCATTTAAACAAGGACCAGATACACAGTCGTCGATGTTGATCTCGCAGGCAGCACCAGTGTAACCCTCCCGACAGTGGCACACAAACGTATTATCCAGGTCCACGCAACGGTCAGTTCCGACTGGACTGCAAGGATCACTGAGACACTCGTCCAGTTCTGCCTCGCATTGAAGTCCAACGAATCCTGGTCTGCATTTGCACACGAATCCTTCTAATTGATCCAGGCAAGTGCCTCCATTCTGACACGGTTCAGAAGCACAGTCGTCAATCGTGTGCTGACACTGTTTGCCGGTGTAGCCTGGTTCACAGGTACAGGTGTATCCATCAACCTGATCGATACACTGGCCGTTGTTTCGGCACGGTTTATTGGAACATTCGTTGATGTTGATCTCGCAAGCTGCCCCAGTCCATCCAGGATGGCAGATGCACTCGTGGCTAAACAAGTTGTCCACGCATATTCCGTTCAGACAAGGATTACCTGAGCACAGGTCTATCTTCTCGTGACACCGTTTACCGGTGAATCCTGGAGGACAATCGCAAGTAAAGTCAGCCACGAGATCGGTACAGTTGGCTCCCAATAGGCAAGGTTTCTCAGCACAGTCGTCAGTGTTGATCTCGCAGCTCTGACCCTCCCATCCTGGTAGACAGTCGCACTTGTAGCGGCCCTGTTGAAGAGCCACGCAAGTTGCACCGTTGTTGCAGGGATTCCCACTCGCGGTGCAGGGATTTATCTGAAATCAAACATTGTAATGAAGAAAATGTAACAATTCGAACATTTCAAAGCATTCAACGATGGAAGTAACTCACAGTGATATCGCAATCCACCCCGGTGTATCCAGATCTGCACAGACACGTGTAGTTGCTGAATCCAGGCTCGTCCTTGCACATCGCCCTTTCAGGACAAGTGTCGTTCGAACAATCTGATTTCTCCTCCTGGCAATTGATGCCAGAGTACCCGTTGGCACATTGACACCTGTATCCCTGCGGTAAGTCTATGCAAGTCGCTCCGTTGTAACAAGGTTGAGAGGCGCATTCGTCGATGTCAATTTCGCAGCGCCTTCCAGAGAACCCAGCAGGGCACACGCACTGTACACCGTGCCCCATGGGCACGCACAAGCCCCCATGTTGACAGACACTGTCGGTACACTGTACTGGCTTGCATTCTTCTCGACCAACTGCACCTGGACCATCCGTGTACATGTTCGTCGGACATTCCATGCAGGTGGTAGCTCCGTGTTGCGGTTGGAAGAAGTCTTTTGGACATTGGGCACACGGGGCCAGTCCAGTGTCCGAGTACATGCCCGGAGCACACTTTGCCCTACATCGATCCCGACCTGGAGCAGCTGGTTGATAAGTGAAGGTTCCAGCTGGACAAGTCTGACAGTCTTTGTACCCGCCAACAGGTGGTTCCCCGGTATAGCTGTTCCTGGGGCACTCCAGACATGGTACCAACCCAGTGGGCGAATAAGTGCCGTACCCACAAACTGGAATGCAGTCGTCTATGCTCTTCGAACCTTCTTCTCGAGTGTATGTGCCGAATGGACAACGTAAACAGCTACCCTGACGATCGCTGTTCTGATAGAAGCCCTTGGGACAGGATGTGCACTGCTTTTGTTTTTCTCCTGCGAAGGTTCCAGCTGGACAGTGGACTGCAATGGAAAATATTTAATTAAATGAAAGATATTAAGTGAACTTTGAATATGAGAATTATCTACGTACGACATCGTGGAACATCATTGGTGTCCATGTTCAGAACTTCACCAATGCTGCAAGTAAAACCTCTTGTGATGGAAGATTTCAATGCTCGAAGAGGTGGACATTGATTTCCAATGGCTGACACGTTCAACAAAGGCTCAATAACTGCGCTGGTGGATGGAACAGATAAGTCGAAGATCAAATTCAGTGTCGAACCACAAAGATCGTACAACTGAGGCTGGCGTATAGCTGGGACGATGACGAGTATGAAATCCATCTGAAAATTAGAGATGCATCATTATTTCATCATAAAGAGGTTCATCTTTCATCTTCTAAGCACAATACTGACCTTCAAGACATTTTCTTCGAGCAAGTAGGGCACAGATCTCACGAACGATACGTTCATATTCACGTTAACCGCAGAGCAACGTTGGGTTAAAATATTATTTAGATTCATGTAGTACTGAGACATAAGATCTTGATATTGTGGCAGACATGATCTTGAAACTGCACCATTGGCACGATAGGTCACTGCTGCAACTACGTGATAGTTTGCCTGTTGCGTATCTGTAAAATATGATGGCTTAACATATCTGAAATTATGATTGAACAATTAGAAAGACAGAAAGAAGGACTAACTTTCTGAAACACAGTCAGGGACAACAGAAGTAGGAGACCAGTGTTTAGCGACGTCACAGGTGAACGTCTTCACCGGTGCACCATCGGTGAATCGGTAACCATTCTTGCAAGTGGCTATGCATTGCATTCCTTTGTCACCAGGGACGCACTTTAGTCCTCCATTAGCCGGTGTCTTGAGCTCCCAATCAACACAGGGGGTTGCTTGTACAGACACTTGGAAATGGCAAGATGCCCTATTTCCACTCGAGTCTGTTGCATAAACTGTTACATTCTCGAAACCTCCAATTTGTATTAATGCTCTTTCCGGGACAAAGGTGATCTTCACAGGACCTGATGCATCCGTGGCGTTGATTCGTCTTCGAGTCTCATTGAAATTAACTGAATAGCTTTCCTGTTTCTCGACCAGTTCGATCACGTAGCTCTGAGGACAACTTAGTTTCGGTGGTGTCACATCTGAAAAGAGTGCATAAGACATAGACCCAATTATCAAAATATTTATTAAACTGAAAAATAATTGGTATACTGACCAGGCACAGTGATGTTGATCTCGCAGATAGCCACGTTTCCGTCATAATCAAATGCCACGTATTTAACAACCGTGTCCTCGAACACCCGCAACGGGGTTCTAAAACTATGGGGTTTGACTTCGAGCCGGGCTATACTGCCACTGTTGTCGATAGCCGTGGGTTCCGTGAAGTTGACAGGCAACAGACCACCATCAGCTCCCTTCTGTACCACTATCGGTTGTTGAGGGCAGTTCTGGAACACTGGAGGTTCGTTGTCCACGCAAGGAGAGAATCCATAATCGTAACCTAACAGAGGCTCCGCGACAGGCTCCTCGCATCCCATCAACTCGAACTTCAAGCAAGCGTTGTCCATGTAACTAACGATTCCCAGGATCACGAAACGTGCTTGGACGTATTTGGGCAGGGTGATCATCGCTAATTCTCCATAGTTTCCTGGATCCCTCATCGTGAGATTGAAATTCGGGAAATAGACAACGTAGTTCTCGTTTTCAGCTTGTTTGTAGAAGAATCTGATCTCTGTTGGTCTTCCGACCACATCGTTGGTCACTACACCTTTCACCAGGATCGCTTTCACCCTGAACACTTGACCCAAATCGACGCTGACGTAAGTGAACGCCTCCTGCTTGCCACACCAGCCAGTCACAGAGTTCAGACGAACGTTCTTGGCTTCGTAGTTGGGCCTTTCAGAGGTTGCGTTGATCGCAGAGTCTGGAATTCGACCGGAAGCCAATCCTAAAGGTTTAACGACCTTGCATTCTGGCTCTCGGACGCAGACTATGGGTCTAGGGTTGATGAGAATGTATCCTGGCCTGCTGCATCCGAACTGAACTTCTGATCCTTGCTCGTAGCTTCTGGCTACTTGGTAGCCATCGCTTGGTCGACCAGGGTCTTCGCAAACTGGACCTTCGCATCGCAGGTTCCCAAAGTCCCAAATTCCATTAGCCTGACACCTGACCACGTTGTCGTGGCGGTTCGTTTGTCCAGCAAGTTTGAACGTGTCCTGACATCCAAAGAAAAAGGACGACTGATACTTCGTGTCCAGGTACTGTCCGTATTCAGCGCCAGGTGTAGGAAGAGGTTTCCCACAATCGGCTCTGGGACATGCGGGCTGCGATCCTGAGAGCCAATAGTCTGGGAGACCTGATTTTGGATCGTAAACGCATTGACGAAAGCCTGAGGTAGCTGTGTTTCGCAAGTATCGGCCATTACTGCCACATTTGAGGGTGACGTTTTGTTTGAACGGTACCAGGACACTAGCCTCGTCACTGCGGATCACTGACAGACCCTCGTTCTTGTCGTCTGGTAGGGACACACACTTGGCATCTGAAAAATTAGTAATTCCATGTTAATATCAATTATCGATGTTTAATAATTCGTTACTTACATTGACATTCCGGTGTCGTCCCGTTCCAAGCACCACTAGAGGTACAGATCACTGCTGAAGAGCCGGATAAAACGTAGCCAAAGTTGCATTGGAATTTCACGAGGTCACCGAAATGATGCTGTAACTGTAGATGAAGTAAAGACGTTAACATCGTTTCTTTCATTGATTATATATCGATTTCGTACCTTGGTGGATAGAATCTTTCCATTTTCTGGGGCCGATAGAGAGGGGCACATGACAGGCACGCAAGTTTTATTCTTCTGGAACAAATCACCATCCCTGTCGCCAGTTTCGTACTTCTCGATGTGGAAGCCAGCGGTACCGTTGCCCTTGTACAATTCGTATCCAGTATTGCACATGCACGCGTAGCTACCAGGATTGTTGATGCACTTCTGGTAGCAGCCACCGTTGTTCGTGGCACACTCGTTGATGTCGGTGCACTCTAGTCGAGTGCAGCCCATGATTTCGAGCTTCATGCATGGTGCACCAACGTAGTCCTGTATCCTGAACCTCACGTAACGTGCTTCGATGGGGACTGGCAGGTTCAGGACAGACAGAGTGGGTTCTAGTATTCTAAACTCCACTGGTGTTCCATCGGGATTAGTGTAGTCTTTGAAGATGTCCGTTAAATTGTCTGTGTACTGAATTCGAACTGCCGAAGTGTAGGCTATATTGCCATCCACTCTGGAAACGATCTGAGTACGGAAACCACGGATGATAGTTGGGGCTTTCATATCGATCATCACCCAATTTGCACCTGGTTCGATATTGTTTCCACACCATCCATCGCCACTGTTCAATCGAACGCCCTTGAAATCAAATGTTGGAAATAGTTAGGCCAAGTTCGTCCGAAAAGTACATCAGAGAGGAAGGTGTAATTTCTACTCACAGTTTTAGTGTATCCGTTTTCAGAACTCGATACGGTGATGGACTCGTCTGGGATACCACCATTTATTAACCCAAGATCGCCTATGGGTCTGCATTCCATAGTTGGCGCGAAGCCAGGCTTGCACTTGCAGGTGAATGCACCAGGATTGTTAATGCATTCAGTGGAAGCCAAGTCGCATTGGCTCGATGCACACTCGTTTATATCTGATATATGAAACTCATAAGTGAAAACCGGTTCAATTTAAGACTATAAACAATCAGTCGTACCTTCGCAAGTTGGAACGTTGTCGAAATACTGATTAGGCCCACACTGTATGATATTGGACCCAGATAACTTGTAGCCTCTGTTGCATTGGACCCTGGCTTCATCTCCATAAAAGTAGTCCTTGGTCGTGTCGACTATGAAGCCATTCTTGATCGTGGGTAGCAATGGGCATTTCGCACCTACGCAAAGTTATTGTCAATTGAAGACATTTTGCAAGCTGTTGCTAAAGAGACCGAAGCTCGAACTCGGATATCCTGTTTCTAATCTCCTTAACCCAAATTGCTGTCATTATACAAGAAAATAGTGACTCACGTGAACAGGTTGGCACTTGGTCGGACCAGGTACCATTACTCATGCAAAGAATCACGGGATGTCCGCTTCTGACGTAACCTGGCTCACACTCGAATCGAACTATCGTTCCATAACTACGACCACCTCCATTCAGAATGGTTATGTTCGAGTGAGGAGCTTCCGGAAGAGGAGAACACTGAGAGGCTACAGAAAGGACACATTAGTACCATTTAACAGTTATATCCATGTCCTGGATGAAAGTAGGACGACTTGACCTGACTCACCTAAGCAAGATGGCTTCTTTTCCCATCTTCCATCAGCCATACAAGAAATTTTCTCGGTAGGACGACCGGAAGGAAATGCGAATCCTGCGTAACACTGATAAGTAGCCAGTCCACGATAAGTGACATTAGAGGAACCAATGGAGAAACCGTTGTCAATTTGTGGCACAGGACCACAATAGACCTCCTGACAATTGGGGATGTACGTGACGGACCAATTTCCACCTGGCAGACACTCTGTAGTAATCTTAGACTTGCCAGTGGCAAACTCTTGGCCCAGAGGACAGGAGAACGTCACTGCTGTACCAAAAGCAGTGTCCCTGCTAGATGCCAGTGCACCTTCGCCAGATTGAAGATACGGGCAGTCTGTGAAATGGAATGTTAAATATTGAGAAGAGCTTCTGCATAGGTATTGTTACTTCGGTGCAATCAAGTTACCTGCTGAGAACTCTGCTTGCCATCCAGAACTGCTATGCAGGGCATCAGAGGTGAACCTAACTAGCATCTCTCCACTTTCGGCTGTTAGGGTAATCTTTGGCGTTGTGTTTAACGTGAATCCATTTCCGGGATGCAGACGTAGGCCGTTCGTATTGGGACCATCGTATATCTACGTAACAAAGTTCAGTTCGTTTTAGTATCAGGGTTACTCTGAAAGTTTTAAGAATCGTCCTCAGTTACCTGCACAAAATCAGTCTTGTGCACGTTGAAATTCACAAACTTCAGGGACAATGGTCCTCCCTGAGGATTCTTCACTCTGTAGAGACACTCTTGATTGTTGGGGTAATCGTTCAGACCAAACGAGGGCGACTGAACCGTCCCGTTTCTTGCAATGATGGTGGCTTTGCAGCCTTGCGTGTAACGAATACTGAAACCTCGTCTCGAATCTCCGAGGCTGGTCTTGAAGTACAAATACAAATTACTTCCTGTGGACATGATCACTGTCGGATTGTCCTCTGCTTTGCCAGTCAGTCTAGCGATCGGTCTGCTCATCGGCGAGTCTCCGTCTCTGATGAGGATGTAATCTCGATTCATCTCGAGATCCAAGTCTTCGATCTGAAACCACGATGGTATAAAATGATTCGTTTCTTTTATTAATTCAATACCATCGGTTCCTTGAATTACACACCTCCAACGACATGATACGACCAGGCTGAGCCTGCAAGATGTACAGGCATTCTAGACCTCCAGGATAATTCTGTGGATATCCTGGAGAAGTTAACACCTGTCCCTGAGGTGTCGCTCGAAGTATTCCACCACAGGTTTGCGGTTCGGTTTTCCACGAGGCGCGGAATCCTTTCCTCTCTACCGACGAATCTGTGCTAAATTTGATGATCATAAAGTTCGAGGCTGAAACGAACAGCCTGTTGCTCAACTCCTGTTTGCCAGAAAGGGTCGCAAGATTCACTGATTTTTCTTCTGTTCTGCCTCCTACCAGTATCTGTACTATGTCGAAGCTCTTTTCTGTTTCGAATTCTTGAAACTGGAAAAGAATTGGATGATTTTTAAAATTTTTCAAACACACCAGACTAGTTATCTTTTAAGTAAAGTTTTAACTTTCCGCATTCGTGTGCGTTGAGAAACTCTCGGAAATTCTCACGGTTTATCTCGAAAATAGAATATAAAGAACGTGTCGCGACCACATCCTGCGTACCTGTAAAAGGATGTTATGCCCTTGAGGGCCCTCAAGGGTCCACTTGCAGTTACTGAGGGGTGCATATTTGTGCGGATAATTAGGACTCTCCACGACGTCACCGCTGCTCGCCATATAAAACTGGCAATTCGTAGGGCAATCGATCTCGTCCGAGAAATCACCGCAATCATCCTGTTTGTCACACTTGAATGCCGCGTTTACGCACTTGCCATTCGAGCAGTGAAACGAGCCTAAGGAATAAATTAATTTGATAACGTGGCCGATAAACGATGCGTTTGAATGATGATAGTCATCGGGTGTGAAATGATTTACCAGCTGGGCAAGCGTTGGCACGGCACATGAAAGGAAGCAAGGATTCACATGTGGTTAGCTCCCACGTTTGTCGGTCGTCCGTCAACGCGACGTCCACGCATTCACCTGATTGCGGATTCGGTTGCCTCGACGCCCAGAAACCTGAATACCAAAACCTTTTAGCATCTTTTTGTTTGAGGAAATTTTCATGAATACCAATGAAGGTGAAGAGTTATCAGGTTCGAAGCTAATCTTGGCATTTTTAGAAATCGTGTAAACGTGTTTCCAGAACTCGAAATAATAAATTGATGATCCTGAAAAATTGAAAATTGAGGCTACTTCCATAGAAATGGAAATTTTGTCGCTAGATTTGTCGGCCGTACAGGTAGCTAAAGTGAAAGAAATGTTATGCAAATGTACGCGAAACGTAGCAGACTGGTAAATTGCTGCTTGCACCGGTGCAGACGTAAAAGCGACGGTATGCGGGCATTGTTGTGGGAAAAGTGTGTCTTCGTGTCGTATACACGGTGCAGTTCCGCGTTTCCGTGACCCCGATGAAAACCGGCCGGTGTACACAGGTGTACACGAATACGTTCGATCGTTAGGAAAAAGGAACAATTCTTCGAACGATTTCAGAACGAGCTGTTTGAATCGGAATAAAATTCTACGTAGTCGACGCCGCGAATAGTTCGTTCACCTTAACTACCTGAAAACTTCCCGCCAGACGATCCGTAGCGCCAGTTGAATTTCAAATTCAAAGGAAAAGTGGGCTCGACGAGAATGGTCGGGCTAGTAACCGAAGCGAAACATTGTTGTACAAACCGGCGTATTGAGAGACGAGCATTCCTGCCGCTGATTCGAGCGTGTTGGTTCGTAAATCGTCGAGGGAAGCCAGACCCAGCCAGTAACGATCCAAATGCCGGCCGATCATACTCGCGGACATGTTGTTCTCGCTGTACGACTCCACCACCATCAATTCGCTGCCGTACCTGTAATCGCAAGTCGATCCGTTCGTTCTTTCAATCATTCTAACGTGTACTTAGTATTACACGAAGACGCCCCGCGAACTCTTCTTCGTTCCGCTTCGAGTAAACCCTCGACTTTCCGTAGAATTTTCCAATCGTCTTCGCGACATCGACTTACCGTCGTGTCAAACGTTAAGAATATAGGTTGATCATAAAAAGTATTAAACGAGTGATTCGCATCGATCAGATTTTCTAATTAACAGATAGTAGAGCAGTAAGCTTGATAGAAAGGCTATTGACGATTGATCCACTTACCTCCTGCATAGTTCCGCCGCCTTTTCCCAAGAGTGCCTGATGTTGAAGAATTTGTAACAGTGTATGCCTCTCAGTTCCCATCCTGAACAAAAAAGAACCGTGTTACGTGTTATCTTCATTACGTGTCGATTGAGAGTCATCAGTCTAATTTCTGCAAAATTCTTCTGGAATTATAATCCCCTGTCTTATCGTTAGGGTGTCACTTGCAATCATAATGGAATTATTTAAAATGAACAATTTTTACAGACAATTCATTTGATAATTGTCTAATTGTCATATTATCGATTGTTCATCTCAATGTCGTTTACAGGAAACGCGGTTAACCGGTGACCTGTACAGACAGTGACGGACACATCGACCTCGATCGTTTTCAGTGCGACGCACCATGTGCGCGCAGAGTCAAAGGTAGGTCGCTGGGTAAACGGGTAATGCATTGTAACTGAGAATCGGCGACGAGTGAAACGTCTGCTAATGTTGACCATCCGAACTGAGAAGAATTGTAAGAAGCTAGGTAGCTCTTACGATGGCAAAGAGCAATGTCTTTCAATTTTGTTCCTGATGTACGTCTTCATCCGTAATTTCTATCTTACTATATTATTATAGTAAAAATATCGACGAGAATTTTATCACCTGTATGCATCAATGATTTCTTGATGCAGTTTACGACAGCCTTCCTTTCTTTTAAAAGGTCAGACGGTCAGACTGGTACCACGTATGCTTCTTTCTTCACGCCTATTAACATTTCTCGTCCCATAATAACGCGTTATTTTCCACTTCGGAGTTTAGAAAAAGAACTGGTCAGCTACTTACAAATAGCTCCTAGAGATTCCTTACAATCATAAAAAAGGAATTCCAGATTACCTTAGTCGTTGACTTAAAAGTTGAAGAAAACAGTTACATACCACCCAAAGTGTACCCAAGTTATCCCAACCCTTATCAAAAAAAATTCTGAAACTCTGAAAGGTTTAAGGATCGAACCCCTTTGAATTGGATCATCGATGACCACCATAGCCGTCATACTTTGAAGGATCCTGTTCGTTCCGGTTCCCTGATTTCTGTCCCGTCCGATAAGGATCGCTCGTAGATCCTGCGCGGATGATCGACGATGGTCGCGGCGTCGTTACCGGATGCTCCACTTTTTGGAATCCCGTTCGGACATCGGTCGAGTTTCCTGCTCGCGGAAGGTGGATAACCGTGACGCGAATCCACGTGGTGTATTTTTAGGATCGCTTGGGTATATACGACGATGAGTCCACGGCAATGGACGGCCAACAGAAATGGGATGGAAGAGGAAAGGGAGGAGAAGGATTCACGGTTTAGGAATGTTGTCTCGTTTCTTGGCCTGCCTCTCGCCATTCCGCTTTCTTAGCCTACCTGCTCGATCCTCTCTGGCATCGGTATGCCATTATGGTGTAGCAGGTCGAGAATTTTGGGCCAGCTGCCCCGATCAAATTTGCTCGAGATGGAAAAGATTTTGCATCCTTCAGATTCGACCATCCCTTAAGGATAACTGTTTCAAGGGTTTCATTTGTTACAATAATTAGTCACTAATTGGTGGTATTTTCTATTTGATCTTCCACAAGAAATTGAAACATTATTCCAGATTTAATTGCAAGTGATACATAACGAATGAAGGATACGCAGTTTTCTACTGCACAATTGAATCTGATTGATTAGGTAGAGATTGCGAATTATTTCATTAGAAATTTCACTGGCAAATTGTGTATCTTCAACAAATCCAATTCAATTTTCGAATTTAATATTAAAACTGAATTGATCAGATTTAACAAGAGGTAATTTATGCAATTTGAGGAGAGAAGACAACCTTGTATCGCGTTACACGCGTTATTTCCTGACCTTCGACAAATTTTTCTACCATCAGATACGCTTACGAGGCAACAAAATATGATTCAGACCTTTGTAGATAAAGTATACGTGAAAGAAAATACTTGGGCTGGAAGTCCTTCGAGGCAAGGGGAATAGCAGATTAAAATAAAGCTGTTTTCGATGACTCGTTCGCGAATTCTTCAACTCTTCCGTCTCGAATCGAAATGCACGCGACAGAACACGGTTAACGATCAAGTAGCTTCGTACTGGTACATACGTGCAACCTACTTAATTGCACCGCCAGTAACGAGGAAAAGTGGAGCAACGTTACGAATGGCCGAACTCTTATCCTCATTGTCCCTCGCGTGATTTATTCGTTGCACGCGTCTCGCCTCGATATTTTTCAACGTATTTGGAAATTCGAACGCGTACGGTATTCAGCGTTAATCTCGTTAAACCGAAATTCTCGAATAAACTGTTAAACATTCATGAAATTGCTGAATCTGTCGCGAACTGACCTGGACCAAAGGTCCGCAATATGGATCGACCTTAAGGCTCTTTAAAGCATGACCTCGGTCCACGCGTTTAACAGTCTACCTGGACCAGGTAGATGGACCACCAGGTGCGACCTTTTCAAGGTAATCGATGGCCCATCCTCCAGAAGAGTTACCTGCATCGGTGACTACAAAAAAAAGGTAGAGAAACTTTCCAAGGTACTCACCGTTCGGACAGGTGAAGACATTTGTGGTAGGAACCTGCAACAAAGAGACAGGAAGGTGTTTTAGAAATGGTTTATGGTGTAGTAACTCAAACCAGCTGACCATCTGTGCCATTCTTCTATACTTCTTCTATACCATTTTTTCAAACGAATCTTTCGAGCGTAATGCTATTTGAACAAATTCAGAGAGTTCTGTAGATTCAGGAATAATTTCTTTCAAAAAAGATTCCTAGAATTTTAAATTGAATTTTTCTGTACGTTAATACCAACTGATGGTAATGTTTAATCTTCGGTACCATTCACCCGAGAGTTTTCTCTCATGAACAGGATAATTCCTACGCGTTCGAAAGGCCATGCATGCTCGATCTTGCAATCGTTCTAACTAAATGACGAAACACAAGAGTCTCAAGGAACGTGGGACATAGCTGTGAATTGAAGCCGGAAGAATCGCAGGAAATCTCTAACGCGAGTTACGATGACGATTACATAAAAATAAAAGATGACGACCACGAGGTTATATGGTTCAGACGTTAAGCAAAGCATGAAAAAGAAAGTGACCCGCGTTGTTGTTGCGTTGCTGCTATTTATTTCCAAGTCAGCGTCAAATGGCGCGGATCTATGATGCTCGAAGTGAAACAACCGCACATTGTTATGTTTCCAAGAGAGAAAGTGAAGAAGCGAACTAACAGGATGGATCATGGTCTTGTCGTTCATCTTTCCGGTGAAATGGAAACAGTGTTTCGTACGTGGAAGTTGGCTTCTTGTTGAGAGAACGAAGTATCAGTGACATAACGGTGTATGGATTCCTGAAGGAGAGACGCGAGAAGAAAACGGTCTCTCGAATTCCATACGATCATTCCGAAGAGCCTTGGGTCAAGTTAGATTGTATATTAATTATACATGATGTTCAATCTAACGTTCTGTTGAGTATTAAGAGTATTAGAATATTCGCTAGATTGACGAAACAGAAATTGCAAGCCTTAAGTGGTGGAGTCGCCGATTCTCCGGACGAGTCGAGGAAGGAAAAAATTTCCAAGTCCCTTATCTCTGTATGTAATGTCCAAGAAAAATACAGATATACTATTAAATCTCTCCCATCGAATCAATTTGCATGGATAAAATCTTGCGAAGCCTTTCGCGAACGTTGACACGTTCTATAGCGAAAATGTTGCAACTGTAACCAGCAGGGGTAAGATTGTTTGCGCGTGTACGCGGTCTCGAGTTGAAATTCACTTTCACCTGAAACACGCCATAATCCGAGTCCTCGTGGTAAACGGGCATGCTAACCAATGGTGGCTCCTGTGGAGCCAACATGCCAATTACTTCGTAATCCTCGGTTCAATTTCTCAAGAACGCTAGGCGAACGCTTATCGTCGTACACGTGAACCAGGATTCCCGATGCCCTCCTGGCACACCGATGCTGTTATCCACCTGAGAACCTAAATTACCATCGCGTGACGCATACTCGTTCGCGTGTGAACGGATAATTTGATTAAATTATGACGTGAAAATATTTTTCGCGAGCTCAATACTCGATCTAGCCGTTGATAACCCACGGAAGATCTTGATGTTCTATTTCACATGCTCTGTAATACATGGGTCATCGACGATCTTCTGAAAACAAAACTCTCTCTCTCTCTCTCTGAATATGAAGAAAAAAGAAAATTAAAATGGGAATTGTTTCGAGTAGTGACTTTTCGACCTGGTTCGAAGCATTAAATTGCACAATGTCGTTCGCGATGTCATCGGCGAGCCATAGTGGAATAATAATCGAGTACTCACCTGAGACTCCGTTAGCTGAAGATGGCACAAGAGGACGGCGACCCAAACGGCCGCCAATTCTCTTATCAGCATATTCCTGTAACATAAGGAAACGTTCCGTTTAAAGAAACCGTGTTCATTAGCATGGACCGTTCGATCGGTAGTGGGTCAGAGATGCAGAGAAAACGCGAGGGAGGTGTTTGAACAGCAGTGTTGTCCGAGGAACACCTAAGACCTTGACATTGTTGAAACAACTTGCTAAGTTAATGGCATTCAAAAAATATCCTCAAACAGAAAGTGTTTCTGTTAAACGCAGAGAACGTTTTGCATAAGTAAATATCCTGGCTCGAAATTCGAAGTTTTTAGAAATTTCTCTTCTTTCTTAAAGAGGAAATTAATTTTACTCCCTAGACTAAAATTCCACTCGAATTTTACAAAGCAAGTTTTCTTCAGCCTCGGGATAACTTGTTCTCGGTTAAACGGATCATTTGGCAGGAATCGTTAAAGGCTAAGAAACGAGAGGGTAATTAGAGAAAGTGAAACGATCCCTAGGGTAAGCGAAGATTACCGTGATATCTTCACTAAATTCTCGGAAAAGAAGGATCGACTTTTTTGAGCGAAGAAACGTCGAGATTGAAGCTCGTTAACGATTTAGTCGGTAAACGTTGTAAGAATTCAGTCAGCCTTATCGTAGGTAGGTTACAAAACATGCGGAAGATAAGATGGTTTCTACCGCGTATAAGATGTACACCGGTTCCCATAAAATTCCTTACGGTTTCTGCGGCTGAATTGTGGCACACCGGTTGCATACCTTGCCGCGTAACCGAGAACCGTGATAAATCTCCGTGGATGCCGAGTTATTATTTAATCACCTTGCATTCAGCTTGGACATCTTAGTTGATGTTAACAGTTATTAACTTATAGCTTTTCAACCCGATGTCGTAGAAACTTTCTTACCTGGAAATATCATATCTATCATCGATCATTTTTTGCAATATCTCCACTGCAGTTTCATTCTTTTTCTATCGATATTTTTGATAATGATGTCGTGGAAGTAATAACGAAGTAAACGAGAAGATTGAAAGTCATTGAGAGAGCAAAGGGCTTCAATTTCACCGTTCGATTTAACTTGAAGAGGGGCGTGCATTCACCGAGAAGGAGACACTGTATGGTGGATCCCCATGGGAACCGTTATACCTACACCGGACAAGATTGGGTTAAGATGACCCTTTCGATCAGTGATGCATCTCAGTTTTAGAAAGTTACAATCGAGATCACCCTTTCAATTATAAAATTCAATATTTTCAACATAGACGTCTTTATAGAATCTACGAATGTATTATTAGAAAGGGTTATCTAGTTTAGTCGGATTTCCCTCGAGCATAGTTGTAATCTCGACATGGTCAGCTTACACGATGCAGACTTCCTGTCGATTGCGACTAACGGGTCTTCCGGCCTGCTCGACCGATCACAGCCCGTTCGTCGAACGAGTCTATGCACTTTGCAATGCACTTTACGAATGAAAATAGATGAATTAATAAACGGAGTAGAAGCGACCTGATTACAGTTTACAAAAGAGTCGATTAAGGTTGAATTGCTTCTTCTGGACACCGTTATCCTTATTTAGTTGGACTCGTTGTATTGTTCGTTCTTCTTTAATTAACGCTCTAGCAGCGTTACTTTGGAAAATATATAAACTCGATTCGTCTTGCAAAACACTTAATCACGAGCGACCATATAAAAACGAAGCCGTAAAGGCAATCAGTGTGGCACATTTGAAACAATCATCCCGGGGACAAGTATGGTCGGCCGATTATGCTCGCGCCCTGTTGCGTCGCGACGAGAACAATGCCGCGTTGCATAAAAGACGCAGCGACGATGAACTCGTCGTCGTGAAATAATAAACTTTCGCGATCCAACGTGGTTTCCACGAGGCGTGGGTGCACCAGACGTTTCCCACGAGCTCGCTCCTCGGTTCTTCGCGAGCGGAACGCTTGCGTCACCTGGGCTAGCAATTAGCTGCCGCGAGTCGTCGCGTGAACGCACGTGCAATCGGCCCCCCCCCGGTACTTCTTACTTGGCAGAATTGCCGTTGAATTCTCATTGAGATCTGACGTAACCGTTCGTTTTCAATCAACAGACGCTCCAAATATTCAACTACGACGGAAAGGAACGTTGCCCGTGTAAATTGAGGACTACACGCTGCAGGGAGCGTAAATGTTTCATAGCAACAGCGCCGGAGAAGACCGGTGTGCTTAATTTGATATACTCTAATTGCCACGTTCGGATAACGTGTAACACTCGTTTTAAGATCTTTTTTTTCTACTCTACATACAGTCATGTTCTTTTTATAGAAAATTTCAATTGTTCTTGTCTTTCGTGACAATTTTAATTTAAAAAGAAGATACGAAAAGAATTATCTGATTTGTAGCTGTTAAAGGGTTAAACGCGTGGAGGTTCGTTAATGGAGAAGACTAATGATAATAATTAGCCAAGGGAAACGACGATTGTCGGATCCTCCGGCTGTAGGTCAGTACTAGAAAGTATTCGGATTTCCTGGTTGCCAGCACGAAACGGTGCGTTGCAAAAAAACCGAGCAACGACTCTCGGCAGCAATCGGACACGTTTCCAGCGTGAAAAGAACGTGAAACGCGAGTTTCCAGGGATCCTCGTTGCATTCGACGTGTTCGCGAAACCAGTTTAACCGAACGTTCGATGCGAAACGGCGTTGTTCACGGACAATTTGACCAGCGAGCAGCTGGAAAATCGGGTAAGAAATTCAGATTAGAGGAATCTTAGTGCCGGGAGACTGGATTCCCTGGTAATTTCCGTGATAATCGGGTAATAAACGCGGAATCGTGGGAGTAACGATATCGACGACCTGAATTTAATTACCGCTGTTACATTTTCCATAAATTCTTAAATAATTGGGCAATAAATAAGGCAAAATTATAGACCAGTTGGAAAGATATTTGACATTTACAGCTTTGAAAAAGTAGGTTTACGAGGCATTGCTTTGATAGGAATCGTGTTAGTTAACCCTCGAACGGCGGACCAGGGAGAGAGCCACAATATTTAATTTTGTTTTTCACCCAGGCTTCGTTGTTCAAGTTATAATAATTAATCTCTCTTAAATTCGATCCATGTATAAAATATTTGAATATAGGTTGAATCTAAAAATCGATTCACCGTAAAGTCCTGTACCGATCGAAACGTTTGTGGTTCTCTGTTAAAGCAGCAATTTGTTGAAGCAACACGTTGCTCTACGGCACTTATCGATTCAACGTGACTGGCGGCGTATCGTATCCACATCCTCTGGGGAAATTTATCTCCCCAGACACTATGCCAAATAACGGTTTCCACGTAACCAGGAAGTGGTGGTAAAACGGTAATTACGATGATACTGGAAACATACTTTCTAACTGGATTCTCAACGATATAGTTTAAACAGCTGTTACATCAGCATGAATTAACATGCCGCGTTAATGAAGCGCACTTCTTGCCTACCCATCAATCCGACAAGATCGTTAGAGATTCTTGTCATTTCTTTTTATCCAATAAAGTTTTTCTCCACTTCCGTTCCAACAATTCTCTCTATTAAATTTTTCAATTTTTTATTCTTATATATCCAACCCATAATGAGGTTAATTTAATTAATCACAATGTCTGTTTTATTCTTCTTTTCTTTTGAAATGTCATCGAACTCGTGATTGTCAGGGGTCAAGTACCGGTTAGTATTGTTCAACGGCCACTTCCGCCGCCTTAGATGGACTCTCTCGGCGACTTCCGGCGCTAAACGAAATTGGTAATCGATACAATATCGTTTTACCATTCGAGACACGAACAAGTCGACCTTCGCAGCAGGCTTTACGTAACCCTTTACGGATAATGACGCTAGGTGCTTTGAAATTTTAATTGCCTCGTTAATAGAGCAATCAATTAAATAATCATTACAGACAAAATTAAGTTTTCTCAGTTGAATCGCGTCCGAAGGAAGACGCTTCGTGCGAATTCTTTACTCAGAATACCAGCGAAATGAAATCCACGGACGTAAAGAAAAATGGCTGCATTGTCGCGTGGAAAGGTCTTTATAGCGTTGAGGGACGCGTTGCACCGGGGGGGATCTTTAACACAAAGCCTTCGTAAACTTCCTTCGCCGTGACATTTCCACGAGAAAACCTTAGCTACACGCCCACCACCATAAAACCACGATTCTCGACTTTGTTCGTTACCTTGCAACTCTTGTTTCTTGAACTTCGAACTTTCCTGGTGAAAGATGAACAGATTTCAGGTGAAAAAAGCGACGTATCATTTTTCTTAAACACCTTACGAAACAATTTCCGAGTAATAGTACTCGAAAGTTTGAAAGTTTCTTCGTCAAAACTTAAGTCACAGAAAAAGAGCAGAAAGGTATTCTAATTGCGCAAACATTAACTCGGAGATGGTACGACTGAGCATGAACGCGGTTTTTATTAAACGCAACCGCAATGTTTTTCCCGTTAGACTGCTTGCAGCAAGAAGTCGAACGAAACGATCGAGAACGCGTCGATGATAACCGGAAATTAGATCACATCCGGAGAGGATCACGAAAGGACACGCGCCTGGGACTTATTACGCTGGTTACGGTAACCACGTGAGGTAATTAGGCCAACTTGTTCCATTCATCGAAAGAAGCTCGTATCACTCACAATGAGCCATTCAAATGCTCCTCCTGTCTTCGAGATTTCCGTTTGCATATTATTAAGTAATATCGAGGTTGCTAGTTGCTCTGAAACGCACGGTAGTCTCACGATTATGCGTTCGCTACGTTTATCTAGATCGAAGGGTGTTCTTTGTGATTCAGCATGATTTCTATGGATTTTTGTGATCTTTCGTTTTTGTACCATCACGCACCTTATGCGTCTTGTAATAAATTTATTAAAAATTCGTGAGATAGGTACAATAATTTGAAACATTTCTTTTTTATTGGAAGGAGGAAGCAAAGTGATTTAGATATGTAATTATTGATATTACGTCGCGTTTAACTGTGATATATAATTTCAAATAAGGCTTTTCTGCGGTTAACTACGACATCGATACGTCCCCGGATGTGTGCATCGATCAGGCTCCGCCAATATCCGCAACGAAAGTGAAGAAACGTCTTCCTTTTGTCGGTTGTTCGTTCAACCGTGAGAGAATGAAATTAAGATCCATTCACCGTTGTACAAACGGTTCTCTAAACACCTCTATTTAACGACTTTAAAGCTCCCGCAGCAATCGTTAAACCTAAGCTCTTCAACGTCAACCTCGCCATAGTTATTGATTTCACTAGGCGTTTGAGAAATGATCCGTGCTTTAAATAAACGAAGGAAGTAAAAATGAAATTAGATGAAAAATATGCAAAAATATCGTTGGTCATTAATTACAATTATGGATCAATTAATTAATGTCTGCAGTAATTTGAAAGACTATCTCACTAAACTTTCCAATGAACAAATCATACAAATTGCTGTTGAATTGAACCTACGAGTATAAAATTGAATTTCAAATATCCTTAAAATGGCTGCTTTCATTAAGCCGTAGCCTAAACGACTCCATAGATAGGGAATGAAGAAATGGTACGAGCCAGAATTGAATTCGAACAGTTTTCCCAAGAATCGAACGAGCAACTGTAAAGCATTCGAGTTTGTTTCGTCACGCAGAGACGAGAATTGTGCAAGCGCATTCCTGGTTAGCCGCGAACCAGAGGTTGACCATCGGCTGAGAAACGGTACCAACCGAAGTTTCCATCTTTCGATTGGCTATAACCTCTGCCCGCTTCGGATCATGTTAATTAGATAATCAGAATCGGATGCGACAGATAAATTCACGTTGAATTCCACTCGGCAATTATCCTCGCTCTGACCACGCGTTTCGCGTGCTCGTTGAACGTTGCTTTTGCAACGAACACGAAGCCTTCTTCTCTACCGTTAAGACATTAACATTCAACTCATTAGCCCGACAAGCTGGACGTGATTATTGTCGTGACGTTTTAAGGATGGAGGGTACGATGAACTCCGTTGTTGAACAGCGTTACGATGTTAGAAGAGAAGCGATTCGATACGCGAAACGTTTTTTTAATTAGATCAGATTAGAATATTCGAATGATTCGAGTATCGTTGAGGGAAATATGGAATTGAAAGGATACAGAAATGGCTACCTGATTGCCCGCGCAACTGCTCTACTGTCGCGTTTCCTTCGAGTTCTTTGACGCCGTTATTTCATCAAGCACTAAAAAATGCCCAAATGACATTTATAGTGATAAATAGGTTAATGTAGTGGAATTGCCGGCCAGTTTGAAATTTACCGTTCGCTGGTGAATGTCGAACGCACATGGCGAGATAGATAAATACCCGTTGGGTAATTCAGGGTCGAGGTTTGAAGCGTGTCGCTTTTTATCGCGTAACGACCCGTTTGTTCTCGTTTCACGATCGTCCGCGTTTCCCACGTTCGCTGATCGAACGCGATCGTTCGGTTTTGCATGTTCAGGTAATTTGCATCTGCCTTACGTTGCTCTTTTTTTCTCTCCTGGAATTGTGACAAAGTTCGTTTGGGTCATAGAGGAGCACTCTTCACGGTCCGTCCTTGGTCGTTTAAATATCAAACAAACTTTTTCTATTCAAAGCAGCGATCTGTTCTATTCGAGAAGAACTCTAACGCGTTTAGCAAGCTGAAAAGCTGGTATTTTCTTGAAATTGTAACAACCACTATTCCATCCACGGTTCATCGAGTTTCTCGTGGTTCGTCGACCGATAAAGTCACGACTGGTCCAGCAATGGCCACGTGGGTTGCTGGAAAGAAAGCTGAGTATCGCTGGTTTGCAAGAAACCAGGGAAAGAGGAACGGCTAAGCGAATGCCAGACATATTATACAGGGTGTGTCTGTGTTGTGTCGCGATGCGGTCTGACCGCATTGCAATATTATCTCCATATGATATTTCGTAACTCGAATTTTTGTGTATTACTTTCTGTTACCATTCGATCGAATTCTTTTTGTATCAAGTTATACCCGCGTTTATAGTTAATCGCGTGAAAATCTGTTAACGAGGCTGGAACGAGTCTTGATACCTTTCGAACAGGTGTTACTACTTCGGTTGCAATGTATGTTTCTTGGTTTTTAGAGTTGTTATGGTGTCCTACTTTACTTTAATTCTTGATACTACATAATATGTCACTCAGTTGGTATTTTCATTGCAAAGTGTTAAAATATTGATATCCTGGAATAGTAGTTTCTGTTCAGCCTTTGAACAAGGATTTCAACTACCAGAAGGAAAGAATAATTCCATTCACCGTTTGGCTAATTTTCTCGATTTCTTGCCAATCGCTCGGTGTTTCCTGTTTCCATGAGCAGCAACACCAGCCCGTGAATTTACGATACTGCAACTCGACCGGTGCAGTTAGGTCTGATAGATAGTCTGAATAGCACAGCAGTAGCACGCAGGGCGTGGCCATAGTTGCACGGTTCCTTGGAACAACTTGTATCGCGTTCCGAACCACAGACAATGTTCAACGATCACCTGTAATTTGTTACTATTGCAACGAGAAAATTACACCGATTCTTAAGAAACAAAAAGACAGAGGACAGGTAGAAATTTTCGATTCTTCTAACGTTAACGTTATCTACACAGTGTTGATGTAAGTCTAATTCTAGAAAATATCTCTTAGGAACAGTCTCTTTGCATGCACTGAATACTCCTCCTTTGAGTAAAATTATATATCATTAGTGTTTCTTTTATGTCAAGAGTAGAAGATGTTTGTCGAACTTATTGTGATAGCGTGAAAAGTTTCTTAGGATCTTAAGCTTTGCAAATAATTGGTTCAAAATAATCCTGTGTACAAGGCTAAATGGCAGAAAGGAAATATAATAACGGAACACCTGTTAAGTATTATTAAAATATTTTCAATAAGCAAGTAACAGCTGCGGCCATTGAAGCACCTCGAGGCAGCTTCACCTTGAAACACGATTCCTCGCGTTGAAATTTGTTACGTCTTAGGAGGAGGGTAATTGTCAAATGGTAACGGTACCTTAACCAAGTTACGCTTCATTATCGTTCAGTCACGAAGCCACGAAGTGAAATTTTGTCACGTTCTGCACGTGGGCAAGAATCACATCGAATGAGTTCGATGATCGTGAAGGTTTCCATCGGGTAGACGAGAGATTTTCCTTGATTTTCTTGCCAATTACCGGTTCACGTGGCTATGGAACGCAGAATGCCGGCAGGCGCAAGGATTTCGACGCTCAACGAACGAGCTTTCTCTTCCATAAATCCAACAGCGTAATTCTTGAACGCTCTAACTTGCGAATTTTACGCCACTCGTTTCTATTTTAACGCTGGTTCCTGTGAAAAACGAAAGTCGAACAATCTTGCGTTGTTTCACAGATAATGAACTTTTGCTCAGAAGACTTCAAGAATTTTTTTTCTTTTTCTTATTTTTCGGTGGGAAAATAGAGAGAAGACTGAGATATCTGTAATAAACCTTTGTTAACATTTCCTATATCTATCTTTTTCTCATAGAGCATGAGAATTTGTGGAAATATCATTTCTGGAAATCTATAATCCTTCGATTAACATAAGTAAGATCAGGATGAATTCAATGTACCATCAGGGATTCAATTCACAATTTTTTCTTCTTTTATTTATAAGAATGTATTATAAAGTTAGCACATCATTCGAGGTAATAATTAATTTAATCTACCTACGAAAAGCGGTGAAGCGAAAACTGGGAGTAAAAAATTAAAATTCATCCCACGTGTCACCTTTTTCCCTGGGTTTACAAGAATCCTGGGAAGAAGACCTTGGGCGTCTGGTTCGTGTAAAAAAGATGCAGGCTTAAAGGTTAAAATATCAGAAATGAAGGTACCAAAAGTTAAGAATGGATTGTGAATGTGAAAATAATTGTACAACCTCATCGCGAAGGTTAAAAGATCTAAGGACATGAGAATTTTTTTCCTGTTCTTTAACCAGCAACTATGAAGATCGAAGTAACCGACACGAAGACGAAGAACGTAACGTCAGATGAGATTTAATCTGCGAATCCGAGGCTTCCGTTTCCACGTTTACCATAGCACGCGTCGATGTATGCGACAGCTCACTGAGCAGAACGAAAATCGCGCGAGTTCTGCCGCTGGAAGAAGCCAAAGGGAAGAGAGTACCGTTCGGCATCGTGTGCTTGAACGCTCGAAATAGAACAAAATGAAACGACAGAAAATATATTGTATATATCGCGTTGCTTCTTCCTCTTGCGTTCAACGAAACAACGCAACAATTAACAATTCTTATTTCATCGCATTATTATATAAACAGCATAATCCTTTCCTCGTTTTGCCACGTAATTCTTTTCTTTTTATAGACTGTAGAGAGAGTATCCCATTAATTTTGTGCTTGAATCGACCGGACGCCATTTTTTAAATTAAAATTTACAGCGAATAAAAAGGAAATGGGGTTCTTAGTTTTACGAGGAAAGAATTATTTCAATCTCCTGAGGAAATTGCAATTCCTCCACGAAACGAATTAAAAACATCCTTTGTTCCCTGAAAACGAACCATATTGGAACTAATCTAGCCTCGTTAGAACCTGCTTCTCATTATCGCCTCGATTAAATTTTACTGGAACCAGGCCATCGATTCTTCTCTATCCATTCCCATCGTCGGATCAACGAGAGAAAGATTCTCACAGAAAGTTTCACCGAAAATACCGATTCTCGAGTCTGGTACAAAGCCTGTCTTCAACAACGTCCATACAGCTGTGCCCTATTCTCTTTATACCCAAAAAACCTGCATACTTTCAAAATAATGAGATTACCGTGAGACATATTATAATCTCAATAATTACTAAATTTTAGTCTTTCAATATTATCACTTCATATCATTAGTAATGTTATTCCAAACATTTTTCCCTTTTTCTTTCATCAATTATTAAATTATTTTACACTTGAAGCGTCCGTGTCACCGATTACCTCCACGCCGATCAACGTGTTAAAAATTATTCTTTCCAACTCACGTCTGACTCCTTTTATATTATAAAGAAACTTACGTTTGTTTCTCCTACGATCCACGTCGCGATCCTTGTCCAGGGTACATGTACTCCACAGAAAGTGTCCGCGCGCGAGTCGACAATCTTTCACTGCACAACCGCGTGTTTGGAGATGAGCACAATTAATAAATAACAAGATACGAGTGACGGGTATACGTGGCCACCAAAAGATCAACGAAAATCGGCGGAAAAAGATGAACTGAAACGGAAAATAATAGCAACAGAAAATTTGATTCAGGGTCACGGAGCTCCTTCCCTCCGGCCCACCGTTTCGAGACTGAGGAACCCGGTTCTCTCTCTCTCCAGGTGAACGGAGCTGGTTACCTGAGTAAGAGCCTTCTCCTCGAGGCCTTTGTTAGTGAAAAAGAGAGGCGAGATAGAAGGAAAAGGAAGGAAACGCGAGGAACGTAGGCGCAGCGTGGCGGAGAAGAAAACGATGGAGGTGGAGGGCATTCGGGTTGACTCGTGGCGTGAACGAAAACTGCCGAGCTTGGTTCATTCCTTGTTTGTTTATCGGCGTTGAAAATGCGCCGCCTTTTAACTTCTCGATGCGTTTCGATGTGCTGGCATTTTTAGCGGTGATCGTCGTGTCACTCGGAAATTTAAACTTTAACTTAAACGCCATGCGACTGTGTTGCATAGAAATGGGATCCAGGTATTTTACAGTCAGTCGCTCTAAATAATTCTAAATATTTATAAATACTTAGGGAATTATAAATCGTCTTAAAAATTAGAGGTATTATAATTGTCCTCTCAAGAATTCAAAATTTTATATATATATAGAATGTCATTACTCTGACACTATCAGTTGCATATAATTGAATTAGTTTCAATAAAATATCAATGACGGAGGAATTCAAACAATCGAAGATAGCTCGACTCGCAATCAGTTCGATCGGATCGAGCGAGCGGAGACACCGATGCTTGCATAAGAAAGGTCGCCCGGTGAGTTGAACGCATAGTCACTCGACTATCACCAGATGTCTTCTCCCCGTGTGTAGCAACGAAATAACTAACTAAATTTATATAGTGAGTGACTGCATGTTTTAATTATTAATCAATTCAATCTGTTTTTTCCATTTCCTCCTTCATAAAGTTATGTGTTCAGGTTTCTCCAACTTCAAGCTTCTGTTTTTGAGATATATTCAGATTACAGAGAAATGATATTTCCAGAAATGGAAATTCAATGTAATAAATCGTGAACGTACTTGGTAAATTCTTATAAGAAAGGCTTAACTCTAATTTCGATCTACGAAGTGGGAAAATGATGATTCTTGAATACACATTGAACATTCCTTATTATTCAGTCTTACACGAGAAAACAGAATGAAAGTAGCGATAGGAAAGAAGATTTCGCGATAGAATTTCATAGAAATTCATGTTGGACGATGCAGAATAGGGTGCATCGTTGCACGTATCTGGAAACCACGTCATAAATAGCCCGAGGCGAATGGCTCGTGCACAACTTTAACCTGGCCGATTAATTTCTGGCCTAACAGGATACCTAACAGCCGGTTGCTTGAAATACTGAGATCACTAGATACGTAGTCCACGACTAATTGCATAACGGGCAGAGCGAAATTTTTCAACAACAGGTAATCTATGTGTACCAACGTCTGTAGGACGTCGAGCCGAGTAATCGTGTCCACCTTTTTAACCCTTTCGTCGAGAAGGTCGCGAGTTGTCCCAGTTCAATTCTCGCCGTCTCACTGGAATATGTGAAAGGGAATACTTTGGAACAATCTTAAATTATTTCATTATTCAATCTCAAATATAGGATTTTCCCAGTCTGGAAACACTGTTCGTTTTGCATCGTCGGTTAAGTACTTTCTCAACTTTCTTCTGTTGTATTGATAGGAACGAGACGTATAAATCATTCTCTTGTAATTTCTTCGGAAGATTCGTACAAAATGTTTTAATTCTTCATCGTCCCATTGCGTCACCTGTAAACGTAGGTTTAAATAAAAATTTATGACTAACATTCGTTTTTTTTTCAGGTGCGGGCATCACCATGAAGATATCCGGTATGGAATGAACGAGTGGATGACGGTTTGAGTGATTATCCAAGGTATTTGATTCATCTTTGTTACGTTACAATTTTATTTCTGAAATTAAATGTTAATCTCAGCAACCCTTTATTCGAGGGTTAATTATTCGACCATTGACAAAATATCATTTCATTAAAAAATTTCTTCGATCAGAGTGTTCGATCGGGCCCGATTTAGGTCTCCGACATTCTTTGACTGAACGAGGAGGCGCACATTCTCGAGCATGTACTCGAGGATAAAGAGGTCGTCGTAAATGCCCCGACGTTAATTTGCCAGCAGTTTTGTAGGACACGAATGCAAGGTGGGACGAGGGAAAAGAGTAAAAGAGAAAGAAAGAAAGAGACTGAGGAGCGGCTCTCTTGTACAGCCTTGTTCATCAAGGTAGCACACGTTATAGCACGGACGCACGTACACATGTACACCTGTACGCGGGCCGGACAACGCGTTTCGAACGGTTTCTCGCGCGGGTCGACGTCCTGCCAAAACTGCCTAATCGTGTCGCCACGCTTGCACATGCCGTCCAGTTGGGGGACAAATTCAAATCAGCTACTTTTGTCCCATTCGACGAATGGAATCTCGAAAGGCAATCGTCAGCAATTTCAAAAGACACTACTAATCTGTGTAATTTGAAAGCTAACTCACGCTGGAACGCAAGGTTCTTTTTTTATTCTTCACGATAAGTGTGCCCGTCACAGTGACTCAGAACGAACCTGTTGGAATTGGGAACGGAATCACGGAAATTTCAAGGGAAAAGCTTCCGTCTAGGTGTACGCGCCAAGAATGAAGCACGTTCGTTTAATAACTGTATACGTTGAACAGCGATGCATTCGAATAGTGCAGACGGATTTCTACGATTCACGCAGTGCAAACACCTTCGGGCGATTATCATATTTTCTCCTAATCAGTGGAGTGTTTCCTTTTTCCTAACGAAGTTCGGTTCTCCGTTTTTCCTTGGTATCGTAACAGTCGAATGCAATTGTAGATGAAATCGCGAAGGAATCAGAGAAGCTCCGGATGCGGAAAAGCTGGCTTACCTATATTCATCGAGCAGGCGAAATCGTTCGCGACGCGTGAACGCTTCACGCATCGGCAGCGAGCGAGCGAGCAGTCAGGCTCCGATACCGTTACACTTGGCAGCTTCCTGCCGCTCGGACTACGGCCTCCATCAGCCTCTGCTCGCCTCGCCTTCTTGCATACTTATAGTGCCTTTTCGGTATCGTCATTGTCACCTACCAATGGCACACGCTCACCTATACCGTAATCCGGACGAACGTTAGCCGTTTCATGCCCGACCGAGGAATTCTTTCATCCATACCTAGCTTCGTAAAGATGGAGAAAGCGTGTATCATAAGATGACGATCAAACGCTTGGGAATGGAACGCTGAAGGCCGATAGCGTTCGATGATAATTAATCGAATGATTTCCTCTTTGACTTTATTCAGAGGAACATTCAATTAAGGTGGAGCTAATTGATTAAATCTAAGTCAGGTTCAGGTACTCAAAGATCCATTTACGTTGCTGATTTCTTTTCGACATTTTTGCCCTCTGCAGTTTCATTTTCTACAGATAGCCTTTTCTCTTCCCACCCTCTTGCAACGATTAACCACGTTCCGATGTTTCGTGTTTCAAATTACACCCCCCGATAGTTTCTCCTTTAACCCGTCGGAACATTCAAAAGTCTTCTTGAGATTACTCGAGGAAAAGGTACTGTCCAAACGATTTCGACCTCTATCGATCTTTCTCTCGGAGAGACGTCGATGCAGAAGGAAACGAAACACCTCGGGCGGTGAAGCAAGCAGTCGAACGGTACTTCTTGGAACGAAATTACACGTACTCATAGTAAGCCGCGTTGATTACATAATCGGCGCGTTGCACGAGCCATCCGAAGAAATGTTGCTCGTTGTTGGTTAGCCTGGCGGCCATCTTTGCGGTCTTCTCGAACCTACGCGATCATAGATGCGTCAAGGTTTCTTTGTTCCTCGCCTTTATTCTTGTTTCCTTCTTTTCTCGCGTAATCGACGTTCAGGAAGCATGTAATGCGATTCGAGATCACTGTACTTTGCGTTGTTCCTTGAAAAACGATCACCATCGATGCCTCTTTACATCCTCGGTAAGAAAATTGATCGTAAACTTGCCGGTTTGTCAAATTTTTATCAACTGGAATTTGACCGAGGAATGTTATAACTTTGAAACTATGGGTAACGGTTAATACCGCAACTTGGAATTTCTTTGGAATTTTTTAATTCATGAATTCTAACGAATCGTTTACTTTGTCTTATCAAATCGTAAGAAATCGTGGGCTATCGATTGGCAAATACATCGTGGATCACGTTCGCGACAACCGTACGAATTAGTCAGTCAGAGAATGTGAATGGACGAGTGTTTTCCATCGATTCTCGAGGCGTGAAGGCAGCTCGCCAAGAGGAGCAGGGCGCAGTCGTTTACCTTCAACGGCTGCGACCCCATTTGTAACATTCTTTACTCCCCTTCTCTTCGTAATCAACAGTTGCTTTCCTTTTCTTTCTTCTTTCCTTCTTTTCCTCGTCGAAGACAACGCGAACATTGCGTAATTCAGCTTTTAATTTCGATGGGATTGGTCGAATGAATCAATATGCTGATTCGTTTGATATTATTATGATTTGCAATGTAACTTGACACGATCTTACAAATTTAACCTAATTAGATGATCAAAAAGATCAAAACAGTTTGTAGGGTTTTATTAAAATCACGTAGGAATTATACTTTTTAATGCAAATATTTTTATTGAAAAATATTACAATGTTGTTCTATAATAAATACAAAATAAATTACAAATTATTTGATTCGATGATGATAGAGTTTTAAACACAATCGACGAACGCACGATGGCAAGTATCATTGGATTCGACTAAAGTGATCATTGATTTGTCGTCTTTTAATGTCATCCACAACCAATTGTTTAGTCTGACCAAGTAAAATTCGTTTCGTCTTGGTAGCATCGGTTCTTCAGTGATCACTGTATCGTTGTTAACATCTCCTGATGTGTATCCCATTGTTTTGCATAAATTTGTTGCCTCTTCCTGTGACGAGATAGGGTTTGGGAAACATTCTGTGTGCCATACACCATAACTTCGACTAATTATTTCTCCAGATCCATCACTGTAATCAATTTACACAAGATTTGGTATTATCACTCCAGTTTCATAATTATTATATCCATTTCTCGAAGTAATATTCTAATTTACCTGTCATTTGAAAATCGTTTTAACATTCTGCATGTTGCTTCGTCTTCACCCTCTATGCAATCTCGATCTCCATCGCAAATAAATTCCTGAGGGATGCAAGTATCGTTGCCAGTGCTCCTGTTAAATATTTTTGAACATTTTATTCGAGTTTAAATGACTCTTCAAATTTTTAATGAAATATTGCAATGTAAGCTCTTTCTTACGTTCTACATTTGAGACTGTCGTCTCTGCAAGGACACAATTCTGGAGATTCATCAGTTTTATCGTAACAGTGACGTACACCGTCACATAATCTCCCTGGGTTTGTTAACTTCAGGTACTCTGCACAGGTGCATATCATTGGTTCGTCCGATGCATCGGTGCAATCTGGTATTCCGTCACAGAATGCACTTTTGTCCACGCATGCTCCATTTCTGCATCGTAATTCCGATTTCAAGCAATCTGCCAATTAAAAAATATACAGTTAATCAATTTTTCTATTTCCATATTTAATAATGAAACTTTTCATACTTACTGCAACCTTCTACAGTGTTCTCGCAATTTTTCCGAAATTCTTCGCAGTATTTTGGATTCTCGTCTGAGTGATCCCGACAGTCTAGAACCCCGTCACAAATTCGATCTTTCGGAATGCATTCTCCAATGCTGCACCGAAAACCATCGCAAGTTGCCTCGATCGATTGCCTCTTCCCATCTAATTCAACATTTCACGTTAATTAGAATTTCATTTTTCAAATTTTTTTGTGTAATATGAACGTACCCATAGCCTCTACTAAATAAGGATTTATGTGATCGATGGCTGTTAAAGTTTGAGGATCCCGGAAACTGCAAGGACCCTTGTGATCCTGGAACGTGGCCGCAGGGTACCAACCTTTCCTACCTTGACAAAATACCACTCCACTCCAATCTGACGTTTGATCCTCCTGAAAAACGAGTAGAAATTCTATATTCGAATAATCCTATAAAACTCACAATTAATTGCACATCAATTGAAGGAAATTTACCGAGCATTCGGAGATCTTATTATTAATAAAGCATCGATGACAACTTTTGCAATTTCGCAAAACAGTTTTCAAGAAAATCGACTGAGTTTCGTATTTCTCGTTAGTTCCAACAGCCACACAGGTGTCGTTCATTCCTGGCAAATATATCCTAAAACATGTTCAATAATTAAAATAATTGAAAGGTTAATGAAATTAATCAAAAAGTGTACTCACGTTTTATCGAGGAACAGAGGTTGTACATGACGACTGACATTCACGCGACGTTTTAAGTGCAGTAGGATAGACTGTGAATTATTCACTGGTTGTAGTTCATCGATAATCGACACCTGTTGGTGAGGACCATCCACATGGCGGAATAATGGGCCATAGCCAAACACAGCTGTAACGTAATTTTGGTCCAGTCTGCAAATGAACGATTTAATATTTTAATCAAGATTTCATTTACTAAACGAATTTCCAATTTTCTTCTGATTTTTGTCATTCTTTAATAATGACTGATTTGAAAATAAATTAACTTACTTGATGTTTTCGAGGCATTTCGAAGCAGACAGCAGCCAGCTGTGATCCAACAGCAACGCCGGGCAACGATAGTCTCCGTCGACAAAGATGGCGGCAAGCCACGGCCACAGGTGAATGTGGTTTCCGGTGCTGGTATCTATAGTCAAGTATGTGCTTATACTACCACTCAGAACCGGTGTGCAGCGAATGTAAAGTCCTGGACAGGTTTCGTTCTGCTCGTTTACAGAGACGGTTGATGGAATATTTTGTTGCGTTTCGTTTTCCTCCTTCCACCGTATCGTTTCTAATTCTGAGTTTTTCACGGTGATCGAATGGGAAAATTTTAAGCCCCTTTAAGTAAAAAAATTTTCATTAAGAAAAATAAGGTAATTAAGACTATAGGCAAGAATTGCTTTAACAGAGACTCACGCAAATCCGAAATATTCGCACATATTTTGTCCAATAAGTATGGCAGTCGATTGATTTCTATGCATTCTAGGACGATGGCACGTCGGTCGCCATTTACCATCAATGTTTCTTGTAAGAGTGCCCTTTATGTTCAAGAATGGTCGCTCATCAGCGTCCAGGTACACGTGCTTGCCATCGGTCAACGTAACTATCAATAGAAACAATCATTCGGTAAAATAAAATGCTTCCATTTTAGAATCTTACTTCTGAAAATAACTCACAGCAGTCCAGTTCGTCTTCTTTATATTTGCAATCGAATTGTGTATCACATTTTTGGGACATCGAAATGCAAATGCCGCTCTTCTTACAGAAAAATTGATCCGCAGAACAGATCTCTGTAAAATAGGAATCTATGACATTTAAGGAGATTCGGAAAATATTATTAATATTACTTACCACAATCTTGCTCGTCAGTTTTGTCTTCGCAATCCAAATATCCGTCGCAAATCGCGTTTGGTTGAAAGTTTCGCAAATAATCTTTGCAAGTGCAATTCATTTCGTCCGTGCTGTCCTCGCAATCCACCTCTCTGTTGCATCTTTTGTTAATGAAAATACTCTGAAGCAACCTGTCAGATTTATTAGAATTTTCGTCAATTTTCAAAATCCATTAATCATTAATTAGTGTTTCGTTATTCTTCACCTTTCACACGTGAAAGTTATCGGAGCCTCCGTTGTCGTATCGATTTCTACAGAACTAGTTTCTGCATCATTAGAACTATGCGTTGTCAATTCATCAACGTTATCAAATTCCACTTCATTATTTTCCGTTACCGTCGTCAAAGTTCGATCGGTCGTATCAACTTCCTCGGTATCTAAACAATTTTTCAATTAACTTCATTTATATTAAAAAGAAGAAATCTTATATTTAATAATCTACCATTTTTCAAAATTTGTTGAGATGCAGAATTATCTATGTTATTCTCTAATGGTAAAATAGTTTCGAAATCAGAATCAGGATCGTCGAATTTCCTGTAGAGTGGATGATTCCAATAAACGTTGCAATTAAGTTCATCTTCGCCGTCCAGACAATCGATTATTCGATTGCAACGAGCTTTGATAGGCAAACATTTGCCTAGACCGCCGTTGCAACTGAATCCTGGACACTTTGCCAATGGGGTTCGTTTCAGAGGAGGTATTCCACGACCATCTGAAGATTATAAACACAGTATTATCAGAAATCAAAATTTTATATACTCAGAAACTCACTAGAAATTTCTTGAATCCAACTGAGAAAGTAGCTGACTTTCGTATAAGCACCGGGTTCGGCTGGTCGACCACAGCCTTCTCCGTGGCTAACTATCCCAGCCACGTACCATTGTGATTCTGAATACGGATTTCTGGAAATAAAATCACAATGACCGAAATTAACGGAAGTTACTAATTAAAAAATTTCAAGATCAATATCTGCGCCATCCATACGCATAACATTTGAAATTAATTAATTTTCACCTGCACATCAAAGGACCGCCACTGTCCCCTTGGCACGCATCGCGACCTCCTTGAGGATATCCGGCGCAGACGACAGCCTCAGTTTGATCAGTCTCATACTTACATTCTTTTAATATCGGCACTTCGACTTCCCTCAAATGATCAGCTATAAAATCGCCAAAGAAACATGAATTTCAATCTAATTCTTCTTCCGAATTAATATTCAAATCACTCACGATCTGGTCCATGTTCACTGGTAGCACCCCATCCAATAGCCAAGCAGGAGGTGTATGGTTCCGGTTGCCGCCGCCACATAGGGCCTAGAATATCTTCTTCCGGTAAACATACCGGTCGTACCCATCGATTGAAACGCAGAGGATCGTCCAACATGATCATCCCTATATCATTCGTCATGTCTTTGCTGTTGTAGCGTGGATACTCAATGGCGTACCGTGCTTTTCTGTATTGAGACATCGGGGAGAAAGAGAATCTTCGAAGCATCCCTGCTTGAATCTCGTAATAATGATTCATGTATCCGTCGACGCAATGAGCAGCCGTAAGAATCCACAATTCGTTTAAGATGATACCGCCGCAATGAAAGTTGCCATCCTTGTAAATGGCCACCAGGAATGGCCAAGCTTTCGGTTCACTAGCGCGTCCACCGACGACCCGCAATTGAGAGCCAACCAAATCATCTTCTTTGCTAACATTCCTACCTATTTCATTGGTTTGCAAATCAATATTTTGGTCGTCGTTCTTCGGGGTGGACGATGGTAAAGGATCTTGCGAAAGCATTGTAGTGCCGCAAAGAAAACGAGGACATTGCACGTAGACTGCTGTGTTCATGCAGGAGGGAATTAGTTTAGTTTCACCTTCGAATTCCGCCAGGTAAGAACCCTGATAAGCGTTATCCGGCACCGAGTGAATTTTCACTGTAGGCATTTCTCTGTAATGATTAATTAATTCTGTTGAGATTGTTTGTTCGTGGATTTGGAGTTTAATTTGACGTACTTTAGTGAGGGACCAATCTCAGAGACACATGCATCCTTGGCCCAAGAATCAATTGCTGTGCAGACGGGGTACCATTGACCCTTGTAATTCTTGTGCAGGTACCCTTCGGTGTAACCGATCGTGAATACCTGATTAATTTCAATTTTGATTAATGAGAGATTAGGGACAGTGTTGATAGATTAAATTAAATTACATTTTTGCCCTCGATGTAAGAGGGTGTTAGTATATTGCAGTCTTCTTCATCCTTCCCATTGGCGCATTGTTTTATACCATCGCAGCGTTGGGATAATGGGACACAATTGTCCGCTGTGTATCGCTTGTACCAGTCGTTGCAGCTGAAGGAAGTCTTTGGGCAACCTGAAATTAAAAATTAAGAAAATTTTAATTCAACAATGCGCGCTTTTGAAACAGTAATACTAATGCCATCTGATGGCGAACCTGGAAACTAACAAAATAAAAAATTATATTTTGTTTGCATAAAATAAATTACTATCGTTAGTTGATTAAATTTTTGTGTCCATAATGATTCACTTGTGCCGGTACGAGTTGATTATTTTGTTAGGAAAGATAATTTTCTGCTCACCACTAGATGGCAGTGGCAGTACCTTCCTCAAAGCGCTCTTTATTACAAATTAAAAAACATATAAAAATAAGACTTGCGCAATGATTATGAAATTAATTGCTTCTCTCTTATTTCTATGTAAATTATTACGTTTCAATTATGAACATGAGGAGTAAAAGGAAAGTCGCGTAATCAAAGAAGCAGTGTACTTATGAAAGAACTGTAATTTACATTAATTAATCTTCAAAAACGCGCATGGTAAAAGAAAATGACATGAGACTTCTTTAAACATGAGAATCTTTTCACAAACTTTAAGGATCAAAGTAAATGTATTTATGTTGTTTATTTAACTCATTAATTTTTACATAAATATCTAGTCAGTGTTATAGTGTTAGAGCTAGAAATCTTAGTAGTATTAAAACAGATGTGCATCAACTTACCCAGACAACCCAATTCGTCTTCTCCATGAGGACAATCAAAGTAACCGTCGCAAAGTCGCTCCTGGGATATCCTGTCCCTACAGGAACATGTGATTTCATCACTAGAGTCCATGCAATCCACCTGACCATCGCACCATTGCGACCTCGGTATGCACTTCTGTCCATCTCCGCATCGAATCATGTTGAACGGACATGGCTTTGAATATCCTATTGTTCCAGAAAACACTTAGCATATTAAGTGGTAAATAGGTTTAAATAATAATTATCGCAGTATTCTTACCAGACAGCGAAGACTCCTGACCATCGGTACCCTCTTTCCCATCATCTTCTTTCTCCGATGAAATCGAAGATCTCTGATACTCTGATACTCCAGGAATGGCTGGAAATTGGAAGGTCGGGGCAGGAATATAAGTGCAATAATAGGGAGGCTTTGGATTCGCACCACCACTGGGTGACTGATGTCCAGGGAATATCGGATAACTCTGTGGTCCAGGACCTGTAGGTCCAATCCTCTGACCACCAGGGGTACCGAAATTTCCTGGGAACGATGGCACAGGTAAAACTTGAACATTCTGTGCCTGTACTTGAAAATAGTTAGGAGCTTGATTCATGGGATTTTGAACGTTAGGCCTCTGCTGAGACATGGGGATCGGGTAGGGTGCTCCTGGCGAGGACGCCGGGTACATGGTTTGACCTGGAGCAGACTGTTTCACGGGACCATTCGCTGGTGGTCCGTAGAAGCAGACCTGATAAGGCATCCAGGACATGGTTGGGGTCAGCTGCAGTTGTTGGGTCGATTTCATGGTCTCCGCAGTTGGGATCATGCCTGGACCCGAGTCCATGGTTCCTTTGTTTTGCAGCTGGTCGCTAAAGATGATTCTTTCTTTGATGTTCAGATAGTTCGACTTTCGGGAGCTCTTCGGGGCTAAAAATAAATCACTAGTTACATGGTATAATATCTATTGAACGGTGGTAATAATTCATGATGCCTTTAGAATTCAAACTAGGGGACAACGTAATAAATAATGCATCTACCGTTTTCACCGTCCCTTTCCGAAGCGTTCCAATCACCGCGACCTTGGTCCGAAGGATGCATCGAAGGATGCACTGTGTTATTCGCAATTTCCGTCGCGTTGTCTCTGTCTAGCTCGATCGTCACGTTCATGGTAATCGTAGTCTGCTCCGTGTCATCGATTTGATTCGTCAGGGCCGTCGCTTCTTCCGTTTTCGACGTCACTGATGCACTTGTTGTTGCATTAATCGGTTCCTTTTCTGGCGATGTCGATTTATGTTCCTTCGAAGGTTCATAAAAAATCGACACTGTTGAATGTTGAACCTCAGGTTCAGTAGATGTCATTGAATTACTACTCAAATCATTATCCAACAAATTATTGACAACGTCAACGTTCTTCTTAATCTGAGCCTGATCAAAGTGCTCTTTCATCGTTTGATTATCATTTTCTTTGGCTGTTTCATTGTTGAACAATGTGGAATCATTTTTACATTGAAGACATTTGACCAATTCTACGAATTTCGACTTGGTCCCGTTCGTTTCTAAGGAAGAGTTCCCTAGGAGAACATGCAGATGAGGCAAGCTGATGTTCACGATGCTGACGATACTCAGCATCGAATTCATGATGGTCTTGCAGTGTTTCATATTCTGGTTACACGGGCTCGTATTAGTGTTACGTTTCAGACGGCTTTGATCTATTTGTAACAAGATCGCGCGCAATTCAGGAGTCATATCCGGTATCTGCTGGCTATAGAAATACTCTTGTAAATCCTGATTATCCGATTTTGTGGTTTGTTCCTCTGGTATCGATTTATTCAAAACAAATTCTTCTCGTGGCTCGTATTGATCATTAGTTGATTCCATTTGAATTTGTTGGATTCGAAAGAAATAACCTGAGGAAAATTAAATTTTAATATTTAACATCCATGAGATCCTTTTCTCTCGTTTCGCAAAATTAACGTACCCGACGTGACAGTTAAATACCCCATGAATACGGCAAAGCAGATAATTAATATCGCGAACAGAAGCTCCTTTAAATGCGGAAATTTACAACGTTTCACGCGTTTGTTGCTGCCGTGTTCCGAGTCGAGCCTCGAATTACCTGAAATTGAAATTGAAATTGAACGAACGTCAACGAAATGCCGTATACATATTTCATGGTTGGATCAAAGCGCATAGAAAGGTAGCGAAGATACATGGTCGAACGAATGCGAGCAAGAAATATTAATGAATTTCCGCACCATCGGCTTGAAGAACCTCTCCAGAAATCGGCGCGGTCAGATTCACGTAGCATTGGCCGTCTATTATCGGCAGATGTTCCTGTTTCTTCTGTTTCGAATCCATGACGAATGATTTCCAAAAAAACCTGAATGAAAATGCGATATTTAAATGTCTATTTTCTTACTCTTCGAGATAGCTTCGGTCGAATATGCTAATATTTCAGACGGTAGACGAACGCTTTGGACAGCAAGAAAGTTTCTCTATCATTAACTGCGTCCATCGGATCGTCTGAAGCTTCAGATTTCAGCGCAAAGTTGCATCGTATCGCGATTCCGTTTCCGGTACACTAGCTTCGGTATAGCACGCGTAAGAGATGGTACTCACGTTCGCAAGCTTTTAGAGCACCTTTCCTCGGCGAATCGTTTCCATTCGATGGACCGTGGACAACCCAGATATGTCGTTCGAAAAGTTGTCGCTGCCAATGGTCCGTGCTCTGGATGTCGCGGGCGTGAAATGACCCGTGGGACTCGATCGACTCGCTAAACTTTGTATCGAATGTGTCAGCAATACCTGTGTCGAATATCGTGTCCGTGAAATTTCATCATCGCGAACCGAGTGAACGACCCCTGAGCATTGAACTCTGCCTCCATTTTCAATTCAATTTTTATTTAGCAAATTTACGAATGTTGCTGTTGTTAGTCAACCTTCTAGGTGTACTTTACAAGCTTTTCTTAAAGAATTGTTATGGGTAGTTTGAAAGTTTTAAATAGAAAAATAATATCTGAAGGAATTGCATAAAATTTGGGACATAAAAATGAAGATTAGTTTAATATTTTCTCCTCGTTAGAACCCTATTTTTCGACGGTTTATATTAATTATTAAAAATGTTCTTCAAAAAGCGATGAAATAGAAGAGTTCGAAATTTCCTCTTTTATTGCGAAATTCATCGATTTGCAAAATAAATGTTGGAACAAAAGAAACGGAACAAATAAACTTGTATTTCTGCTCATTATTTCCGCCATCGCATTTAGAGCGTAATAGGATCCATCCAGTGTCATCAATTTCTGCCAATTATTGCGTACATACACGCGTTTTTACGGGAATGCGCGAAATCAACGAATATTTCACGACAGAACGATTCAGCCATTCTATCGCATCTGTCTTCGTGCGTTCCAAGTGAAACACGCGGAAATTTTAATTCCTGCCACGATATATGAAATTTCATTCTCGCCTCGGGTATATGAAATTCCATAAATTTCGGCTGACTGCGGAAAGATTTCTAGGTTGAATATTCAAAACGATATTTAATGGAATATTAAATTTAAGAGATTATCATTTGAAGTTTTTAAATTTTAATTTAGAAAAAATTCGTGAATTTGCACTGATGCAAAAATTAAATTAAATTTATACTCAAAAATTTGAAGAAAAGCATGTCTAGCGATAAGATTTCACACACGGTATGATACGTTCGTGAAATTCAGAGATAATTAAATTGAAAAAATTACGTGTAGACTTTAACTAACTGCACGCTGATTAGACACGTTTAATTTTACACGAAAAATTCTCTTATCCGCGTAATTGGATAGTCTTTAAGTGTAAGCAGAATCATTATGGAACGAAAAGAACGGTGCTTCGGAGAAATGTTAATTGGATGAATTAAAACTGACAGCTGGGTTCTCAGTAAAACTATTCGAGCTTCCTGAAATACTTAATCGCAGTAAATAGTTCTTCTTAATGATGTAATAATTATTAAATAAGTATTTTTATAGAAATATCAAAATACAAATTTATGGCATTTGTACTGATATTAATTAAAATCCTTAAGAATGGCCTATCGACAGCAATCAAAGTACCAAAATGGCGATCAATGTCAGTGGTACCAAGGTTGCAGCTAACAATCACCATACAACAGGTTCGATTACGTGGAAATTATTTCAAGTATCGTAACACGAACATGCGTTACGCAATACACGGATGTTATTTTCATACTTTCTCCAAGTAGCGGTCAATAGTGACCGGCTAGATCGTCAAAAGTGACAACAGTCTCCTTTCGAACGTCAGTTCGACTAGCTTCCTACGTGTTTTTTCCTCTACGTCTCTCAATTCCCATAAATCAATGTGGCCTCTGGAAACCAGAGAACGTTCTATGATCTCGTTGTTCCGAGTAATTGTGCCATGCTAATCAAGTGTGACCCAGAAAGGAGACTTTCAAGGCTGTCGATCTAGTATCATAACAGCGTTCAGATCAACACTAAAATGATAGCCATATGCAGATAATTCGATGAAGGTTTCTAATAAAAATTTATTGTGATCATTTTTTAGTGTCTTCTCCATTGATCATTTTGTGTTGTAATTCTGTGTTTAGTGTGACGCAGAAATGGTACGAATTTTGTGAAAGTGAAAAGGAAAATGAAATGAACTGTTTTATTTTCTAATGCAATATGATAAATATAATTGATCTGTAACAATTGGTCATCAAGAATTTGCAATTTTCATTCATGAATTGTTATAAGGTTGACGTAGGTGCAGATATTGAAGTCAAGGTGAACAAGAAGTAGTGAAAAATTTTTTTATTTTTTTGTCTGAAGCCTTTTATTGAATAGCCTCGATTCAAAAGGCTTTCTCGTTTTCATTTACATGATCGAGATAGCGATGTTTTTGTAAAGACGAGAATAATGTTCTGTTACGAAATCTTTCCTACTGGACTTCGGTCAAAGGTGTCATCCGTTGATTAGTTCCATCAAACTCATGAGTTTCTGATGTACATAATTAATTCACAATGATGGATGAATGATGGACGAGTATTTCCTTATTTTTTATTTTTTATTATTGCAAAACGTCCATCTCAAAAGTGAAGAAAGAAAAGTTTTTGTGATTTCATCACAACGAGCCTTTACAGAATTTCCCGCGATATCGAACGATTTCTGATAAAGTCCACCCGCACAAAGACGGTGTTACGGAATCTTTGAAAAGTTGGAGTCAAAGCGGTGAGACGCTTTGATGACTCTTCGGATAAGAAGAGACGAGGCGCGTAACTGTCTATGAATCCCTGGGCTGAACGAACAGAGTCGTGACGACACGACGAGACATCAGTGTGCACCATGAGAATAGCCGTAGGATCGTTTCCGTTTTCCCCTTCTCGAACGGCTAGCCACGCTAGCCCGAGCGTATTTGATGCTCGAACAACGGAGTCTTCGTGGTGACGGACTGTGCTACTGACCAGCTATTATCGTGCTCTTACTCTTACATTAGTCTTGATCCATCGATCACGATCTCGCGATCCCGCACGCGAATTTCACTAGTATACGGGTGGAACTAGTTGGCATGAGTTGGCTGTTCTAAACAGCGTGAGTACAATTTTCTAATTCATGGATTTCAAATTTTCACTGTGATTTCTTGAGTGACTAGGTCATTAGCACCGGAGAAATGGGTATTGTAATTAATGATTTAAAAAATAAGTATGCTTTCTTGTCAAACAAAGGTGTTAATAAATTAATATCGAATTAATGATCGAATTTAATCAAAACATTATTTCAATTCCAAAATGTACCAATACTTATTACTTCATTCGATAATCGTCGATTGCGTTACCTTATCATTTATCAAATTGATAAGAACATAGGTGTACACCTTATTAAGAGTTGACTCATTTGTATGTTGCGAAACAGTTTGATCGTATTTCTATTTATACTTAAGTGTTCGAGCACCAAGGTGTTTTTACTGCGTATCTGTGTTATTGTTAGTTGATCTGTCGGCTAGATAAGTTCTTTGTTCACGGCGAATATAATGAGTGTACACATTCTTCTTGGCCATTAGAACGTCGTTAGGTGACTCAGTACACGTTTGACAGAGGGAGAAGAATAGTTTCGTTTCAAGAATTTTTAACGTGAGTACCTTGAATTAATTAAGGTACGAGGAATTCGTTAAGGGACTTCTGGTTTCTTCGATAAATCCCTCTGGAATGATCGATATAGTGTTGGAAAGTGAAAGCCACATTCGCCACGCAATCGTTGAGGATCGTCGAAATCTTGCAGCATCCAGCTGCTTGTGCTCGATCTCCTGACTCAGTTCTGAGTCGATCGATCTCGGTGCTGGTTCGATCGGTATCGATCGAAATTTACCGCGATCAATTGGAATTCGTGTGCTATATTAAACGAGGTGAACAAATAAATTCGTGTGTTGTTCAGAAAATTTATTTTGAAAAAAGTAATTGAAATAAAAATATATAAATCTACACAAAATTCACATGTAAAGTTTGAAACAGCTTATGTAAAAAGGGGTGATTTTATTAAAATATCGAACAGATGTAATTCTCTCTTCGTCATCGACGATGGTGCAGTAGGTCAGTGACAAAGAAAAGTTCATCGATTGGAATTGATTCGAGCAGACGAAAGAAAGATCCAGAGAAAGCTGACCAGCAGATGTTTCGCGTCTATAGATGGTACAGAAACGTCAGCCCCTCGGTAATTAATTCGTTTTTGATGATACAAACTGGTCGTGGGAGCCGGATGCAGTTGAAAACCGTTCGAACTAAATGGTAACGATGAATCAGAAGGAAGGAATCGTAACGGAGTTTCTGGATAATCGTGCCAACGAGATTAACATTAATCGTAGTTGATAACAGGAGTCTGTAGAAAGCGATCAGCTGAAACAAACCCGCGTCGAACACTCCTCCAAGATTCCCTCTGCCGAGTGGTCTGTTATCTCGAGCAGTGTTTTTCATTTCTTATAGTCAGCTAAAAATTTCCAGTTGCACGAGGAAGATCTTTCACGGTACGTTTCAGTGGATTTATTTAGTTGTTGTGTGTATCATACATGACGAATTTCGAAACATAGACAGTCTGACGTAATTTCATGACATAAAAGTATCGCAAAATATCAATTATGGCACATTAGTTTGAAGTTTGAAATTCAAGGAAAATTATTATGTTAGCATTTTATTAGTATTCTTAATATAAAATAATTGATTCTTCGAAAACTGAAATTTACAATTAGTATCCTCCATTAGCAAATTTTTAATCTTCCGCTGGCATCGAATAGAATCGTGCAGGATAAAAGAAACGAGTGAAAATCGCGTGACGTTTGCTTGAAATATTTTTACGTAAGCAGACCGTAACGTGATCGAATCACGTGGGGGATTCGTAATACTTGTGTGACCATAATCGTCTACACCTGTAGCTCGGTTTATAGCGTTATCTGTCGTCCAATGGAATGTTCATTGTCTCGGATAGCTGTTTGTGTTAAAAACACCTAAGCTATTGATTTTATAGAGGGGAACAAATTTTGAAGACTATGAGGGTCAGGAACACAGGGGTTGGCGTGGTTAGGGGATGTACGTCGCTAGGGGAGGAATGTTTTTGAGCGTGAACAAGACTAGGGTGAAAGAGATTTTAAAGAGCATGTAATTATACAATCATTTTTGCCAGATCACTCTAAAATTCTAAATCATTTTCTATACATAAATTCATGGAATTCAATGGTGATAAAGGGATTTAATAAAAAAAAAACAACTATGGTTTTATTGTATAATACTTTCTCAATTCTCTCGTCCTCTCGAACATGGAAAAGCAAAGAAAGCGTTTCCAGACGTTTAATAGGCATTCTTACTCTGACACATTCCAAGCGATCGTAACACATGTCGAAAGTGATTTTATAACGTTTTGTGGTAGAATTTCCAAAGGCTTAAAGAAGTTTCTTTCGATACAAAAACTTGCTTCTTCTTTAACTTTCACCTATGCCAAAACTTACCTGATTATGTAAGAAGAAACTCGTCTTTAGTATCTTTTTCGTTTCGGGGCAAATGTGTTAAAGATATAAATCATTTCTATTTGTTATCTTACGCACGTTCGGAAGATAATATCATAGGTAACAACGCGTCGACGTACTTGACATTAACCGTCGCAGTAGTATTTCAATTGGTCTTATCAAACGTGATAGAAGTTTGCTTCTTAGTGGCAAACTTTCCGTTGATCGAAACCGGTGAAAAAAGGAAGTCGAGATACAATATTTTTTCATTTCAGCGCGATCAGATCGGCGGATCGAAGGCTGAATGGATACACCAAAGCTCGGACGGTTCAGGATCATCGCGTTCCTATCGTTATGGCTGCTTCAAGTTGCATTGCCCGGTGCAGTTGCATCGTACAGCATCGGGGTAGGCAGAGCAGACGCCACTGGACCCAGTGCTGAAATCATCTTCGTTAGTATCTTTTCCATCACTTTTCCAGCGCAATAATAAATTATCGAAACTTTTGGAGTGCTTGTGATTTTTAACTCTGAACTTTGATTATTAAATTAATTTACTAAAATTGAAAGAAATTTATTTTTGTGTCGGATTTTATTTCTCTCCAAGCAACAGTGCAATGTAACAGTGTCTTTCATTCGTATGCGAGCCAGTCTAACGGATTGTTTGTTTGTTTTCCAGATGGGCTATGCAAAGATCGATCAGAAGGGATCAGGAATTCATCTTCGAATGTTCTCACGCGCGTTCATCATCGACGATGGGGAGCAGAGGTTCGTCTTCGTCAGTGTGGACAGCGCAATGATAGGAAACGGAGTTCGCCAAGCGGTAATCCTTTCGTTTCAACCCTCTTTCTGCGATCACGATCCTTGATTCCTCAATTTACCGAGGAATTTCACGCGTCGATGGCAAATCTTTCCCGATACTTCTCGATATATACAGGATGTCCCAAAAAGATTGTTCTAAATATAGATTGAAAATAGTCAAAAATTCTTAAGGCACCCAGTAAATAATTAAAATTTTTCTACTTGAATCTCCGCAGGTATTGCAAAAGCTTGAACCACAATTTGGTAAAATGTATACAGAAGAAAATGTGATGATCAGTGGAACGCACTCGCATTCTACACCAGGTGGATTCATGCTGGACATGCTATTCGATCTCACCACTTTCGGTTTCGTTAAGGAATCCTTCAGTGCTTTAGTAGAAGGAATAACAAAGGTAATCCATTATTGAACCCTTCGATAAAAAAGAGGTCAGGGTGATTATTTTTCTAGAGTATCGAACGTGCTCATAACGCGATGGTACCGGGTCGGATTTTCATTACTCACGGTGAAGTGCACCAGGCGAACATCAACAGAAACCCTTCGGCATATCTCAACAACCCCAAAGCAGAAAGAGACAGGCGAGTGATTATTATTTCATTTTCTTAACATGTATTACATTAAATTTTTAATTTTCAGGTACAAGTACAACGTTGACAAGATTTTAACTCAGATGCAATTCATCGGTGCCGATGAAAAACCATTGGGTGTCATTAACTGGTTCGCTGTGCATCCAACCAGCATGAACAACACTAATCATCTGGTGTCCAGCGATAACATGGGCTACGCGTCCATTATCTTCGAGAAAGCTATGAACCAGGATTCTTTAGTCGGAAAGGTGAGACGTCCATTCTCGGTTGGTGACTTTGACAATAGTGTAAGTCGTACGATTTTTCAACCATCTGTCGAAAGTGTCTGTTGTCTGTCTTCCAACGATAGGGAATAATTCATTATTCATTTGGAAAATTTGTAAATGAAAATTGTATGATACTTTGGTTGGTATCAGGGTTCATTCGTGGCTGCGTTCTCATCCACAAATCTGGGCGACGTTTCGCCGAACATACGAGGCCCAAAATGTAACTTTTCCGGGAAAGATTGTTCCGAACAGTACACCTGTCCTGGGAAAAATGAGGCTTGTTTCGCCTCTGGTCCAGGAAAGGACATGTTCGAGAGTACCAGTATCATCGCCAACAAAATCTTCAGGGAATCGTGGGTGAGTTACTTTTTCTGCATGCTTTTCTTATTTTTTGTTATTTAAAACATTCGTGTATTGTGTCTGATAAGAATGGTATCTAAGAAGTTTATACCTGATACTTGAAACTGATTAAGTCGATCATGATTATTAGTAATCGATTCTATTGCCTCTCTTCTGAATTCCAAGTTAAATTTTAATTCATGAATTACAGAGATAAGAGTATCAAAATGTTTAATTTGTTTCCAATTCCCTGATTTGATATTAACAGATTATTTATCAAATTCATTAATCTATTCCCTAATATCTGTCACTTCAAATCCGATAACTGGTGTGACATATTTGCGAAACTCTATTAGATTAATCTCTAATACCAGCAAATTTGATTTCGACAAGTAGTCAATACTCGCAAAATTGATTATCAAGATAGTTCATTAAGCCAGGAAATAAATTTCAAATAAAACCATAATATCTTAAGATTCTTTTCCTGTCTTCCATTTCACACAATTTTATGGAATTCATAAATAATCGCACAATAGTATAATGTTAATTGCATTTAAAACGCCGCTAGTTTTGTACACTTCCAGTCTAAGGAAACGGTAATTAGAATACACTTGTCTGTGAATAATATCGTGGCCGGAGGTGTAGAAAAAAGAAACCCGCTCGTAAACGCATAGAGGAAAAATCATAAGTTGGAGATAATAATCAGAATAGCAAAGAAAATTATGCACAACTTAGAGCAGAGTCTTAAGTATTAATTAAAAGTGGAATAATTCGTTGGGTGGAAGTGGCATCCCGGTCATTTATCTTTTTAGACAGTTTTTCTGCAATTTCCCCTTTTTCTTGCTTCTGCAAATGAGATTTGCTGATTTAATCCAGCAGAAAAATATTGGTATACTTTAATTTTTTTATAATCGTTTTATTTTAAAAAGGTAGTTCAAGTAAAATAATAAATAAATTTAGTAAAATAGTTTTGTTGTTTTCCGGAACTTCCGTAAGTTTATGAAAAGTTGTGTAAGGTCATGGACAAAGGGAACCACTTGTTTTGTATTGAGTTTACGAAAATTGTGTAAGTTAAAGTTGAAGCTTCTGCAATTTCCTGTCCTGCAAAGTTTCTATCTGTTTGAACACCCTTGTATCTGAGAGTAAATGAAAATCGTTTCCAAGTCCAAATGAAGGGAAAACAAGGTTAAACTCCCGCCAATGTGATTATGGAGGGTGTCAATGTGTACAATTTACTTAATTAACAAAAAAAAAAGAAAAGAAAAGGTTTTCATTAAAATCTAGTACCAGGTTATTAATTTACCTATAATTTTCTTATATTTTAACAGTTAAAAATTCTTAATTACCCTTGAAAATTTTACTTCCTTATTAATTACTAAAATAATTAGAATACCTTCAAGTTTGAACTTTCTCAATTTTAGCTATTTAAAATTCTTAATTATTCCCAGGTAATTCGCTTCCCTAATTACGTGGGTGGGTAATTATCACAACTTCGAATTGAAAGGAACACTGTATGCTTTATAAAATCATTTTTTTTTTATTTCTTATTTACATATACAGCATGGTGTTGAGTAATGATACTTTACAAAGGAGAAAGTTATGAAACTAGTTGAATCGTTCTAATTCACGAAAGATTGACTGGTAACAATTTCCTCCGTTATCTTCCGTATCTAAATAGCTCAATTAACTAACAGCTCTATTAAATTATATTTCTATTGTACCGTGTGCGATCTGTAATTCGAGAATAAGCGATAAACGCAACATTTTACTTCCTTTAATTTTCTTACACTTTTAAGCACCAAAATTTTAATAATAATCATCGAATGGAAGGAAATGGAAAGTAGGATCGGTAATACGCAGTTTTTCTCCTCCCCGCCACTTTCTACCGGTTAATGAAGTAGATACTCATTTCCATAATCCCGTTGTTAATCAAAGAATCGCGAATTTGCACATGCATATCGTTTCTTTCGAATCCAAGTTTCTCCGGAGATCAGGTATTTCACACTAGCAGCTGAGTATATCGTACATAACTTCGCAAATAGAACGATCGTATTCTTCAAAGTATCTATATATTCTATAAATATTCAATTAAAAATCGCAGTGGAACGTTGCAAGTCAATTGCAACTCCAAATTCCAACACGCAAATGTTCGACGAATGATCCAATTCCTTGAAATTGAATATCATTTTACAATCATAATTGATATATCGTCATCGATCATCAACGTGTTCGTTTAAATAGACCCTCGATCCTTCACCTTCTACCTCGATCTGACCCTGTATCATTTTCACCCTCTCTCAAAATTAACCCCTTGCCTTAACCATCTTCTCAGTGATCAACCACTATTTACAAGAAATTATAAATTTCTAAATTATATAAAAAAAAAGTATAGGAACTATTTGTTATCTATTGAAAATTGAAATAAATTGCAAAATATTTGAACGCAGGTAATAATAATTGAAAATTTTCCATCTGATTTGGAGGAATCGTATTTGCACATTCGAACACAAGACAAAGGGTTAATTTTCTCTGTTAATTAGGCATATGTTTAATAGTGTTTCTCGTAGTCCTCGTAACTGTTGTAATACGCTGGCGAGACGTACTTCGCGACGGGTACAGGTTTCGGATGAACAGCTGGTCCAACTTTCTTCACCACAGCATTGAACCCATTGTGGTCATCGGCTGTGTATTCGACGATCCTGACAGTTCCGTCAGGTTCGTTGACGCTGTACGAACCGTGGACGACGTCTCCGTCGCGTACCTCGTGTTGGGTCTTCACATCCCCGGTATGGGGATCGTGGACACCATAATTGAACGTGTACTTTGGATGAGCCTATAGAAAAAAAAAAGAAAATTATATTTCATCTTTAAAAATTTTGGATAGAAAAATCTTTCCTCCCCCTTTTAAGTGAAAGCTTTGAAATTTTCCATTCAAAAACTGCGTCAGCGGCAATATAACGAGAGTCTACTATAGGCAAAATCAGTGAACCTTAGAAAACTCATTTTCAATAATAGAAATTTCTTTAAAGTCACTCGGCATACATTTGGAGCCAGTGGAAATTTCGCAAGCGATTTTCCGCAGTGGAAGCACGTACGCGCCATAATTTAAAGACCAGAGACGTTCAGACGATCTTAGAAAGCGTCGCGGAAACAGTAGCGACAATGAGACACATCGCGAAAGGTGTTCTTATGCCAAGCACCACATTTCACAGCCAGGAATTTCAATTAACATACGGCTGACAGGACTCGAAACGGAGTCACGCTCGTTATTCTATCGCTATAAATGTTTTAGTATCGATCGCGAATGCAAATCGACGACAATTTATATTTAAATTTATTTTCAATCAATTATTATTTATCGATAGTAAAATCAATTAAATATCGTGGTGTTTGACACTTTGTTCATTTCCTCCGATAAAAGTCAATTAAAATATCAATGTGATCAATTTTTTATTACTCGTGATAATGACTTGTATCATAAGCTAATTTCCTTTCTTTTTCTCTCTCTTTGAAATTTCATAAAAATAAACTCGGAACGAAGCAAAAACTTAATCTGGTCTCGTCGAATTAATGATAAATAAATTCTTCCTTTTAACCGTTAACCTCTTTCATTAAAATCATTTACTTGGATAAATTTTTTCTTTAAGATTATTTCTTGCCTCTGATGTCAAATTGTTTCACAAGCCAATAAGTTGATTAGTTTTTTTTTAATTTGTAACATTTTAAAGATCCGCATTTACAATTTAATAGAGAGCAATAGAATCGATCACTCACATAATAGTCATGATCATGATCACCATGGTGATCGTAACCCTGAGATCCATGATCAAGAGCTGCGCTCAGGTGTACAGGGGAAGCGGACACCGCGTGAACCGGAACTGCTACCGTTGGTAGCACCGCGTGTCCGTCGTATTCAGCTGATTGCGGGTATCCTTCGTAAGCCTCGTAATCGCTGTACGAAAGTCCATGGCCTCCGTTGTATCCACTTAGGACCACCGCCTTGCAGAATGCAATCGTTGCACAGAAAATGCATATTACCTGAAACTGCAATTAACCATCAATTATTAAAGAATTATTTGTTCCGATGCTATCAGAGCAATGATAATTTGATAATAATTCAATATCTCAATTGATAGTCAATTGCAAAATTAATATGAATTATTCAGAATTAAAACGAAGGTCATCGGTGATCCCCATAGTAATCAACTTGTTAATTAACAGAAGATAATTCTGATTACGTAGACATACTTATCCATACGTAATAAAACTACATAAGCCTCCGCAGTTATAATATACATCTAATTTAGTGATCGATATTACAAGGCACGAATAAACGATTCCAGCGTAACGAGAAGTTATTAGGCTTCTTTAACAAACTCGATCCGCGGATTTTTCTTTGGTTATTCATCGAGGAGCGATTTAAACGCGTCATCGACTGCTCGTAAAACGTAAGAGAGGAAGGATCGTTATTACAAAAGTTGCCCTTCCATCGATCCGCTGAAATGTTAGCCGTGATCCTGTTCACTTTACGACTATCTGCTATGGTGTTGATATATTGAGCCTGCGTGAGTAGCATGTCGAAAAACTGAATTGGAGTATGGACCGAAGGATACGAGTGAAAATCGTGGTTAATAGGATATCGATTTCGTGTCGATACTTTCGAAAATTCAGGCAAAAGATACGAGAAGTGTCTTGAAAAATATCCTTTCGATGATTGATGGTTTATTGTTCCTAGGAAAACTCGACGCTTCTCCTTTCTTCCCGTTTTTCTCTTCTATGTTTTATCTTCGTATAATTTAAACTGCCTGTGACGCCCGAAGATAGTCAAATTGTTAATAAGATTTATAGAAAAACCCTTCGAAGGGTCGACGAACGGAAATCTTGGAAAGTCATCGAACGCGTCGAGAAAGTTACCCGCGTTTCATCTTTCGCGTCGCTTCGCGGCCTTCGAGACTTCGACGTGTCTCTTCTCCTCGAAGAAAAGTATCCTTTTTCACTTTCTCGTCGACCTTGCTCCGTAAACTAATACCGAGCCGCGGAAGTGGTCGACGATTTCGTCCGTTTCCGTGTCGCGTGGATCCCGGCGATAAACCGCGAAGAAAAGGAAACGTTTTGTTCGTCGGTCACTAGCGGTTGAAATTAATCTCTTAACTCGAAGAATCTTATAATCATTTTTCCTTTAAAATTGTCAAAATTGCGATTGGCCGAATTTTCAACAACCTCTTCCTATCTAACTCACTTTTGAAGTCAGCTAAACTTAGCAGACACAGGAAAGCCCCCAAGAATCATTATATCAAAAGACAATAAGATTAATAAAAGAAGTTCTCGGACGCCTCACGTATTAAACCCCTGGACACGTGTTACGTTCCTGATTATTTATCAAAGAGGAGTTTATTCCATAAGAAGTCGGCATCTATTTGTCGATCCATCCGAAGGATATTCCAATTAAGAAAGAAAAATTCCGTGTTTGGGAACACGGCGAGAAAGGAGACCAAATAACAAAAGTTTATTGATTATAAGATAATCAATATATCAAATAAAAAGTCAACCTTTCCGTATTTGAAATATGCAAAGAAATAATGAAATTATGACAAGATAGGGTGGACCATCAACCCTTAATCGACCCACTCACCTACCATTTAATTCCTGATACTATATCAATGATACCCTATGAATAAAATAAAAAATAAACCAAATTTTGATAAATCTTTATCAAAATACACGTGTTTGGTATAGAAGAAAATGTGCATTATGCAAGTATACCGATGCACTTATGAAGAAAACGATACAATTGCCTATGAATAAAATGAAAAATAAACCGAATTTTGATAATTCTTTATCAAAATGCACGTGTTTGGTATAGAAGAAAATGTGCATTATGCAAGTGTACCGATGCACTTATGAAGAAAACGATACATTTAAATAAAGCTGGTTATACGGTAGAAAATTTGTCAATATCACTTGAAACAGGATTGGAGGTCGAGACCGGAATCAGTCTGTATACACAAGAGGTCAGAGCCTCGCGCACGCACACAGCGATTCAGTGTATCTTTAACCGTCGTACCTTCAGCATGCTGATCGAGTTGTACGGTGTCCCGTGTATTTTAAACTGTGTATGGGAAAACAACGCGATACTCACTGATAGACGTTATTCCGAGACGATGCTCTTTATATCTATCTCCCACCCGAGACGTGTTTCGTTCCCGGGCAAAAGCTCTCTTGTCCTCCTACCATCGCCCATCACCACCATCCACCCCCCCACCTGCATTCGTCTTTCTTCCTGTGAGAAGACAGCCAACAGACCGCACGTTTGTCCACGTGCCGGCTACCAAAGTCGGCGAAAGGATGCTCGTTTTCTTGCCGCCACTTCCGGTCACCATCGAAATGCCAGGTAAACCGTAGACCGGTTGAAAGATGAGGATCTCGATTCGAGATATCCATCTTATACAGTGTATCATAATTTTAATTTTTTGTTTTGTTTAGTAGAAGTTGATTATTGGTGTCTGGTTAGATTAATTATTTGAATAATGAAATAGGTATTAATTGAAATTTCTTTTAATTTTGATTCTTTATTTATTTATCACTCGTGTAATATTTTATAATGAATGTACATATTGCCAAAATTCGTGAAATTGAAAGACAGGAGAAACATTAATTTAGCAAGAAGAGGAGTGTGCTGAAAGGGAGGCGTGGTAGCTGCCACTGTTACGTTAAGTGTCGTAATATTTAGGAGAGTCGGAACAAAGCTTGCTCGGCTGGTCGTGTGCATAAATAATGGAGCGAACCTTCGTCTGTTGCACTAATCTTCGGGTTGATGCAATCTTAGGCTAAATAATTATCTCGTCGTTAGTGATACCAGACTCCTTAATCTTGCTTAAGTAGGTGTGAAGTCGAGATACGGTAGTACAATTCCCGTGTTCCTTTCCGGTTTCAAAGACGAAAATGGGTCGATCCTGACCCACTTAGGAAATACATTAGACACTTAAAATCTATGTTATAATTATTCTATTTTTCATCCTCGGTTTAATATACTTCTGTGTCCATACTGACTCGCGAAAAATACTGATTACGATTCAAACAACGACCACGTTCAAACGTCTTAGTATTCAGTATCTCGCTCGTGTACTGAAACGATTCGCGAATCGAGATAAAATGAAATAATAATAATAATAATAATAATAAAAAAAAAATTCGCATGAAAACGTAGCGAACAGAAGAACGCGGACGAGATTAGGATCAACCTTTTGCATCCTTCCCGCGACCTGACATAAAGATACCGATCCTTTCCTCCCCGCGTATAATTCATGTGTGTTCGTTTGAAATTCAGATGTTTCGAGATGACCGAACGGCCGGTGACTCGCGACCGGTTTAAAATGATGATATAAAAATATACGAAAAGGAACTTTAGATTTGGAAGTTGTGCTTTTTCTGCTTACAAATCTATCCTGATGAGTCTGATGGAAACTGCTGGTAATGTTAAGCTGGTTTCGCATGATAAAATGTTTATGAACTTTATGAAGCGTGAATTTCAATTTCATACGATGATCTCTTTCTAAGAAGATGATTCAAACGATATTACCTTATTCGGTAAATTTTGGAGATTTTGAATATTCTAACCTGGGCACACGTTTTGCATATTTCAGTATGTTGTGAATACATAAATATTCGTCGTTTAATAATAAAGTATAACTTGAAGAATTACTTCATAGATCAAATGAATTAGCTTGAAGAGAAGAAGCTCTGTTATTTCAGTCGAAAACAAAATTTTAATACGATATTATTAAAATATGAAATATTATTCTAAGAACCGATCTCTCCCATTTTTTTATTCTTCTTTTTTTATTCTAAAGCGGAAATCTTAGAAATTGCTCCTGAGCGTGGAGGACCTTGCGCAGCCGAGGACGCGCTTTACGGCCAGTTAAAGTAGATAATGCCCATGGTCAGACGGCGTGAAAGGATCATTAAGGAAGAGTACCTGTTACTCGCGCTATTTTGTCAGCTAAGAATCCGAACAAGTATTCTTTCAACACTTTAAACCAGCATTTTGCAATTTCGTATCCGAAACAAAGCCGCGATTCTTCGTCGTATGATTTGAACTGAAAAAAGATTTGCACTAATCCCTTTCATCTTCGCTGGGTTACGAAATATTACAAGTAAAAAACCAATTAGAATTTGTTTTGACGGTTCAATTTCTAACTCGTCGAGGTAAGAAATTGAAAGTCCTCTCGTACGATCAATCATAAATGGAAAAGTTTTTGTTAGGAGACGCGCGTCTGACACGCGACGACGTTTAAGAGAAGTGAGAGCACGTTCCTCTATTATTTTACTTCCGATTCTAAAGCGGACTCTGACGACCGCTCTGGAACCTGGAAGAGGGCCCAGAACTCGTCGCTGTTACGATTCTAACAGCCGTGAAAGGTTGCCTCGTGACCGTAATGCCAAAACGATCAGATACTTTGCTAATGCCTGTTTTATGCTCGACCGTTCGCTGTGTGCCATCGCGACGATACTCGTTAGTATGACTGGCACACTTTCAAATGCCAGAATGAACGATCACGGAAAAAGATTACACTCCCACCGTGAAACTGAGCCGGTTTTTCGTCGCCAATTTCCGGTCTGCATCGAAGCACAAAGCCTTCCTGCATCGTCCGTGTTTCTTTATCGCTAGATCGATGCTCGAATCGAAGGATTATCTTGTTTTCTGAAAATGCGACTATTCGGAGCAATAAAGTTGCGAACGAGTGTCTTCTTAATCCAATGTTCCCCCATGGAAGGTTTTCCCTTCTTTTCTTGTCCCGTTGCTCTCCTCCTGTCACGCCTCTGTCAATCGGATATTCTGTGACGCAACTCATTGTTTACGAGCGGCATTTCAATACAATCGTGTGAGAACTCCGTGAAACGTGGGGAAGAAAATATTCCGGCGTATCCTTGGCACACCCTGATACACGTACCGTTTGCCAGAAACCTCAAAGCAATTTCGACTTTCGACGAACAACGTTCGATCTCGGCTTTCTCTGTCAAGATAAAAATATATTTTTATATAAATTCGACGCTTCAGAACGATAGAATTATTTCGATACGTATACGGTGCGATATGGTGAAAAGGACGAAGGAGTTTAGCTTCCTGATGATAGAAATCAGCAAACAGGGAAGCTCTTGTCATTCCAGAGCAGTAAGGCGACGCGACGGGTCAAAACTTTGAATAGTCTGCTCTCAGTTGCATTTGGATTTCACGCACACGCGTGGCTTTCCGGGCGAACGAGAGTGAAACTCGTTCGATTGAATAACCGTGTCGTAACTCGGGAGGAAGCTGTCTTTTCCAACCATTTTTACCCTCCTTCCTTTTTCCTTGCACCTTCCACGAAATTCCAATTTTTAATCATGTATCACGAACGCTGTTGTAATCAATTAACAGAACTCGTTGGGTTTTTAATTATATCGAAAAGAGTTTTCGGAATTTTGAAAGTGGACATTGTTACGCACATCTCTTCGGCGTATAATTAAAAAAGATAATTGAACGGTTACGCAAAGAGACGGCGAAAGGGGGCCAACGGATACCGGGCGAATTAACGAGCAAAACTAGGAAACAGGATCGCGTACTGGCCTGATAATCTGATTCTGCAACGCCGAATTTACGAGCAATTTTCTGCCCGGCAAGGACTTCGCGCAACATCCGGATGATTCATGAATAAACCACCTTCAATTTCATTATCGTGAACAGGGTAATTTCAGGAAGTCCGAAGGAAATCGACGAATTATTTTCTTCTCCGATGCACCGTTGCATAAAAATTGCATATGATCCAATGCAATTTATATACTTCTTATTTTCTGTAATACTTTCATCTACACCCTCGCGTCAGATATTTTAATAAAAGGAAAGAAACACTCGTATCCACATCCTCGTAACACCGTTACGAGCTGTTGAATAAAAAATTCTTGCACCTAAGCCATCAACAAGCTCGTTCAGCCAACTCGTAAAACACCGTTCGATGTTCTAGCGAGGATAAACCTCCCCTTATCAGTGCTTAACGATGGCTCCTCGGTCTCGACGCACATGACTCTTTCGCGGGCAAAGAATTTTCATGCACGGAAGCAGAATCGTGTCTCGAAAGATTTCAGATAAGCCATATAATGAGAAGAGATAGTAGACGATTGCAAAGTCCTGCCTCAACGGACGTGGGAACAGGAACGTGTAAACACGTGGATCACCGTGCTGCCTTTGCTCGTTCCATTTTTTTCTTCCTCTCCCCTGTTCTCCTCTGCCTTTCCTACGGTACGTCACCCCTTTCGTGATTTCGTATACGTGGGTTTCTGTGGCTCGACAACGCCCGGCTGGGTAATCGAGCTGAACTTGCACAACGAGTTGGTCGTGGGATACGAATTGGTCGGAACGATTACAAGGAACCATGGTGTTCGGATAGAAAAGGACGATGGAAATGATCTTTAACGCTGCTGGGTTTTGCAGGGTACACTGATCGTTTGAATCTAAGTCTACGATCTAGAATCGAAGCGTCGAATAGGTAGGATCGTGTAAAATTGTTCAATTTTATTCGGTATCAGTGTACAAGTATTTAGTGGTAGAAATGTATTCGTGGCCACCGACGTAATCTCTTCGCAAACACATAGACAGGAAATAACAGGAAACGTACTAGTTCCATTTCCTATCAGCGCTATTATTCTTTCCCGCCATTAATTTGACGGTGAAGGCGTAATAGGAGACTGGAGGTGTTGAAATTGAAAACTGGAACGACTGATGCACAGCCCTCGATTAGAATACGCTATCAATTAACAAATTTTCAATGTACAAGTATAAAATAAGTGTATAAATATTAAGATTCATTTTATAAGAATTTACAAATAATTTCAATGCATATGTACATAAATCCACTTATCTTATTCGAACAAATAGAAATGAAACAGTCGTGTTCGAGTATCAGAAGAGTTACGAGGTACATGAATCGACTCGATGACACGAGGTACACGCTCGACGAAAAGCCATTCGAGACAAGACAGTAGTCTAGTGGGAAAAAGCATTCGAACGAGGTCAGATCGCATGGTTCCTTCGCGATCCTTCCCAGACCACGCCACACCCTGCAAGGACGACGTCGTTTCTTCCTCGAGTTACTCTGTGACTACCTTCTTTTTTTTTCCACCGACAGCTCATGAATCAT